TGCGGCATGGCGAAGACGTCGACCACCCTGACCGTGTAGTCGTCGACGAACTCCCCCAGCATCAGCCCCATCACCTCCATCGGCACGCCGGCCCTCCCTGCGGCGCGCAGGCGGGTGAGCAAAAGAGCCGCAGAAACCCTAGCCAAGCAGGAGAGGGGGGGACGCACCGTGCTTGAGCATCTTGAGGAGGGCGAGGGAGGAGATGTAGACCTGCTCGGAGGAGTCGAGCAGCGGCGAGTCCGACGGCGGCTGCCCCATGCCGGAGGCGCCGAAGATCCGCTGCAGCCGCTCCATGGCTTCTCCCCACCGCCGCCGCCGCCGCCGCCGCCGATTCTTCGCTTCGCTTCGCTTCGGTAGTTTCGTAGGGTTCACAGGATCTTTTTTCTTCTTTTCCTTCTTTTCTTTTGGATGGAGGAGGAGGGGGAGTTACGCTGAAATAACCAAAGCATGTAAATTTTAAATGGAGTAAATTTCACGAAACTACTGACACTTTAGCTAAATTATCATAAAACTACATATTTAAATATGATGTATCACAAGACTATAGAGTTGACGCCAAATTTATCACAGAACCACAAATTTAAGGTTAAATATCACAAAACTACAAATTTAGTAATAAAATTATCACAAAACTATACAATCGGAATGAGATTCTCTGACGCAGTGAATTCTACGTAAGAGGGACGTCCGGTCTTGGATCGCCATTCTTTGTGCATCCGACGGGCAACAACTCTTCCACGTCCTCAGTCGTAGGCCCATAATTAAGCTCGATTCCAGCACATTTGCATCAGTGATTCACGGCGCTCAACAGTCGGGATCTCCGGCCGCCCTCACCGCCATCCGCCGCTATCGATCTCTCGCTGGTAAAGCGCGTACGCAGTCGATGATCCTCAGACAACCACATCATGCTCATCGACGAGGTCAGCCAGCATTGAGGACAAATCGAAGGGAAAAACCACTCCTTTTCTCTTCAATTCGCATACAGAGAATCCTTTCATTGGTCAACATCGTCTGCACTCACTTGGTCTCTTGTTTTAACAGAAGGGGGAAAAAGTATCTGTTGGCAAGCTCTTTTTTTTTCTTTAGGCTACTCGGGGAGATTTTCTACCAGCAAGATTTTCAATCACATATTCACATACTGAAGGCCTCAGCAAGATTTTCATCCACATCCCAAAGATCCCGGCAGTGGTATCGCGTCCCCCATGTGAGAGTCGAGGACCATCGAGTGTGAACGCGCTTCACCAGTGAGAGATAGCGGCGACGATGAAGGCTAGAGATCCCGGCGCCGCGATTGCTTGCCGTGAATGGGCTATACCAAGCAAGCTTATGGGCCTACAGTGAAGGATGGACAAAGAACGGCGATCCAGGGCAAGACGTCCCTCTCACCCTCTAGCGTAGAATTCACTATGCCAGGGGATCTCGTTCCTATACAATCATACGTACTTTGTAGGCGCACATATTTTACAACCCTAGTTTTACTAGTATTATTTATGCGAGTTGTACATATAACCTTCGTTAATCCAGCAGGAACGAAATATCATAATGAACATTGACAGTGTTTAAGAGGAGGGGATAATAAAAGAAGATATGTAAAATGAGGTGAGCCAAGTATGTTCCATGACAGTTCATAAAAAGTTTACCGTGTATTACACGTTAATACATGTTTTCCTTTAATTTCTAAACATGCAAGAGTATATAGACCTGCAATATGTGGTGGAGACGGGAGCGTTCAACGACATCACCTATCCTATAATTACCCACTAAATAATCACATGATTAGCTAAATAGTTGTGTTCCTAGATGAAATGTGGTTCACTCGCACTAACTATCTTACCCATATATTAATCTTGTCAGAAAAACTACTGTACGGGATCCCATCCCATCGACGCACGACGGGATAGACCGCTCCATATGGATCAATCAATCCAGACTTCAGCCAGGCCACTCATTGCTCTAGTCTTATCCTCTTTATTCACTTTCCCCTTTTTCTCTTTCCACTACTTAGTAGTTTCCACCATCCATGGATTCGTACAACACGATACAAGAGACTGTAGGCTATAGCTCAGGCAAGACAACAGTGAGGCTGGCTGAACTCCACTGGCGTTGCAAGCAGTGAGACCTTCCTCGCGTGCGCAAGTAGCCCGGATGCCATGCCGTTGGTTGGGGCAATATCAAGTTGAGCCTTTGCCGGTGAACTTTGCTCATGTGGTTCGGCAACAATAACCGTGTCGACGCCATTGGTGGCTAGTGCCTGGTGGCCTCTAGTGTGGTTGGCCAAGTGCTCCACAGGCCAACGCTGCCTCTAGGTGGTTGCTTGCACAATTGCACGTGGAATGAAGGGTGGCAGGAGAGTATTCATTCTAGGAGACACATAGAGAAAGATCAACATGCTAACAGGAGATCAACAATAGCATGTATGAGCAATTGGTTGTTGATTTTTTTTCACTCGGAATTTATTCTCAAAATTGGATTTTGGATTTTCTTAGGTTGGCTTTCCTTTGGATGCAGCGCTATTCGGTTACGATACTCTTTGTGGTATCATCGTGATATTCCAGTGGCATCGATATGATATTTTTGGTGGTATCAACATGGTACCCTAACGGTATCGGTACCCATGTGGTATCATGATACCTCGGTGGTACCATAGCATGGTACCTCCGGTATTGGCATGGTACCCGGATGGTATCGGCATGGTACCCGGGTGGTATCATGATACCTTGGTATCATAGCATGGTACCTTGGTGGTATCATGATACCTCAGTGGTACCATAGCATGGTACCTCCGATGGTATCATGTCATATGGTTCAAGGGTATGGCATGGTATCGGGGGTGGTGTTATCGTGTAGTCTAGCTAGGCGGCCTTTTTTTTCTCTAAACAAGCTAGCTGGTGCATGTGTGCCTCGTGGAAGATGGTGCTTGTGGGCCTCAAATCGGTGAGAACGCATCGAGAGTTCGAGAAAAGGAGGCGCTACCACGCTACGCGCTAGAGTATTTGTCTGTTAGATTCATTAACTACCCCGTAACCCTTACGGGATTCCGTGCTCCAGCTGCCCTCTAACTTTATTTATTATTTTAGAAACTTCATTAATTACTAAATTACCAAAGACATTTTGATAGATCAATTTCAAACATACATTGTCTTTTCTGGAATTTCTGCTAGGTTGCCAAACTACAAAAGCATAATTACCGCTTTACATATATGAGAGATATGTAGTATATATGTTGTTGTGCTTTCTATCAATTATCTTCTTTATTATAGTCACATCCAAATCTTGATTCCATGGTAGTGAATTGTAGTATCAATCCATATGTGTAGCCATGGACCCATATCCTCTGATGTATAGTAGCAAGGTTAGAAGATCTACAATGACTCCAACTCCTACACACTTCTTCCCTCAAATATCTAATCCCTTTGCACTGTAGAAGTAGGACGACACAAAAGTAAGGCTGTGTTCAGGAGTGAGGGTTGGTAACCCTTACTCACCGGCACGCAAAACGAAGTAGCGTTTAGCGCGTGATTAATTAAGTTTTAGCTATTTTTTTAAAAAAATGGATTAATATGATTTTTAAGCAACTTTCGTATAGGAACTTTTTGTAAAAAAGTACTGTTTAGCAGTTTGAAAAACATGCGCGTGGAAAGCGAGGAGGAGGAGTTGGGAGCATGTCCTACCGAACACAGCCTAAGGAGCACCAACACCCATGGCCATGTTTCTTCTACCTATTTCCTAGTGTGATTGTAGCCACTGCAGCAACATGAGCATTCTCGCTCATCTAACCGAGCTGGATAGAACTCGAGCCCCACTCTCCAATGAGCTTGACATGCTCTCATAAGTGGTGTGTAATAGCAGTTTGAGGTGGCGTCGTGGTGCGGCTCACGTTAGCAAGAGAATCAAGGCTCATCCAGCACCATGAAGCAGGATTGCATGCTCCACCGGTGCCCATAGAAATCAATAGCAGGTGGTTGTTGTTTTTCTACCACCGCTGCTTAGTGATGTCAAGATTAAAGTGGGCCAAATTCATCGAAGGACATAAAGAAACTTGCTTTCAAACATGCAGACAAAAATAGGAAGGAAATGTGGGATAAAAAAAAAAGAGACGTTTAATGTGTTTGAATGGTAGATATGGACATACAATATTTCTCTAACTTTTGCTATTGCATGCCAGAGGATCCGAGTCCGTATAGCCACCATGTGACAGCAAATTTGCATGTGGTTTATGTGTACATAAGACTTAGTTATATGTGCACTACACATATTACGTTTTATGTGTCGGGAGAAGGGGGGGTTGAGGGGTTTTGAATTTCTAGCTCAGTATAGAAAATGTAGCAATTTAAAATTGTTCGGATATATGTGAAGTTGCTTCCATCTAATACCATATCGTCATGGAGTGGTCAATCAAAGTTCAGCCTTTTGCCACTGACAATAATTTTCTTGTATGATTTTTCATCTTCCCATTTATTTTTCTATACTTCTTTAAAACGGAGCAGTGTTGGTGATGAGTGGTGAATTAAGATGTGGTATATATACATAAAATAAGGATAATACTGTAATTATCTTTAATTAAAATCCCCGTTACAAGCATTATATGCTGCTAGTAGTGTAACAGCTCAAGATGCATATCCCGGTCCCTGTCGCCACGAGCACGGCACGATACGAACGTCCGTCTCTGCCGCACGTGACGGTGGAGCGCCTGAGCCCCTGATGCGCCCCATACTGCCGTCGCCGTCGCCCCACGTTTCCTTCTCCAGTTTCCCACACACACTCACCCCTGGCCCTGGGCACTGGCACCAAGCATGTTTGTTTCGTGCAACACCTGCACACCCACGACACGTCGCGCCGCTCATGCCCTTTTCCCACCCGCACCCCCGAACAAACACAGCAATCCCATCTCACTCCCCCCCGCCCGATCTCATCCGTCCACAACCGAATCCAACGGCAGGAAGCACATCCACGTGGAAGATCACTGCAATATCCTGTTTCTGCAGGGGGGTAAACGGAAGATGAACCGAATAGTCTACTTGGGTGTATTGCGACTCATTTTTTTTTATATTTATTTTTTCCATAATTACTTCCTCTCGTCTCTGTCTCGTCCTGTCTTTCTCCGAGGAGGAGAAACACCGGAGGGAGGGTGGGCGACGAGGAGGAGGAAAAATAAATAATAAAAGAAAAATAATTCTGAATAACAAACGGGACAACGAAAATACCCTAGGCCCCGCGATCGCGGCGGCGGCGGCGGAGACTGTTGCTGCGGTGGGGGAGGCGATCGCCGCGGCGGCGGATGTGAGATGATGGGCGGGGGGAGGCGGGGCGGGAGGAGGGAGGCGGAGGAGGGGGTGGCGGTGGCGGGGCGCAGCCGCGGGGTGGCGGCGGCGGCGGCGAGGCACGAGGTGGCGGGGGAGCTGGAGCTCGCTTCCGCCGGCGGATTGGGTGGCGGCGGGGGCGACGAGCTTGTTGATCCTGACCAGCTCACCTACATCGTAAGGGATGCTCTCCCATTGGTGTTTTTGTTTTTTAATTATTGTTGTTATTACTTTTTTTTTTGAGCGTGTGCGGATTGGATGGTTGATGAGATGGTGGTGGTACCGTGGTGTTGGTCGCCTGCTTGTTTTTGCGCATCAGCGGCAATGCTGTCATCTAGATTGTTGTGGCTTCTTGAAATTTTGAGTTTGATTTTTTTCTCTGTTTGTGCACGTACTTTCGATTGCAATGTTGTCATCTAGACTGCTGCTTCGTGCAATTTCGGGGTCGGTTTTTATCTGTTTCTGCACGTAGTTTTGGTTTTGGTTGATAAAGGGGATTACTGATGAGTGGTGTGGTCCGTTCGGTAATATGAGCTGATCATCAAGTCATCGATTTTCGCGAATGGGTTTTGCTATTTTCCAGTAAATTGCCGCCCTCCATAGTGAGAATGTGTTAGCATCGGCTGATATATTGGAAATTGTCTCTGGAGTATTAGCTTGGAGCTGACATGTGAGTGTCCATCTAGTTGGTGAATTTCCTCTCTATCATGTGTATCTTTTCTGGTACGGTGGTACGACCTTCTGGTGAGAACCAAAGTTTTCATAGCACAGTACTTCCGTGCTACTCTGATGGATTTTGGTAAGAGCAGCTGTAACAGCGGAATCAGCACATAATTTTGACTGCTTGTTATCTTGTGACTGGCAGCATAATGTTTTCAAGATTGATTTATATAGCCATGTATTGGTTAATTTGCTTGTGACAATTTGCAAGGTTATTTATCTATTGCATACATAGAATGAAGCGATTAACTTGTGAGTTGATGCGAACGTTATCTAGGCCATTGACTTCTTTTATTTTTCCTTCAAATTCATGCTTCTAAACAATCTATTAAAATCCTGCCTGTCATGCCAAAGCATTTGTCACCTATAAGCTCGATAAGTTACTTCAATAAGCTTGTGGGCATCTCACCTATAAGCTCACCAAACCTTCCCATAACCAATTTGTTCGTCAGGTAAAACTATATTATAAGCTCTAGAAAATATAATAGATAAACAAAAGGAATTCCACATATATGCCAAGAAAAACGTTTAGCATTATCTTTTGTTGCATTAGTTGGCAGCCCATGCATCCACATTCATTCATGCTTCACAAAAGTTTTAGTAACTTTGTTTCTCACTTGATCTTTATAGTATTTGAATTGAAAAACCTTAAGCAACATGAATTTCTGCACATTTGGATGACTTATATGCGATAGTTGCATTTGACTAAAAAATTTCTTATATTCTATAGTCCTAACTTTATTATTATTAATTTATTGATTGTTATTTTGTTCAACATGCTGCACAGTTCAAGAATTGATAGTCTGTACAGACACAAGAACACTGGTTTCGGTTAGAAAAGTATGCTGACTGGATTTTTAGGATGCTGTGAAATCTATTTGTTCACTCCTAGATAAAATCATATATAATCCAGTTTATATTCCCTTTTATCTCTTTTGGGGAGTTTCAAGTTTTCTGTTATTTTCTTGATCACCATAGGGTTTTTAACTGTTTATCTTTAAACGATATAGGAATTTCCAGCTTTCCTTGTTTACCATGATTATTTGGAGGGGGGTCTAGTATTATGATGTATGAAGGTGATTATATTGACTGATAGTGGATTCTCTGTCATGATGAATGCAGTATTATGTTGTAATTTTGGATTTTTAATTGGATGCTTAAAACTTGATTCAGCATTGGAAGCTCTTATAATGTAATTGTCAATTTGTTTTGCGGCTTGATTTGCCTTTGTCTGTGTTGTAACTTGATTCACCAGTGGTTCAGAAGGACAAATACTCTACTCCATATAGCTGATGATGGTTTGCATTCTGTGTGCAAGTTTAATTATCAGTGATGCTACTTTTGGCATAGGGAATACGTAACTCGTATAGTTTTTGTTGGATCCAGCTGTGGGATTTTATCTCTGTTATGTGATGCTTCTGGACTTCACGGGTCGGACCTACTGTACCTTTTTTTGTTTGGATGGTGAGGAATTATAGGGAATGAGTTATTCTTTCTGCAGTATGGCTGCTGCTAAATGCTAATGAACTCCAGATGTTAGATCTTCAACCTTCTGTTTCCATATTTATTCCCAAAGAGGCTTTCTCTTTCACAGATGGTCCTTATGTTCTGTACAGTCTTAAAGAAGTAGTTTTCTCTTTGTGAATGATCAGCATGAAATAAAGTATGATGTATGTTGTACAGGATGAAAAACTTCAAAATATCCTGGGTCATTTCCAGAAGGAGTTTGAAGGTGGAGTATCTGCTGAGAACTTGGGTAAGGGGACTAAAGCTGTGTCACATTTGCTCCGTGGAGCTACAGTTGTATTGAACTACTGATGTATGTGCAAAATCATTAACACTGCATAGGGTCACAATATGGGGGTTATGGTTCATTCTTGCCTACATACCAGCGCTCTCCTCCTGCCTTATCTCAATCTGGAAGCCCTGCAGTTCTACCCAACCATGGCAGTGCCTCGAGATCACCATATATACCACTGGAGGTATACTGCCGCAAACTTCACCATGCGTTGTTGTCTTCTTAGTATTACTGCCTAATGTTTGCACCCTGTTGTGATATACTTCCAGAGTGTACAGAAAAACCATTTTGTCAAGCAAGCTATAGATGGAAGGAGGAAAAACAATTACTGCCAAAGAACATCCAGTGAGAATGATAGTAATCACTCTCAACAGTTGTTGAACAGTGGTCCTGAGCAGAAGACAGCAAAAATACGTATCAAGGTGAACAATAAATGCCTAGAAAGAAATAATGCTGCTATCTACAGTGGCCTGGGCCTCGACATTTCTCCTTCCTCATCTATAGATGACAGTCCACAATGGAGCATCGAGGCTCCTGAATCAAAACTTTTTCCTGATGAATCTGCAGATACCATTTTTCAGGTTAAGTTTACACCATCAATTCAATTTATCTTGGCAAAACCTCTGGTGGTTGATTTTTGATAAATAATCCATTTTGTTGTTTGAACAGATAATGACCTGCCATTCTGTTCCTGGAGGACTTTTGCTCTCGCCTCTTGCAGAAAATGTTCTGGAACTGAGGCAAAAATCAACAGCTGTAACTAAGAAACATGAAGCTCCTGTATACGATAATGACAAGGAAGAGCTACAAAGGAACTGTTGTCATACGAGCTCTGCTGCACCAGATAACAACTATCAGTTGGTGAAGAAAATCAAACTTGATGAACAGAGGGATCACCTTCCTGAGTTCGAGAATTCAAAATACAGGCATAAGAATGCAACAATTATGAAAAAGGGAGCTAAGCCTGAGTTGAAGGATATTTCAGATGAAATAGATTCTATCCGTGCACCAAGATGCGCGAAGACAGAAAAACATGCAGTTGGGGAATCAGCAGACTTTATAGCTGATACTTCAGGTCGCCTAAAGGAAGCGAAAAATGGTCAATTCAAGGGGAAAGGTAGTACTCAGAGTTCATTGTCAATCATTGATGTTAAAGCTGCTAATTCAGCAAATGATGATAAACATCCAAAGGGCAAAGCAAAGTTAAAAGTAACTTTAGTAAGAAATGCTAAGATGGAAAGTTCACTTGATGATGGATTTTCACACAAAACTAAATCTGATAAATGCAATGATCAACCTGTTACCACTTCAAGTCAACTGCAAATTGATCCTGCTAAGAAAACGTCACTTAAGAGAGACCGAGGGAAAGTGGTGTGTGCTAAAGATGAACCATCACAGTACAAAAGCAAGGAATTGAGAAGTTTGGTTGATGCAGAGTCCATGGGTACTACCACAGAAAATGTAGCAGGAAATTCTTCTGAATTACTGAAAGGGAAGAAAGTGTCCGCCTTGCAAGCTTCCCTGTTTGGGAAGAAACTCAAAATTAAGACTCACAAAAAACCAAACTATGATACCACTAGAAAACCTAATGGTGAAAACGAGGGTTATGTGTTGGACCATAGAAATGGTTCGACTTACTTACATACTGAAGATAAGAGCTTGAAGACTGAGAAAGAGTCTGCTACATCTGGATTGACTGATAAGGATTTTTCAGGTGGTGGGAATGATGGGGACCACAAAATCTCTCCCATTGTTGTTGATAAGTCTGCATCTATGCCATCAAGGTGCAAGAATGAAACTACAGAAGCATCCATGGCAGTTCCTGCTTCTGAACCTGTTGATCAATGGGTGTGCTGTGATAAGTGTGAGACATGGCGCCTTTTACCTTATGGGATGAATTCAGATACACTTCCAAAAAAATGGCGGTGTAGCATGCAGAGTTGGCTGTAAGTTTCTGCAAGAAACGTTAATCAGATTCATTCTTTTTTTTTAATCTTCTCATTTCATGCTTTATATTTGTCTATGCACTGGTTTCTGTGAACTGAAATAACTGACAGGAGTAAAATTTCCCTTCACTATATATATATGCACCATAATTTAGTTTCATCAGTGGAAATTCAAATGCAGTCTTTTCATTTTCTAACTGCCCTGCTGCCTGAGAGAGAAAACAACTGTTGAGATCACATAATTGATTTTGTTCTGGTTTATTTGTAATCTTGGGATTCATGTTTTCCTTCAAGGATCTTCTGGAAAATTTTATCTCCCGTCATGTTGTGATGTTGCAGACTATAGGCTATTGGACTATTATATCATTGCTTGGAAATATTTAGTTTTGTTTATTTATTTATTTTTGCATTTGTGGTGCTTAATGTTATCTTCAATTGATTGGTACTTTTAACTTCTTGTAGGCCTGGGATGAATAACTGCAAACTAAGTGAGGGTGAGACTACAAATGCCATACGTGCACTTTATGTGGTTCCCATACCTGAAAATAACATCAGTTTAGATAGTCGTTGTGATACTGCTACATTGGTTAGATCCAATGATGCAGCCATTATGTCAGATAATTTAGGAATGCCAGAAATATCAAAGTCTTCGAAGAAACTACATGCTCCTAGGAATCGTGATGGTCTTGACTGCTTTCCTAAACTCAAGGAAAAACAGAAGCGCATAGAATCATCAGATAAAGGTGAAAAATCTACGGTTGTTCTTCATTTAGATTCTATTATCATTCATTTTATTATTAAAGGTCACCATTTCCTCAGGACAAACTATGGCAAAAGATCGGATGCATCGAAAACGGAAGACCAGTGGTGCTGATTATGATAACCTGATAGCATCAAAGAAATTGAAGAAAGTATACAATGAGCCTCCAAAGCACCAACCCCCTCAGTTTGAACTAAGCAAAAGTAGACCTTCAACCAAGGGATCTCTAAAAGAATTGCCGAAGCATACTAATATTTCACCTGGCATGGGAAAGCATGCTTTACCTTCATCAGGTAAGCAGTTTTGTGATGGAGATAACTCAGATAGGGGTGCTAGAGCTTCGGATGCAGGAAAATCTGATCCTCGGGACTTGTTCATTAAGAAGAACAAATCAAAACAAATGCAGTTAAGACAGCATGGTCCTGATCCTCGACCTAGTGATGCCTTTGCAAAACATGTTGTAAAAGAAGTGTTAAGTGAAAGTAATGCTGCCAAGGAAAAGCTTGGGTCAGACCTGAAATTTCTGAAGGTAGATGATCATGAGAAATCTGCTCATGCCAGAGGCCCTGTCACTGGGACTAATAGCAATGCAATATTCAGTGAGAAAGAGGATTTAATTGAGCAACACCTGGAGAATATCCATTTCCAGCACCCATTGCTCTCTGAAAGCTCAGTCAGGAGGAATATCTGTAATGTACAAGCATCTACAGCTGCCACTTCCAGTTCATCCAAGGTGTCTAGCTCCCACAAGAATAAACCTGAATTTCAAGAAACAAGGACCTCACCTGTAGAGTCAGTTTCTTCATCACCCTTGAGAACTTCTGACAAGAAACACTTGGATCGGCATAGAACGAATTCATATGCAGTGGCAGAAATTGTGCATTCTCAGGAGTCAGTGAAAACTGGTGCTTCATGCTCGAAGGAAAAATATGGTTTTGAATGTGGTTCTGATCACACGAAACCTCATGTTTCTGGTTGCTCTAATAGAGTCATGCATCAAGATGCTTTGGAGGATGGGGACTTGGATAAACAAAATATATTGACAAATGGAGTCTTTAACAACAGAAGTTCTGGGCTTGGTATAAGGAATGACCAAGGCCAACCGAATTCTTTGGTGGAACAGAAAGTTAATTCGCATGTCCTTCCAATACATGGCAGCGGTGATTTCAGAAGGCCAACACCTGATCAAAATGGGAAGACATTGCCTCAATATAATTCAAATCAAAGTGACCAAGCAAAACTGTCTTCTGGAAAGCATCCTACACAGGTTAGGCCTGATAAAGGGAATGTAGAATACATAGACCTGAAAACAAATCCATCTACTGTAGCAGGAAGCAAGCTGTTGCCCGGATTAAACAATAAAGTAAATGGAAATGCCTCCAATAAGTCAAAACAGTCTGTAGTTGAAAATATGAAGCATGCAGCTATTCATGTCGATGCTTCAACTCCAATTAATGCATCTGCTCTGCTGAAGGAAGCTAGAGATCTGAAGCACTTGTCTGACCGCTTAAAGGTTTGGATGTTTGATACATTAGTCAGCCATTTTTTTAGGGTTCTCTTGATTCAGATTCCATCACTACTCATTTGCAGGGGAAGGGGGATGACCTTGAGAGTGCAAACATTTGTTTCGAGGCTTGCCTAAAATTTCTCCATGTTGCATCTCTCAAGGAGGCTGCTGGTGTTGATAGCTCCAAACAAGGGGATCCAATAAATACTATGACATTATATTCTGATACTGGAAACCTTTGTGGGTAAGCAATTTGCAGTTCACGTCTTCAAAAGGCAGGCAGCATGTAGAATATCACTTCTATATTTGTTAGACCCTTTTAACATTCTTGAATGCACGATAGTAGTAACTTTTTTTAATTTGGTATATTTATTCTTGTTAGGAACCATTTCAAAACAACAAGTGCCTTAATTACTTCTTGTCCTTGTAATTATAAACTATAATGGCCGAACTTTAATGCTTTCAATGTCTTTCGTGTTTCTTGGACATGCCTTTCATTTAGCTGCCAAATATTACTTGTTCCATTTATCCTTGTATAAAAATTTATTATATGCATATGTAAATTCACTATGCTAATATGGCCCCATTGGCTTGTTCAACAGATTTTGTGCCCGTGAATTTGAGCGACTTAAGAAAATGGCAAATGCTGCTTTGGCATATAAATGTGTGGAAGTGGCATACATGAAGGCAGCTTTCTACAAGCATCCTGGTGCAATTAAAGATAGCCATGCCTTGCAGGCAGCATCTGTGATTGCTCCTCCAGGTTTTACATATTCTCTAATTCATGAAGCTGCTTAGTTGTTTTAGTAGTTTCTGAAATCTCTTTCATTCATTAAGGGCATGTTTGGTTTGAGGAATGGCCTCTCTGGAACGGGCTGGCCCATCATGGGGTCATGTTTCTATTTTCAACTCATTCAGCATTTCTCAAACCAAAGGTTCCATTGGAGTCAGGATCAGATGATCCTGGGTTGAACATATTCCTCAAACCAAAATGCTTCATAAAAGTAGGGATGCTTAAATGTTTGAAAAACTGTATCTGTACTAAGTTCTACCACAAGTGAAATATAACAACATAGAAATGAATATGAAGTAGGTAATGCTTTCGATGGTTCTAGGATTTCATCCTTACACCATGATTTTTTTGAATCTCTTACATCATTATTGTTCTGTTTATTAGACAAAGATATCCTTCATTTTATTTCGTGATATCAATTCCAAACAGGTTTATTATCAATTTGTTGAAATGATTGGTCTTCTGATAATTCACATTCCTCTTGCTTTCTCCTTGGCCAGCTGAATCACCGTCGTCTTCTGCCTCAGATGTTGATAATTTAAATAACCCAAGTACAATAGCTAAGATTGTTTCAACAAGAGGTCTATGCACTTCTCAGATTGCTAAGAATCCCATATCTCGGAGCAATCATCACTTGATGGGATTGCTTGCTTATGTAAGCTGCTTATTTTTGCTGCTTATTTTTGCCATTTGGATTATTGGATATTGATATGCCAAGTTGAGTTTTTACTTGAGGGTTGCACACAACACCTACAATTGGCATTGCACGATTATGATCCATTTAATGCTTGCCTTGTTTAGTTTAGAGCAATACTTATTATTGTGGGTCAAATATGATTACGTATGGAACTCAATGATTGCATTTATTTCAGTTTTAGAGTTTCTCCTATGATCCTTTCTGTTTGCTAGATAAGGTCAGTATTTAGGACCAATAGTGTGTAACGGTACTAAAAAGATGTCCATGGAAATCAAGCTTTAAAAAATAACAGCACTCTTCAAACCTTTTGGTTTAGTATGGATTCTGCTATTTGTTAGTTCAAATTGACTGGTTATCTAATTCCATGTAACTACTCCACAACTGGTATCCAATCATGATTAAGGAGATATCAGTGAGAATTAAGGGAACTGTCTCCTGATTGTAATATTTTTTACAGGTAGAGGACACAAATTATGCATTTGAGGGAACCAGAAAGTCGCAAAGTGCATTTTTTTCTTATCTTTCTGGTATTGAAAAAGATCAGGCTGATGGCATTGCTCTTTTAACGGAAGTCCTTAATTTCAGTTTCCATAATGTCAAGGGGCTGCTGCAACTGATCCGTCATTCATTGGAGTGTATCAACCATGAAAGGTTCAAATAATAGAATGGGCATTCTTAATGTGAATAGAGATATATGTTGGCAATGTTTCTATATGTTGTTTTACAATAGATGCCTCCAGTATGGGTGCAAGAATGGAGCAAGATTAGCAATTTGCTAACAGAGGAAATTTATGATGTGTGGTTATCACCTGGAAGTATTTTCTCTGTGGATGAACATTTTGACCTGTGCCAACTGGGGTTTTACATAAAATTTAGCAACAAGTATAAATTGCTACATTCAACATTCTCAGTTTCAATGTCTGATTAGTCCCCGATTCCATTGTTGATGTGAACCCAGTTGTCACCTATTTCATTGTTGTACCGGTAAGAAATATCTGTTTACCCCTCTTTTTGTACATGCATGTCTGAGTACCTACCAAATGGCTGGCTTGCTCAATCTTCTCTTGTACTCTTGATATGAATTGCTGCATATTTTTCTCTATCAGTCAAACTTTTGTACTCAAATAGCATCCAATAAACAAGAAACTTAGAATCCTCACACACTATCTTTTTTTAAAAAAAAATCTAACATATATACCTGCACTTTTAAACAGGGACAAAATTTCATTGGGACAATGTTGAATTGAACAATCTATTCCTGAGTTCCTACAGAAGCATAGGTCAGGGCAGAGGAGAATATTCTACTTTTCCTCACCTTCTATTGGTCTGTCGATGAAGGTTCCAATAGGCAAGAAACTTTAACCCTTCCGTTCTTAAATCTTTATGTTGTACTACTAGTGTTTTAGTTCAGTCCTGTACTTAGAATAGATAACTAAGTCAAGAAGGTTTGTGTGATTGCACTTGGTTTTATTTCACTAGATGTGTCCATCTTCCTCCTGATAGGTAGGGTATATTTGTGACCTGTAATAGGAAAACCCTGGATAATTCTTATTTTCAGAACCATGTAATGAATTAGGACAAACATAAAGCATATCTAATGGACAACGTCATTTTGTTACAGCTGCAGTGAAGTAATCCTTTATATGATTATGATTGCCAAGTTTGATACATGCATTCAGTTGTGGAGGCGCATAAGAACCCAGCTACCCAGTGAGCAAACTTGCAGAGGACGGAGGACGTCAGTTACCACCTCTGACTCCAATTTTGTGTACATATATATAAATTAATGATGAGCTGATTGCTTCCCCTTTTTTCTCCATACCTGTGTACATCTATAGAGAGGTATACCAGAAAGGCTATAGCGGAACAAAATGGAGAATTTTGATCCAATTTCAGTTGATTTTCTGTGGTTTCTGAGTGACTGAATTCATTCTTTTGGTATACTGCAAAGATAGCTGCCCCTTAGCTAAGTGGTCATTAAGTTGTTGTGACTATGATTCTTTGAGCTGACCTAACAACAAATGATGATGGTTCTGTTTTCTAACATGAGTGTTGTATTGGTTCCTGCCCCAGCATCGTCATTGTACATTTGTAACTGCTCATGCTGCTATTAAAAAAAAAATCTTTGCATCTCGAAATGTTGTCGTTTTCAGGCTGCTTTGATCGCGTATTATATACATCAGGGAATTTCATAAAACCAAATGCTTGTAGTTTTATAATATTTGTAATAAATATGTAGATTTGTGACACAACACCTTAAATATATAGTTTTGCAATAATTTGGTCAAAATGTATATAGTTTTGTGAAATTTATTCTACATACATTCATTCTCACTGTAAGGGTAATTCACGCGACAGTGACTTATATGTCTCCCTCGCAAAATTCTTCCAGCTTGACCTTTCTCCTCTCATTTTGATTTTATTTCAGTAAGTCTAAGGCTCTGTTATTTAATTGGACGTAGTATCAAAAAAATTTTTAAGTAGGAATTATAAATATAATATTATAAAACTAATAGGTGGTTTAGAATAGGCTGATATACAAAGTTTTTTAAGAAACCGTAATTTAAGAACTGTGGTACATACAAGGAAAGATTTGATAATTTAACACCTTTTAAAATAGGCTTCGATTATTTAACATCTAAATGGTCCTACATGTTATCATCACAAGTGTCAATCAAAGAAATTGGGTAGAAAAAAAAATGTTAAATTATCAAATTTCCCCCACATAAGTTGGTGACAAAAAAGTAACTCCTACGAATTACTTTTTTGAATTATTTATTGAATGAATTGTTCTTTTCAAATTATTTATTGAATGAATTGTTTAAACATTTTATGTGTTTCACACTTCAAAGTAATAACAGCCCCATCGGATGGCCTAATAAGCCAAAGAAAAATCCAAATTTTAAATTTTCAAGCTTAATTTTAAGATTGATTTTGACATATTTTCAACATAGTAACATATTTATAAAAGTTTTACCCACAAATTCTTTTATTTTCTAATAAGCCGTTTTGGTTTATTAGAAAATAAGCCAAACGATGGGGACCTAAAAAATACATTTTATAGAAAAAAACTTACTTCTACTACCATTTATTTTATTAAACTAATGAGGAAGGCAAATAGACTTATTCCTAGGAAGAAACGCAGGCTCACCAGCCCAACTCAGGCCCAAACCGTGCAATCCTCCCAAAACCCTAGCCCACTAATCTCCACTCTATATATTCCCCCAAGCTGCGGGTTTGTCTCCCTCCGCCGCCTCTCTTGCTCCAACGAAATATGCTGTTGTTATACTCCTCCTCGCCTCTCTGTTTGATGATTTGTGTTTATGATGGTTGTTTTGGTGGTCTCTTTCGTTTGCCTTCTGCTGTTAAATCTATCCTTGGTTTCTCTTTCGTTTTGTTTCTCTTGGTAATGAATCTTGGGTTCGGTGGCCTGGCTGTGATGCGTATTGATAAGGGATTTTCTGAGGGATGGAGACCTAGTTTTCCTCCTCCTGATTGAGAGAAACCAATGGATCCTTCTGAGCCTACCAAAACCAACCCTGCGAGTTCTTTTTTTATTTTTGTTTGCTCTTGTACACTTTGTGAACTGTTCATTTTTGTTCTTTGATTTTTTCTCTCTTCCTTTTGCTGTCTTCTGGTGAACTGTAATACAAGCTAGTGCAAGATCTGCTCTCAGTTGATGTGAGGATAAAACTTTCACAGAAACTCTTTTGATGTGTTGACCCTAAAATTCAGACTACAATTATCTGATCAGCTGCAGAAACTTGCCCTACGAAAAAAAAAAGATCTCAGTTTTTCCCACCAGATCCAGTTGTTTTCCTTGTTCGTCATGACTTAGATTTGGTATTTAATTGCTAATCCTTGCACAATAAGCCGATGCTCTGGACGAAATAAGAGGAAGGAAGCATGGTAGTGTGCACGGAGATTCACCACAAGGTCTGCATGTCTGCCTGCAGTGACGCCTTCGGGCTTTGATCTCGCGGGCCTGGATTTGACCCACATTTTCCTATCTGAATTTTGCTTCCGGTTTATCTTCCGGTAACATTGGGTTTTTAGGGGATGGATGGGTATGGTGGATGGATCGACATGCCAGAACGATCAAGATCGTATTGTAACTCTGTACTTCTGCACAAACTTACACTAAGTTGTCCTTATTGATATGCCAATGCGATCTACATAATCCTAAATTTGTCATTAATTTTTCAGTGTCCCTTCGGAAATAATTCTTTGTTTTAAATGGCTACAGGAATTAAAATACATAAACATGTGAAAAATTGAGGAATCGATATGACATCTAGTTCTTTAGGAATTGTGGCATAGATAGTTGATCCTTAGGAATTCTAAAATGCAGGAATTTCAAGTTCCTTGTTGCAAAGGAGTACCTGGGAAAATTTGCCATATAATTTTAATGTAAAAATTCCTCTACTTTTCCTTTGTAATTTGTTCCAAAAGAGCCCTTAAAGAGGGAGTCCTATACGCCAGGGTCTTCTGGGGTTCGAAGGCTCATCATTTTTAATTATTTGATATTAGGTTATTTCCTAATATTTGTGTCCTTAAAAGGAGTCGTTACAAGTGAAATATAATGTTTATTCATTTTATGCATGTGCTTGCTCTTGTTGCTCTTTTGCATAGTGCTGCCTCCGGTTGTGCTTTAGAGATTTTGATGCTCAGGCCATGAAGAACATAAGCAGAAACTAGTGAAGATTTATACCAGTTAATCTTGTTGCATTTTATTATTAGAACCAAACAGGCTATGAAGTTAGTCAAACTTGTTAATCTTTAAGATGACAAAATGTGTTAAAAGTATAACCAGCAACTAAACACCTCAGTAACATGGTCTATGTTATGCTGGAGTTGTAATTCTAACAGCAACACCACCATTCATGGGCAGAGAGGCAGAGCTAGATAGGACGGGAGGTGTTTAGGAATCTAGTCTAAATCTCTTTTTAACTAATTAATTCATCTATTCTCATTATATATGTTACTTCTCAATACAACTCAGATATATGCATCAGCATAAACTCTGGCTAAACATTGTGTAGGTGTTCTTTTCTCCTGAAGATGGAGATTAAGTTTTTTTACGTAAAATGAGGTGGTTTTAACGTATAATTGATTGAGTTTTAATTATTACAAACTTGAATAATATATTAATATGATATTTTAGAGTAACTTTAATATAAAGTTTTTGTACGAAACGTACCGTTTAGCAGTTTAAAAAGCGTGTCACGAAAATTTTAGGGCTTATTCCTTTCAAAGGAATTGCAAAGGAAAAGCATAGGAATAGGAATAGGGCTTATTCGTTTCATAGGAATGTACCATAGGAAAGTTTTCCATTCCTCCAAGGAAAAGCATAGGAAAAAATAATCCACTCCAACCTAATATTTGCATTCTTTTGGTTGGCTTGCTCAACAGCATAGGAAAAATATCTGTGTTGGTTTACATATGTATTCACGAAGTATTTCTATGTTTTGAAAATCCTGTGAACCGAATGAGCCCTTAGGCTTCATCCAACTCTTATCAGGGATGCACATGACCATAGTTCGTTCCAGCTTTTCGCCCGTGCCGTTTGGGACTTGGGACATGCATGTCATGTCAGTGGCGCTGTTCATCTCTCGGAAGGGGAGCACAAGTAGCACCCCACAGTCACACAGCCGGTGATGGACAGGGACGGGTTACAAGACCGGCGAGTTGGCCTAGCCTACTGGCATGAACGACCATCCCGTGGAAGTCCACCGTGATGGGCATGACAGAGGCTCGTTGAGATGGTGCCATCGCTGTTGGCGAACGTGATTAGCACGTACGGTGGCGATGGCCAGCTTTCCCGCTGTTGCTGGCCGGCCGCATCGTCCACGGAGATGTTCCTCGATCGGCGACCCGCGATCAGGGTTCACTAAATCGATTCGGATGGAATTAAGGTCAACCCATGATAAGATGGTTTTCATGGTGATCGTGTGGGTATCAAAAGCTTTACCGCACGGTTTTATAAATCCTGCCCGCGATCGTTGTGAATGGAACAGGAAAGCTGAAAAAGAAAATATTTACCCCTCTAATGTATGATAATTAGGAGAGGTGATCTCAGCCATAGACGGCTCAGATTGTCCAAATCCAGAGTGATGGAGTTTCTATCATATCCAGGGCCCGTGCCGAAGTAGCCTACTTGCTTTGCCGGTGACATATACAGCTGATGGTTAATAATCTCTCCGCATCTAAATATAAGAGGTTTTGTTTAAATGTGGTATATCCTATTATAATAAATCTGGACAGTTTCTTATCCAGATTTATTGTACTATGATATGTCACAACTAACCATAACCAAAATCCCTTGTATTTAGAAATGGAAGGGTATTGTAGTAACTCTGCAATGGAAAATGTTAGCCATGACACGTGAATTCAACTCAGTGTAATAATTGGTATAGTGCCAAATGATTGGAGATTGGAACACGGATGCCATCCTAAAAAAATACTGCTATGGTTCTGCTTGGTCAACTTTGAATTATATAATTAACGCGTGATTTTAAATTTTAAAAATGATTTATAAATTTTAAATTTTAAAAACTACTGTGATTCATTTTATAAATCGCTTTGATATTTCCTAAGTTAAACTTTTAAATTTGATTAAATTCATAGAAAAGATAACAATATTTACAACCTTAAATTAGTTTCACTAAATCTAATATTGAATATATTTTGATATTGTGTTTGTTTTGTGTTAAAAATATTATTATATTTTTTTATAAACTTAGTGAAACTTAAACTTAAAATGTTTGACTTATAGAAAAGTAAAATGACTTGTAATATAAAATAAATGGAGGGAGTAGATCTTTTACTTGTGATGCGAGCAAACATGAAAGCTTTATGACAAACAAAACAACCAAAAAAATAATCCTAAAATTAAACCTGTAAATTTAAAATCAGCTCTAGGGTGATTATGTTTAGAGTAGAGGCAAGCCAAATTAAGCTGGTTGAGAGTTACTCTAGATCATAATCACCCTAGATCTAGAGTTAGGGCCTGTTTGACACAGCTCCAGGAGGGATGGAGCTTAGCCAAACAGTTTTAGCTCCACCAAAACTGGGAGTAGAGTTGGGTGGAGCTCTCTCACAAAATGTACTGGAGTTGTGGAGCTGGATTTAGGCAGCTCCACAACTCCACTCCAGACTCAACTCTTGGAGTTATATTTAAGAGTTGGAGCTGTACCAAACATGCCCTTACTCTAATATCTTAATCTTGAGTTACTCTCAACCAGCTTACAGAGTCATCTACTACACAGTGGTGTACTTCATCTCAATATTTGGGAAAATATGTAGTGCAAACCACATATGTAGTGAAAACATGAAAACTACTGTTGAATCGAGAAATGGACGTCCGAGATTCGTCCACGTCACCCTGAGTTAAAATTTAACTAGGAGTTTTAACTCAGGGTGACGTGGACGAATCTCGAACATTCATTTCTCGATCCAACGGTAGTTTCCAAGTTTTCACTATATATGTGGTTTGCACTAGATATTTTCCCTCTATTTTACCATGCTTGGAATCAACGGCAACTTGTTAAACAATGGTGTACCTCTAATACTCTCTTTACTTCTTAATTTCGCGCGACAATGTACGGGAAATCATCTAGTTTTAAATTTGGCTGATACTCTTGATGATACTTAATTAAGTAATAATCCACTTAGGTGGCTAATCAAATTTGGCTGATAGTTGTGCACTTAGGTGTGTCTAGTGCTACCAGTACATTGGAAGTGATTAACTCAATGAAATTTTGTAGCACGAGATTGAGGATTGTGTATCAAACAAATATATGATGGTGAAAAGCACGAGATTGAGGAATTTTGTTAAGAGAAAAAAAACATTATCTTTTTAGTGGATTGTGTATATCAAGATACATAATCTACTAAAGAGATAATGTTTTAGCTTATCAAAATTTTTCTTGGTCGGTCTCACATTTCAATTAGTACTTCCTCCGTTTCACAATGTAAGTAATTGTAGCATTTTCTACATTCATATTAATGTTAATGAATCTAGATAAATATATATATGTCTAAATTTATTAACATCAAAGTAAATGTGAGAAATGTTAGAATAACTTCCATTATGAAACGGAGAGAGTAGTAGATTGCAAACCCTGGTCAAAAGATAAGCATGACAAAGCTAACGGTAGCACATGCAAACTAACTGTACTGCAGTGCAACTATGCAACAGAAACGTTAGCCAATAGCCATGACAAGTGAATTCAAACAGATGTGTCATGCTACGGAAACCTGCTTGAGCGGTCAACTTTGAACTATACTCCCTGCAAAAAAAAATGAATTATATAATTAAAGCGATTTGAATTCAAAGATTGAATTTTCTAAAATAACTTATGTGAGATTTTTTACTTGTCTTAGGATCAAACATGAAAATAGGGCCTTGTCACAAAGAAAATCGCTTAATTAAATTTACAAATTTAAAATCAGCTTTATGATGATTATCTAAAGTAGGGCCAAACCAAAGCTATCAACATCTTGAGTTACTCCCAACTAGGCAACTAGCTTTTAGAGTCGTATGCTAAACAGTGGAACATGGTTCTCCATCCGTCCCACGAAGGCGCACCCACATATCTTAAATATCCAAATCTTATATTACTAGAAAAAATGCCCGTGCGTTGCAACGGGTAAAAAAGTTTTTGATTGCTATATATTATACTCCTTCACTTTTCATCCACTCTCCCATAATATCATCTTTCCGTTTTTATCAAAATCAAAGAGAATCTTTCTACTTTTATCAAAATCAAAGCGAATCCATAAGAGTCAGATAAAAACGACGACAGTAAATCCGGTGAATTAAAACCAAATGATGAGGTAATAGAAGGAATCAATTTTTTAATTAATTGAAGGAGGAAACGCATGTGAGAGGCAAATCGACAGTGGCGCGCTAGGGGTCGGCCTGGCGACTTTAAAAAAACGAATCCTTACCGCGTGCCAAAAAAACGACTTAAAACGGATGCAAAGACAGCGACAAAAAAACAGTGGAAAAAATAAAAAAAGCGGATTAAAAAGGATGGAAAAAATACCTGTATTTTTTAATAATTAGGTATATGGATATATATTTACATTTGCAAAATTTGTCAAACCACACGAAAATCACAAAATTATATAACGTATATTTTTTACGTTAATGACTTCTATGGTCATCCCAATATGCAAATATATAAAAGGTTACTATTTCTATATCATATCAGTGTTGAAAAATTAAAACTTCCAAGGTCCTGAACATTAATGTGTGAGTACTAACCTGGGGGTATTTTTACAAATATTTTGTATGTACTGAAGTATAGGATAAACAATACTTTTAGGGATGAAAATGAAAAACTGCTGGATTCAGATGCCACGTGCATGTTCGCATGTGGCCTTTGGCAGCGGTGCGGTGACTCGCCGTCCATCTCTCTTCATGTAATTCACGCTCCATGTACTGCACATGATTTCGCACAGAGAGAGACAAAGGGCGCCCAGCCTAACCGCTCGGAGCGAGCGCCGGGCGCCTCGATTTTTCCGCCCTCATTATCTCCTCGTTTTTCCCTGATCTTTTCTCTTCCTCTACTCGTCCTCTCCATTGCGCATCTTCCCTTTCCTTCTTTTTCTTCTTCTCTCCTCAGCCGACGACGCCCTCCATCTCGTCCCTCCCACCCTCCCCCAACCCATGGTGGCGTCGCTCGCCACGGCGCCCTCCCCCCAGCCGGCAGCGCCCTACCCTTGGCGGCCAGTGCCTCCGCCTCGGCTCCCTCCACCTGGCCGGCGGCGTCTTTCACCCGGTGAGCAGCGGTGCGCGACGGGCCGGGGAGCGGCGGCCAGCGATCTACTCCTCGGCGTCGGCGGCTCTCTCCTTCCGCGAGCGGCAACAGGCGGCGGCGCCTCTCCGCCCCTCGTCTCGTCTCCCTCGCCATGAGGCCGCGGGAGGGCTCGACGGTAGTGGGCGGCGGCGCCCTCCCTCCCGGCGGGTGGGGAATCGGTGGGCAGGGGCGGTGCCCTCCCCTCTGCTGGATCCAGCGGGAGGGGAGGCGGCGGCGGTCGGGCGTCCCGGATCCAGCGTGAGGGGAGGGGATGGGAGGGGAGGCGGTGGCGACCTGGTGGCCCTGCGACGGTGGCAGCGACGGCGGCACCCTGCCCTTCCTGTGTCGGCATTTTCTTGTGTTCTTGTGTTGATGGAATCTGTTCTTGTGTTGATGAGTGCTGATGAAATCTGTTCTTGTGTTATTGTAGTAGTGATTTCTCTAGGATTTGGGTCCAAATTTGATGCGTACTCGGATTAAGGCGCACGGGGGCAGGCTGTGAAGGCCAGTACTGGTGAGGTTGCCAGCATGATTTTTTTTCTTTCTTTCTTTTTTTTTTTTGCCATCGGAGAAGGGTTGATAAGGGATCGATCACACGCGCGCATTAGAAGGATTTTTTAGGCGACGGACGAAACGGACGATCGGAAACCTTGCGTATTTTTTAATTAGGTATAGATTATAAAATTTGGTCAACTATTAGTCTAATAAATAAAATCTGTTTGATGACAATAATATCATCATTGAATTGATATTTGAATGTACTTATGTAAGGTTATGATTTTGTTGATACAAACACGCTACTCCCTTTGTTCCACAGAATAAAACATAGTCAAACTTACCACAATATCTAAAACTAATATTTGAATATTGGTTTCAAGTATACTATAATATAATATTTGTAGCGGCAACAATCATAACCACAAGAAAATAAATTCAATGATTTTATTTTCATCAAATAAATTTCTATTTGTATTAGACTAATTGTTGGTCTAATATTTCAAGAGTTGAATTTTAAAATACGTGCATGTTTTATCTAGTGGGATGGAGGGAGTAGTATATGATAAACTCCTGATGATCTAAATAATATAAATAATATGGTAAACCTTTCTCGATCGGTTTTGTTGAGACTTCTTCTTAGTGCAAAGACATGCATGGGGACAGTCTTTCCCTTTCCCTCACCAGTTGAGTTTTTTCTTTTAAAATAAAATATTAAGGACCAAATTGAGCAATTGGGTGAACTTGAAGGATTACATTGGCTATTTAGGCCTTGTGTAGTTGGGAAAATTTTTTGGGTTTGGTTGTCACATCAGATATACATACACATATTTAAAGTATTAAATGTAGTCTAATAACAAAACAAATTACATATTTTGCCAAGAAATTGCGAGATAAATTTATTAAGCCTAATTAATCCATCATTAGCAAATCTTTCCTGTAGCACCACATTGTTAAATTATGGCGCAATTAGGCTTAAATGTCTTGCAATTTACACGCAATCTGTGCAATTGCTTTTTCCTACATTTAATACTCCATACATGTGTCCAAACATTCGATGTGACAGCGTAAAAATTTTTGTTTTGGGAACTAAACAGGGCCTTAGCCGATAACCAGTGTTGCCACAAGTGTCAAGCAGTGGCCTATAAAGCTACTCCCCTAGTCAAAAAAGGCCATTCCTAGCATTCCAAGGTGAAATTAGTGGAGAGTAAAAATAACCAAAATACCCATCATTATCAGAAAAAACAATAATGCAGATAAGTAGGTAAAGGATACTAAAGCGATGATAAAACTTCTCATTTTATGTGCTAAGGGTAGGTATGATGACAGATTTTTTTTTCTTTTTGACAAAGTTCAAACTCCAGAAGTTAAGTTTTTTTTGAACGGAAAAGGTACATCACATTTATTAGTACGTAGGATCTCATCCTCCTATCTATCTATTATATTATTAAAACAGCCTTGAAAGGAGGCACAACGTTTACTGTGGAGGCTAGAAATTCCCACATTAATCGGAGAAAAAGAAAAGAAGAGTCCAAGTAGAAATACAATCTAAAAATAGCTAAAATTCGGAATTAAAAATATGCAATATGGAAAGAGGAGTCCATATATGAACCCAATACGTGATTAATTAAAATTCATAATAATAATAAAATAAATTTATAAATTAGAAAAATAAGAAAAGAAGAGTTCGAGTAGGAATACAATTTATAAATAACTGAAATTCGGAATTAAAAATAAGGAATATTGAAAGAAGATTCCATACAAGTATCCAATACGAGATTAATTAAAATTTAGAATAAAAAATATAATAAAATCCGAAATTAGGCAAATTAAAAAGAGAGTTAAAGTAGGAATACAATTTTGAAACAACTGAAATTGAAAATAAAAAATAAAAATATCAATAGAACATAATAATAAATAAAATAAAATCTGAAATTAGAAAAAGAAAAAAAAGATTTCAACTAGGAATACAATTTATAAATAACTAAAATTGGTAATAAAAAATAATACTAATGAAAGAAAATACCATCTAAAAAAATACATGACGAGATTAATTAAGTAACAGGACTATAAAGGAGTAGAGTGGTGGCGGTTGATGAAACATCTAAAAGCTATTAATAAAACACCAAATAGAATCCTAATGACGATTAAAAGGAAGGACGTTGGGCAGGTTGTGAAGCAATCAGTCAACACGGTTGGCGGGGACTTCTAGAAAGTAAAAAAAAAACCAATGATAATCATATTTGATTTTTAAAATCTCAATTATAATAAAATGAGACGCGGCGGGCGGGTCGTATAGGAGTACAATGGTAGAGCCGTCGATGGTTGGTGGGTTTTCTAGAAAGTAAAAAATGAATTCCAACGATAGTTGTGTTCAATTTTTACAATCCCAATGACAACAAAGATTATTTGCCGGATGGGTCGTAGAGGAGTATAATGACAACGTTTGACGGGATTTCTAAAAATTATCAAAAACATGAAACCCAACGAGGCAATAAAACTCTAAAAACTATAAGGTTCAATTTTTAAAGGTTCAGGCTTCTAAAAAGTAAAAAAAATAAACCCCAATAATAATCATGATTGATTTTAAAATCTCAATGACAATAAAGAAGGGCGGTAGCGAGCGAGCCGTAGAGGAGTATAGTGACAACGTCGCTAACGTTTTGACGGAACTTCTAGAAAGTAAAAGATATGAACCTAAACGATAATTATGTTCGATTTTTAAAATAGCAATGACAATAAAGAGAAGATGCAGTCGGTTGTGTAGGAGTATAATGGCAGCGTTTAACGAAACTTCTAGAAATTATTAGAAAGAAGCCTGATAGGACAATAAACTATAAAAACTATAAGTTTTTAAGATCCAATTTTTAAAGGTTCTAAGGAGAATGAATACAGCGTTTAACGAAACTTCTAGAAATTATTAGAAAGAAGCCTGATAGGACAATAAACTATAAAAACTATAAGTTTTTAAGATCCAATTTTTAAAGGTTCTAAGGAGAATGAATAGAAACAGTGGTAGATTGAGCAAGCTAATAAAAAATACTATGACAGAAGTAAGGGGTAACAACTGATGTGTCTTTTAAAAACTACTACCTCCGTCCCAAAATAAGTGCAGCCGTAGATATCCGTGCCCAACGTTTGGCCGTCCGTTTTATTTGAAAAATTTGCGAAAAATTTGAAAATATTTAGTCACACAAAAAATACTATTCATATTTTATCATCTAATAGCAATAAAAATACTAATCATAAAAAATTTTCAAATAAGACGAACGGTCAAACGTTGAGCGTGAATAGTGCAAAACTGCACTTATTTTGGGACGGAGGGAGTATAAAATTAGAAACACGAAGATGATAAGGTTTGGTATTTCAAAATCTTAAGTCAACAAGATAACTATTTAATAAATTTTAAGTACACTCATATTAAAAAATATATAATTTATATTGACATGCAATCATTTTGCGCGTAAAAAAAATAATTTTATATGGGTACTAGCCGCGTAATTGCGCGGGCCATCCAGTTAGTTCCTATATATAATTATGGTGCTAGGCTGCTAATAAGCTGCCAGTTCGCCACAAGCCCACACCACCACGTCATGACGTCCGTGTCGTATTCTCTACCGAAAGTGTGCATGATGATGGCCATGGCCATCAGCTGCATGATGATGATGTCCCAAGCAGCGTCGTCGACCGCCGCCATGGCGCCCAGGGACGGCGAGGGCGGCGGACGACGGCACCACTTCGTGCTGGTGCACGGGCTGTGCCACGGCGCGTGGTGCTGGTACAGGGTCGCCACGGCGCTGCGCCGCGCGGGCCACCGCGTCACGGCGCTCGACATGGACGCCGCCGGCGCGAGCCCGGCGCGCGTCGACGAGGTGCGCACGTTCGAGGACTACTCCCGCCCGCTGCTCGCCGCGCTCGCCGCGCTGCCGCCATCCGGGGACGGGGAGCGCGTCGTGCTCGTCGGCCACAGCCACGGCGGGTTCAGCGTCGCGCTCGCCGCCGAGTGGTTCCCTGAGAGGCTCGCCGCCGTCGTGTTCCTCACCGCGTCCATGCCGCCCGTCGGCCGCGCCATGGCCAACACCACCGACGAGGTAAATTAACATCGACTAGCTAGTTGTTTATTAATGCTTGGCTTAAGCGCTTAACTCGATTTGTTAAACTAGTTTTATCTTAAGATTTATAATGTTAAATTTATCATCAAGAACTTACTTAAGTACAAATTATGTTCGAAGTAATTGAAGAATTAAGTGTGAATTTAACGATCACTAAGTAAAACAAATATATGATAATCTTTTTAAGCGAGGTAAATGAGTAGCCCGTGAGATGGCTCGTTAATTACGGTCTTGAGCAAAAGCTCATCTTACTATGATTACGAGTTAGAGCCGATTGAATCCACGAGCTTTTGAGCTCTTTGGGCTAGTAGAGAGAGGAAGCCTTACTATATCAATCTGAATGTCATTTTTCTTTTCTCATTCTGCAGCTAGCACTGTTATTGAAATATACCGTATAATGTTTTAAGATTATGTAATCGAACTTTAAAATCTATTTTCCGTTAAAAAAAATTAAAAATCTTACTCCCTCCGTTTCATAATATAAGAGATTTTGATTTTTTGCTTACAACGTTTGACCACTCGTCTTATTTAAATTTTTTTAAAATTATTAATTATTTTATTTGTGACTTACTTTATTATCTACAGTACTTTAAGCACATCTTTTCGTTTTTTATATTTTCTAAAAAAATTTAAATAAGATAATCGCTTATATCGTGGGACAGAGGGAGTAGATCACTAGTATAAGAAATCAAATATGGTAGCAATCCATGGCTGCGAAAGGGAATCTTTCTTAGCGACATGGACATTATTCTTTTTTTGCTCTATCTGCACCTGGCAGTGTTTGCTTTTTTTGAAAGAAGAGCTAGCAGCTTTAAAATATCTTTCACTAACAAACGTGGTAGTCTTACGAGAAGGAAAAAAAATAATGTACTATATCCGTCCCAAAATATAGTAACTTTTAGCTATAACTTTAAACACAGTTATCTAGATTCATAGCTAAAAATAATTATATTTTGAGATAGAGGGAGTACTTAATAAAACTTAAATTGCAAATTTATAATCACCTAAATTTGCATATTACTAAGACTTAAATTGATGGACTACGGGTCTGTTTGGAGGAGCTTTAGATTCTGAGAAGCAGCTGTTTGGTAGCCAGCTTCTGAGAATCTGGAAAAACTCTGAAACCCAGCTTCTCCAGCTTCTGGCTTCTTAGTTCATTTTTCAGAATCTATAACTACAGATTCTTAGAAGCTGTGGATTATTTGGGGGCCGCTTCTAGCAGAAGCAGTTTTTTGGAAAAGCTGCAGCTGGGACAAGCTCCGCCAAACAGGGCCTACGTAAAATATGTAATTGTAAGTTCATTTTATCTGCAATTGTTGTTATGTATGATTTTGATACATTTTTATCCAAGATTGAATATTTTAATATGTAATTTTATTTGTACCAAGTTTTAATGAATGGTAAGTTATATTTCATGTTTAGGTTACAATAATTTCTTCAACCTTTTATTTAAAAGAAAAGGGACTTTGCGTATAAATAATTAATAGAAGAGTGGTGTAAAGAATCATGGGATTGCCATTCAAGAAATTAAAAAGTGATTGAAATTGCCTAAAACAACAGTCGAATATAAACATTCCTAAAAAAAATACTTCCTCAACTGTAAAATATAAAGCATAACAACCACTAATACAAATACCAAGAAAAAAGTTATTATGACATTATTATTTGGATCACGCCGATAAATACAATACATCCAATAAAATTAGATATCTTAATTTAGTCAAGAAGAAATGCTCAGGTGCTAGTTAATCATACTACTCCTACATGCACGCCACGCCTTGTTTTAGAAAACATTGAAAACAATAGCACGTACTTCTTTTGCATATCTATTAAAAAAAGCTTCTCATTTTCATTTTGCGTGTGCGAGAGAAAGAGAGAGCTAGACGTAATTAAGAAAGTTGACTTATCTTGATAAGAAGTAATTACACCGGAAGTTAACACAGCCGAGATCGCCGACATGGGCGTGTCTGCTCTCTGCTGGAGGTACGCGTAGTACTATTAGGCCCTGTAATTTCGAGTTTCATATCGAATCGAATGTTTGACGGGATATCGAAAAATGTTTTAGGACACAAATGAAAAAACTAATTTTATAAATCAACTGGAAACCGCGAGACAAATTTTTTAGTCTAATTAAGCCGTCATTAACAATTATGGATTATTGTAGCATTTATGGCTAATCATGAACTAATTAGGTCAAAAGAATCGTCTCGCGATTTCCATATAAACTGTACAATTAGTTTTATATTTAATGTTTTATGTATGTGTCAAAGATTTGATGTGATGCTTTTAGAAAAAAAATTTAGAAACTAAACGAGACCTTACTCTACTCCTGTGACTATACATGTCTCATGGCTGGCTGGCTGCCTAGCTGGCGCCGCGCCTTATGATAAAACGTACAAGACACCACTATACTCTAAAAATAGTCGAATCCAAACACCACCTTTTGTACATGAAGTCAGAACTCTAGAGTCTATTGCATGAATAAGAGCTAATTCGTGAGACAACTATTTTAAGTCTAATTAATCCATAATTAGCATATGTTTACTGTAGTATCACATAGTATAATCATAGATTAATTAGGCTCAATAGATTCGTCCCACGAATTAGTCTAGAGTTATGGAATGTGTTTTGTCATTAGTTTACGTTTAATATTTTTAATTAGTGTTAAATATCCGATGTGAAATTTAGTCCTTCTATCCAAACATGCCCCAAATAAGTACTTTCATCTCTAAAGTCTCATCCACCTCCGAGGACCGCGCTTAGCGCGGGTGGCAGGAGCCAGTGGCTCGCTCCGTGCCGATCAGCATTCGAGTCTTAGACTCAACGCTCGTCCCTCGCCCGGGGGGATTTTTCCCCTCTTTACCCGGGACTGACTTCGGTTGGTCCCGGCTAGGTAACAGGGTACACACACGCGTGCGCGTTTAGTGGGACTGCACGTTTTCCGTGCACTGAGGCCTAGTGCCTCCAATCTCATTCCTAACGTGTGTGTGCGTGTGTTGTAGTGTGAGTGTAGTAATTTAGTCGTTTTATCTTTCTCTTCTTATCTTCCATGATCAAAAACTCTATAATTAAGTAGCCATATTTGGGTCGGCTGGAGCACTATTATTTACTCCCTCCATTCTAAATTGATCTACATATTTCATAGGTACACCAAGATCAAGAAAAACTAATAACTCTCTCATACTATATTTACTCTAACAACAAACTCTATGCATGCACCATCCCTACTATTTCTTAGCCAATAGCAAATCAAGATATTGCATGTGGGTTATAAATACTTATATGTATGGATGCATGCATCAATGTCTATTTACTCCAATGCACAAATAACGAATAGACTTAATAAATGAACATAAATATGCAGATCATTTAGGAATAACCTCAAAAAACTGTATGTATATCAATATGTGATGGAGAGAGTACTAGCTAGTCCGTGCAATGATTATCATGTATGGATGACACAATATATTTATTACGTTCTAACTTTAGAGTTTAGACTAGCCCACCTAAACAGTCGAATCCAAACACCAACTTTCGACATTTTATCACTACATACTCTAAAAATAGCTATACTTGGTATATAATTTAAATAGTATAAGTAACTATGTTTTACTACCTCCGTCCCAAAATAAGTGCAGCCATAGATATCCGTGTTTAGCGCTTTGACCATCCGTCTTATTTGAAAAATATTAAAAAAATTAGTCACACATAAAGTACTATTCATGTTTTATCATCTAATAACAATAAAAATACTAATCATAATATTTTTTGAAATAAGACGAACGGTCAAACGTTGAACATGAATAGTGCTAAAACTGCACTTATTTTGAGACGGAGGGAGTAAGACTTAAAGTGGACTAGCTTGTGATGTGTGCACACACATTTATATCAGAAAAATTAATATAAGGAATCTCGTGGGGCACGAGGGCACATGATAAAACAAGGGCGAAGGTTACATATCTCCCATATCCATTTCCCCTACCAACTTGCTTTCTCCCCCACCGAGCAGCAGCGCTTCATCTTCCTCCTCCCTCCTTCCACTACTCTGCCCCAGTGGCCATCCTCCTCCTCCCTCTCCTCAACTCCTTGATGATCGTCTCCAACATCGACGACATCCTCTATCCTCTTTTCACCCTTCCTACACCAAATCCAGAGCATGTGAGAGAGTGGAGGTTGACAAGGGCATGGGGGTTATAGCCAAGGAGGGAGCCAACTATGGCTGTGAGGTTGGGGGTTGTCATGTATGAGTAGAAGGAAAGGGAGGCGGCGAGGCCGAGGGGGACAAGGTTCTGAGCATCGACATGGAGGTGGAGGCAGCCGGTCTCAACGTAAATGGCAACCTTGGAGTTGATGAAGTGGATTAGAGGCCGTCGGGTTTATTCATGCTCCTTGCTAACCCATCACTTCTACTCGTCAGTGTTGTATACAGGTACATCGCAGCCGATACCTTAGGTATCAGGGGGTTGATACCCAGGGTTTGATACCTCGGGTATCATGCATGGTACCTAGGTACAAGGGTTTGATACCTTGGGGTATCATGCCAGGTACCTTAGGTATCAGCCAGTACACATATGTACTGTCGGCCCCCGGTTTTTAGATACGGAAAGCCACATGTGTTCGCAATACCAACTCCCTGGATCGGTAGGTTGGCATACACACAATATAATACTGTACAACATCGTTTGCATTGCATAGTTTTATAGTTCTCATTGATACAAGGAAAGCCCGAATGGGTTCCCGAATAGACCATAACTGGTCGAGTACAATACCAACATCAAAGCATAAGGTAGGATAGCAGAAGCGAGGCTATAGCGGACCGGCTATATTCCCGCAGGCAACAACTGGGAGTTAGTCCCTAGGGCGTCTCTTCCTTCTCTCCCTCCTTGGGAGCGTTTTTGAATGGCACCTCCACATCAACTGGGTATAAGAGAGGGTGGTAAAGCAAGGGTGAGTACTAGCGTACTCAGCATGTCACCACTTAAAATAAATGCAAATAATGAATACATGGATACCAGGAAGGGGTTCGAGCTATTTGCGTAAAGCTATATTTCACAAATCATTTCACAAACCTAGGACCTAGCAGTTTTAACCGAAAATGTCGTTAAGTTGAAGTTGTGTTTAATAGTGGGGGTTCATCCACCCACCCCAAGCCTCGCTTGGTCAGGTTTACCCTCACCACCAGTTCATACCATTACTATACTAACCTCCTCGCATGTTGGGCGAGAGGTTACACAAGTCTTAACATCTCTAGTCTAAGCCGTACTAAACTTTATGAGGTTCGATCAATCGTTCGAAGGTCCGTTCATTCGAGCGTTCAAAGATCGTTCGTTCAAAACGTTCATGTGTTTGATTAGCCGAAACGTATGACGGGGTTACGACGACCGAGAGGTGGCGCAATCTCTTGCCCAACCGAGGCCCAGCCGATGCCGGCCGGGGCGGAGCAAGCGAAGAGGCGGCAGCCTGTGCGCGGGAGGGAGTGGCGAGGATGGATGGGAGTGGAATGTCGGGGAGAAGGGAGAAGAGAGGGGCGGGTTGCGTGCTTGGCTTTGGCGGCGCTTATATAGGTACCGGGTGAGCTGATGCATGCATTCATTTCATCCACGAGCTTCCGCGCACGTAGGTGAGGTGGTTGACTGTTTGGCGGCGCGGCGGCACGGCGTCACCGATTGGGGCTACCGTGGCGATGCGGGATTGGCTTCGACAGGTGTTGGGTGATGGCTGACACACGGCGCCGTTAGGCGGAAGCTAACCTCCCGCACTAACTCGAGTAATATCGGCAAGGTGGCGGTCGAAGACAGGATTTTCGGGCGTTCGGCCGCCAATCGTGTTTACCGCGTCGCGGTGCGCTGGTGCGCTGGTGGATCCGGCGCGGCTTTTGCTGCCATTTGCTCGGCGGCGTGCGGTTGGGGAGCGACAAAACGGCCAGTGAGGGAGGGAAGGAAGGGGCGGCGGCCAGCGGCGGCGCGCGAACGGCCTCACCCGCGATTTAAGGGAGGACAAAGCCGATTAAGGGTGGAGGGGGGGAGGGGGGAGGGCAAACATAGACTTCCCTCGGCTAGCCGATTGAGGGAAAAAAGGAGAAATGGGCCAAGGGAGGTAAATAGAATTTTCTTTAAAAAGTCTCAAACAGTAGAGGCTAGGTTGAGGGAGTGGATTTGGACTTCGTAGGATAGAGTTGCTCTGAGAGGTAAAATATAAGGATAAAACTCTTTTCGAGGATAGAAAGGATTGTAGAAATTTAAACAAAATTTGGCACTTGGCGAGAAAGGGTAAAATCCAAATCCATAAGTTCGGCATGATGCAAGTTTTTGCAAATTTTCCTGAGGCGAATTTTTGGTCTTCGAATTTTATTTTAACGAACTTTTCAGGGTGTGTTACATGTACCAAGTGAATAGTATCATATATTAGGTATCGGGTTTGGTACTTACGGTATCAGGTACCATATCAAGGAATGAGGAAGGAGGGTGCGCTCTCATCGTCTGGCTTACCGACAAGTCACATGTCATTGTCTCATCTTCTTTTCTCCCTTCCTCTCGACGCCTCCCTCCTTCCTCTGTTGTTGCTGTGACCGGTGAGGGCAAGGAGTTAGTGGTGCCACTGCTTCATTTCTTTGAAACGTGGGAGCTCAAACATAGGGGAAGATGGATTAGATTTATATAATATCCCGTTGGAATGGAATCCCGTGCTCTAGCAATCCTCATACTAATACACGGAATCATGTGGTGCATGAGGTACTAGCAAAGGCCCAGACCCATCTTTGCTACGGGTAGCTATGGGTAAAAGAAAATACGATAATATATTTAGATAAAATATCTTTGGTGTCAAATATACAAGCACCGCTTGTTTGTGATTTTAATACATGTATCCACTTTTTTAAACAAATATTCATACTATTGCATAATATATGTTAAAAAATATTAAGGACTATCACCGCCACTACTATTTTCCATAGCAGTATAGATATTATTACATGTATGTAACTATTCTACGATCACATTATGCACTGTATATTGATGATATACTCCTACATAATTAATTAATTATGAAATTGTTGGTTTCTACTTTGCGATGCAGTATGTGAGCTTTGTTGGGGCAGATTTCTTCCTCGACTCGAGGGTGCTGGAGCAAACGAACCCCGATATCCCGGGAAACCCTGAAATATTCGGGCCCAATTTTATGGCCCAGAAACTTTACCAGCTAAGCCCGCCAGAGGTAATGCCTTAAATCGCAACATGAGGCATCAATTTCTATTTATTTTTTTCTAGAGCAAGAGGGAATTTTAATTTAATTTTTTTATGATACTCTAGATCAGCTCAAATAGTTCGTATGTTTGCTCTCAAACAGATGACGTTATGTACGGTCAAATCTCACTTGTTAAATCAATAATAAAAAATATTTATATTTAATAGGTGAAAATGGCATTAGTAGATTTGTCATTAAAAAAGCTTCATATGATTATATATGATTATATTTTTAATAATTTGTATAGATGTATAATTTGAGAAAAAACATAAATATTAGGGAAGGACCTAATATCAAATAAATAGAAGGGGTAAGGCTTCAAATTTAGAATGGCTAACTCATCACCCTGTGGAGTTAGGTAGAATACCCCGAACGTTTCTCTTTTTGAAAAAAAAGAACGTTTTTTTCGAAAAAAAGAAAATGATGACACTTACATTAAGGAATATGTGAATGATCAAAATGATGTTAATTTTCGATTTTCGTAGAAAATTCTTTTGAAAAAGCACATTTTATGGTAAAGCTTCTGCATTCCAAATAGGACTTTAGCTAGGGATGACAAAAATCAATCTCTAATGCACCTACGAATTGACCTGATATATTCATATATATAAATGTTCATTTATTTTTGGATTTATGATTCATATATAAGTCTTTCTTTTTTTTTCCATAGGAGTTAACCCTGGCGTTGTCGCTGATCCGGCCGGCGAACCGGTTCACCGGCGACGCGCTCATGAGGGACGCCGGCCTCCTGACCAAGGAGAGGTACGGGTCGACGAGGCGCGTCTTCGTCGTCGTGGAGGACGACCACGCCATCCCCGTCGAGTTCCAGCGCCGCATGGTCGCGGAGAACCCCGGCGTCGAGGTGGTGGACATCGCCGGCGCCGACCACATGGCCATGATCTCCAAGCCGGCCAAGCTCGCCGACCTGCTCGTCAGGATCGCTGCCAATTAAAGCACCACAACCTTGAATGCATATTTTGCCAGATTGAATTTCAGAAATAATTGATAATATAATATTATAAACAAATAAATAAGTCTCTCTCTCTCTCTCTCTCTCTATATATATATATATATATATATATATATATATATCCTTGTGCCGTTTGGAATATGTAATAATGCATGTGTATTTGGACACCATCAAGATAATTAAAAAAGGGGCTGCTATGCAACGGAATCCCGTTGGGACGGGATTATACAGATTAGATATCAGATCCTGATACTTCTGAGATATCATGTCCTGATACCTAACCGGTATTAGCCGATACTTCTAAGGTATCAGGTGATACCTATAAGGGTATTAGGCGATTACTTTTACATATCAGGTGATACTTGCGAAGTATCAGGTGATAGCTGTTAAATATCAGGCGATACCTACCACGTATTAGGTGATACTTACAAGTTATCAGGAGCCGGGAACTAACGCACTGTCGCTGGTTGTCCAACCGTCCACGTCCCACGTCAGAGCTCGTCGCCGGTGGCCGCATCCTCCATTGTCCACGACACATCACAGCTCGCCGCCAACGGCCGTGTCCTTCGTCATCCACGCCCCACACTAGAGCTCGTCGCCGACGGTCACATCCTCCACCGTCCATGCCACGTCGGAGCACGTCGGCGGCGGACGCGTCCTCCATCATCCACGCCCCACGCCAGAGCTCATCGTCAGTAGCTGCGTCCTCCTTCGTCCACTCTCTGGCGATGAGCTCCCTGGCGACACAACAATACCAATCTCCATGGCATACAAGCAGCAATACAAACAATGAATTGGAATCACCTTCTGGTTCTTCACCTTGGCTGGAACTTGCTCCTCCACTGCCGCCTCTTCCTTACCCTCTTCTCCGACTAGCTCCCCTTCTTCGGGTCAGCGCAGCAGCATCCGGCGATGTTTCCCGGGCAGTGCAGCAAGGCAGGCACGAGTCCTTTCTCCGGAGAGCCCCTTCCCCTTCTCCTATAATGTGCTCCTTAACGGAGCGGCGAGGTGAGGCGAGGCAGCGGGGGCCTTCTCCGACAAGCTCCTCTCTCTCTCTCTCCTCCGCTAGCAAGCTCCCTCCTTCCTTCGCTGCCGCATGCCGCCATTGCGCTGCTCTGCTGCCGCGCTTAGTGCTCTAGGATGAGGAGCAAGACGATACCGTCGCGTGGGCGCTGGAAACAGGATTCCGTCATTTAGCATTTCCGTAAAGAAAAAGGTGTCTGTGAGTATCATCAGGAGATTTTCTTTTTTGAAAATGTACATCTTTTTTTTCCAAATTTGCATGACTTGTCGGGTTCAAATCAAACATTTAATTTTTTTCTTCATTTAAGTCTTGAATGCATAGAGACTACAAATAAAACAACTTATTTGAAATAACTAAAATATTAAATAGGTCTAGCTCTTATGGATGGAGGGAATACGTAGAGGGTAGAGTACAATTTTCTATTTCTAATACGAAGGAAGATACAATTTTCTGCAGTATATGCACTCACTGTTAGCAATTAATTAGCACCGTAAGGAAATCACTGTGGAATGTTCAGAACGCTGCCTTGTCCATTTATTAATCTTCCGTTTAGATCATCATTTTAGTTTACTCTCGAAAGTCTAGTTCGATCAGTCACTTGCATGGACGTTACCAAATTTTGGCTATTTTAGTTGGTAATATTTTTTCAGAGATATATTATCCATAATAAATCTACAAATACTTGAGACTGTTATGCTATTTATAATTGTATCGGAGCGAAATAGGCCTACAATACAACTATTAACCTATAAAATTTGATAGGATGGAAATTAATATGATTACTGAATGTTACTAATTATTCGAAAATGAAGGGAATATATTATTCCACACTTAGCCACAAAGTGCCTAGAAACAATTGGGACAGTAAATATTTTAAGGCATGTTCGGTCCAATACACGAATTAATTAATAACTAATATAATTCAATAAATAGCTTGAAGAAATGTTATGTGAGCAGTGTTTATATACAAAATTATATAAGAAATTGTATTTATAAAAGCCTGATATGGATAATTCATACCTTATCTTAAAAAGAACACGGTCTCATTAGCGTTAGAATCTCATAAATACACGTTATGGTGCTAACTACCAGTTTGCCAGCTGCCACCAAGGAACCAACCCACCACCTCATCTATATTACCGTAGTACTCTCTCCATCCCAAAATAAAATAATCTAATACTGGATGTCATATATCTTAGTCTAGATTCATACTATTAAGACGTATCTTATCCAATACTAAGTTGGTTTTATGAGACGGAGGGAGTATCTTCTAATGAAATTGTGCAACACCTCCACCCAATAAATATGAGGAAAAAGTCTACTTTTTTACATTTCTAGTTTGATTCTCGTTCTTTGACCACAAAAATCAGGGACAGAATTAAAACTAGATCAGATTACCTCTCTAGGCAGACAGTTTTGATGTTTATTTTGTTCTATCTTACATGTTGACCTGATCTTTATTATACGTAACGTTTAACTGATATTATAGTGAGAGGATAAAATGACACATTATCTCTACTATTATAAAAATTAAATTTGTTTCCGCTAAAATTTTGGTACTTCATCCGTATTTGAGTTGTTTTTTATTTGGTTATAAATCATCTGTATCTAATTCGATGTGGGTCTAAATAACTAATATGCCCCTCCTAGCCCGACCCAAGCGGTCCAAACCATCCTGCCACGCCATCCAATGCGTCTCCACTCGGCGTGGCGCGTGCCTCTCCCCCGATCGGTGTTTTTTTTCTTTTCCCATTTTTCATTTTCATTTTCTCCTTTTCTTTTCTTCCGATCATCATGATCTTCTCACGATCCTTCCCATCTCTTCCGTTTTCTCCTCCTTTTCTCTTTTCTTCTCTTTAAAATTTCTCTCCTCATAAATGTTTTCCTTTTGAAATTATCATTATTTAAGGTGTGTATACGGTAAATTTGTTACTTTACAAATGCTTTCTATCTACAGTAAAAAAAATTCAATAATTGAATATTCAAAATTTCAATTTTGGTCGATGAAGTATAGCAAATACACATGTGTTAACTTATATAGTAGCCACCCAATCGATTTGTGAGGCTATGGAAAGGTGTACATAAAGGATTCTTCGTATGATAATGCAAGCGAATGTAACATGGTTCAATGCTATATATGATTTTGATTTAGTTTTACCATTATTTTGTCTTGTTTCAGTCATTTAAATTGGCAGAGTTTAATCAATCGCGAAAATTATTTTCAGCTGTTGCAACGCAAAGGCATTTTTGCTAGTAGGAGTAAATATAAAATAAATTCAGTGGGACCCACATCTACATGCCATCCTATGTCATCCCTACTTTCTCTTCCTCTCCTCTACACTCTCTTCACTCGTTGCCTCCATGACCACCTGCCCATCACTTCCTCGAGTTCTCCTTCACCCTTCTCGTCTTGCATCAGAAGAGCTGCCACTTTCCTCATGGTAGGGCGTGACGATGCCATCAACGTAGGTGAAGAAGATTATGCATGGTCGTCGATCTAGAATCCGCCTCTCGATGATGGTCATAGTGGCAATGGACCCGCCTCTCCTCAACCGCAGGCCACGCTCACCAGATGCAACGTCCTCATCCCGCATGCACTGCTGGAGGGCAATATCTAGAGGCGGGCGTCACCAATCTGGAGTACGAGCTCGACTTGGAGGACGGGTTGGGTGAGTTGCGTCACCTCCTCTATCTCTCTCTCTCTAGATTTAGATGGACCCGTCTCTCCTCAACCGCAGGCCACGCTCACCAGATGCAACGTCCTCATCCCGCATGCAATGCTGGAGGGCAATATCTAGAGGCAGGCGTCACCAATCTGGAGTACGAGCTCGACTTGGAGGATGGGTTGGGTGAGTTGCGTCACCTCCTCTATCTCTCTCTCTAGATTTAGGAAGCCACGACCGCTGATGCAACCAATGTGGCATCTGCCTGGAGTAGCCACGGGCTTGTAGTCGTCACCGCCTCCTCCTCCTCAAGTTCCTTTCTTTCCTGGGCTCAGTCCTGCCTTCTCCACGCACTGCCCGAAGCGAGCTTTGCCTCCTCCGCCAATGCCACTGCCTTTGCCCTCGTCGATGCCCAGCCAGCTTTTGTTAATGACTAGCAAGGCTCTCTACCTAGACAAATTCACACTTGGCGCGACAATCAAGGTGGCATATGCTCTTGTCGATGACAGCGGTGCAGCACTCAGGAGGTGCCTCCGTAGGGTCTCATCGTCTAGTGCGATATAGTGGATGGCGTGGTGGGAGAGAGACTGAAAGGAGAGAAAAGGGGAGGAGAGAGCTGTCATGACATGTTAGTTTCACCGTTTTTCTTTAAAAAAAGTCGTGTGAGACTTACACGTGGTTTTTGTCTATTTTTAATTGTTTCTTTTGAATTGGAACGCATGTTAAGTGTTACGTAGGTACTACGTCATGTAAAAAACCAGGTTAAAGTGTTACGTAGGATGAAATCACCATCAAAATCGTATAGGAACGTAAATTAAATTGATTTTAACAGTTGAGTGAGTCTCTATACTTGCTTTTCATATGGATAAAACTCGTTATGCACTCAAGGAAGGTAAAAATGGACTTTTTCCTAACTATGAGGATTGCCCAAGCACTCAAGACCACGGTTGGTGGCACAGTGGAGCTTGGCGGCGGCGGCGGCGAGGTCGACGGCCGCAGCCATGTAAATAGTGACGTACAGTAAATGCTTACGGATATATGGAGGAACTGAAGTTACAATTTTCTGCAGTGTGTCCCACCTGTTTGTCCGTTTAGCACTATGACGAAAATCACGCGGTACACATGGAACGTTCAACCCGCTGTCGACAGCGATAAACCTTAACTGAGTTTACCGCGTCTTATCAGCGGTACACATGGTAATAATGCTAAGACGTCTTATCTGTTTATCGCTGTCTCGATATAGTTTGGTCTGCTCCGTAATCCTTATCCTCCCTCCGTCATAAAATAAGTGCAGTTTTACACTATTCACGTTTAACGTTTGACCGTTCGTTTTATTAAAAAAATTTATGATTAGTACTTTTGTTGCTATTAGATGATAAAACATGAATAGTATTTTCTGTGTGACTAATTTTTTAATTTTTTTATAAATTTTTTAAATAAGACGGATGGTCAAACGTTGGACTCGGATATCTATCGTTGCACTTATTTTAAGACGGATGCAGTATATTTTATAAAGTTCGTACTCAATAAGTGTAGTCACTTATGAAGTCACGACATCTTAATTGTTTTTTTTTACTTATGAAGTCACATCATATTAATTGATTTAGCATTTGAATGATTTATCAAGGACGTGGATTGCATTTCTTTTCCTCCGAAACCACACCATACAACTTAATCATTTATAACATTTAGATAAGTGATCAAGATACAAAATATATAAGCACATGAAAAACATCTATAGTAAATAAGAAAGAAAATTTTATAATTTATATATACTATTTTGAAATAATTGTCAAGATTATGGATACCACATATCTAACAGTAGTTGACGAAATCTCAGTAGGACCCACCACATACCATGTCTTATACGGAAACTGACCTCGGATATGGAGGGAGTTCCGGATAAGGAAAGACAACCAGAGTTCTATATGGAAGCGACAAGGCTCTACTCGGATTGTATCCATACTGGTTTCCCTAGTTCTACTTGGACAAGGGGACACCTATGGGTATAAATACAAGACCCCCTAGGAGGAGAGGGGAGACAGAACAATAGATTAAGACACAATATCAACATACAAGCCAATATACGCCAAGATATGCCGCCGGATATCGACATCAAAGATATGCCTGGACTGACCCTATCCCGGTACCTACAGAGGCCGGCTGTAGGGATCTAGCGTTGTCTCTGATCTCGCCGAGCACAGATTCGAGGAGGAAGACTACCCTGTTGTCGACTACATGATGATACTTCAATCTGCTATGTCGATAACAGATAGATAGGCTACCCCAAATATTGTACCAGTGTGATTATGATGAATAAGAGCAACGACCGGCTTCGGCCAACAGGAGTAGGGTTATTACCTGACAATTCAGGGGCCCGAACCTATATAAAAATCATTGTCCCCATCTCTTTACCTCAATCTCGCATATATCCTAGCACCAACGATCCCCATACTATGCAAATACCGGAATCGCGACATCGAACATCAACAATAATAGCGGCTACCAAATTTAATTTTACCTATTTTAAATGTGGCGATATATCTTTTTGGTTTTTGTAAAAACGTAGAATAACGCAATTGCCAGACCGGTCTTGACCACTGTTTGATAATTTTTCGTGCAGGCCTGCAGGGATTATCCATAACAAAACTACAAATATTCTACATTATTGAACGAAATAAATCTCACTGTATAGATATAAACTTACAGAACAGATAATGTGGAGATAGCCATTGCTGCCGATTATTTAAAAACGAAGAAAACATATACTACTCCCTCCGTTTAATTAAATGAGTGTTGACTTTTCGTATAACGTTTGACCATTTATTTTATTAAAAAAATATAAATATAATTTCTTTTATATATTGTGGACTTGTTCTATCATCAAATAAAATATAATTTTAACTTACACTTTTACATTTCTATATTAAATTTTTAAACAAGATAAACGGTTAAATGTTGTGTGAAAAGTTATTGAAAATAAGGTAGTGTAATTTAACACTTAATTAGCCACATTTGTTACACAAATGTTATGGTGCTAGCCGCCAGTTTGTCAGCAGCCCACCACCATAATACCCTATTTTATTAACTTTCTACTGAAAATATGCAACACGCAAAGAAATATAAACGTGCATTAAATAATTTTCTACTGATGATGTGCAACACGCAAATTAAAGAAGGAAATATATATATAGGAGCTACGCAGATGCATATGCACAATCGATGATGGCCCAAGCACCCATGTCCACGGGCGGCGGCGCCATGGAGCTCGGCGGCGGCGGCCATGAGAGCGTGGAACGTCGTCGACGGCACCAGCACCACTTCGTGCTGGTGCACGGGCTGTGCCACGGCGCGTGGTGCTGGTACAAGGCCGCCGCGGCGCTGCGCCGCGCGGGGCACCGCGCCACGGCGCTCGACATGGCCGCCAGCGGCGCGCACCCGGCGCGCGTCGACGAGGTGCGCACGTTCGAGGACTACTCCCGCCCGCTGCTCGACGCGCTCGCCGCGCTGCCGCCGGCCGGCGGGGACGGCGACGACGAGGAGCGCGTCGTGCTCGTCGGCCACAGCCAGGGCGGGTTCAGCGTCGCGCTCGCGGCGGAGCGGTTCCCAGAGAGGGTCGCCGCCGTCGTGTTCCTCACCGCGGCCATGCCGCCCGTCGGCCGCCCCATGTCCGCCACCACCGTGGAGGTAATTAACCTGTGTTTAGTTCACACTAAATTAAAAATTTGGTTGAAATTGGAATGATGTGATGGAAAAATTAAAAGTTTGTGTATATAAAAGTTTTTGATGTGATAGAAAAGTTGAAAGTTTTAAGAATAACTTTGGAACTAAACACGGCGTTAGTTGCGAAATCAACAGAAGTTTTTTCTGATCGATCTACTAGTCTTTTTTTATTTACTCCATGAATGCGCACTAAACGATGTTTTAGGATTACGTTAATTAAATCAACTTTAAAATCTTATGACCTAAAAATTCCACCCTATTTTTCTAAAAGGTAGATGTATAATATGTGAGTTTAATTAGGATTGTGTCAATATCTAAGTGTCAATATAACCCTGAAATGCTCAAATTAAAATGGCATTTTGTCTGGGAGTCCTTAATGAATTGTACTGTGGACCAACAAGCATTGTTTGTCCGTGATTTATTTTCTAAAAAGAAGAATTATGAACACACCCACACATGGACAAAAATATTTTAAGATTGATAGTCAATACAAATGCACTGTTGACATAGACTCATCAATTAGCACTGAAAAAATAATTATACAAAAATATGAGTACTCATACTTAATGAGTTGAAGACTAGAATTTGACTGAGTATATTCTACCATTCGAAACTTAACCTATTTAAGGCTGAGTTCGTTTGTTGGAGTTGTGAACTAATAATCACTCATACATATGAAAACGAGAAAGAAGTGTTGGCAACCTCAAGCAACGGACTCAGTGTTAGTAGTTACGCTTCGTTTTTAGAGGTAACCACAACTACCTACCGAGTATCGAGATAATGTTTTTGAGAACGACATTTAAATTTGGTCAATCTTTAATCATGTTGTGAACTTTTTTATTACATTTCTGAACTTAGTGGAAATTAAATGATCTTTCTCGCCAGATAATATAGCCGACATGATTTTATTTTCATGGAAATCATAGGAAATAATCATATTCCCTACAAACATTTTGTCGAGATAAAACCTGCCAGACATCTCGACTCCATTATTATTATCTCCGAGTCATAATATTTGATAATTTTGAGTAGCGGACCATATATATTTTTTAAATTATTTACTTATGATAAATAGGCTTTATATTACCACATATATGATTTGCACTACATAAATATAAATAAATATGTACCGATTTACACTACATATTTTCTTCACATTTATGATAACTAGGCTTTATATTAGGTTTGTCCATGTTTCCAAGAGAAAAAAATATTTTTATATTTAATCATGAGTAAATATTTTACTGTGAGTAAAAATTTTATTTTTGCTAATGTGGAAAAATCTCAGACGTTTGTTTTCAAATTTAACGGTAGTTCCAATGTTTCTAATATATATGGTTTGTATTACATACTTTTTCTGTTTATTAGGAGAACTCATTTTCTTTGCGTGCGACCGAGAGAGAGGGGGGGAGATATAGACGTAACTAAATGCGTTGACTTAGTTTAATATTGACAACTACTGCTAATGCGAGACCGACACATGAGTCTACTACTCCCATCGTCCCAAATTATAATATTTTTTTACATGGTCTTGAATGATATATTTTTGACTATTAATTTATTTAATATTATGTTATCAAACAACTACAAAATTTATATCACATAAAGTATTTTAAAATACAAATCTAGTGATATAACATGTATAATACTTAGAGTGTGTTCGGAAGCTAGTGTTCCCAACCGAAAGAGTGCGCACGAAAAACGGAGCGGTCCATTAGCACGTAATTAATTAAGTACTCTTAGCTAATTAATATTTTTTAACAAATTTAGACTCTAGAACAAGCTATATTTTGTTTATTAATAGGACACATCATACATTTTCCTTCCCTACTAAGGGCTACTTTGGGAAAAAAGTTCCGAAGGATGTATTCGGAAAGAATTACTATATGGACATTTTGAACAAAGGAATGGCTTTTCTGAATTCCTTTAAAGTTTGTTAGGATTGCCTACAATTATGAGAATTTTGGAGGATTTTTAACATAAGGTTTAACGTCTTGAAAATATTCATTTATGCCTCCTCTCTTCTGATCAATTCCTATTCTTTTTCTGTGATCCATACAAACGATATGGTTTTCTTATATTTTTCTATCATAAGACTTGTAGTGACAAGGCACTCGAATTCTAAGTTTTTCAAAAATTATGTATTCCAAAGAAGTTGTCCCAAAATATGAGGGATTTTTTTTTATTTTTAGATAAAGAGAGTGTTTAGGACATTTTAGTCATTTTTCCTACTACCTCTAACCCCATAATATAGCTATCTCTTCTATTGAAGTTTGAATGGTAGAGGTAGTTATATTATGAGATGAAGGTAATCGGTAATTCTAAAACTGGTGGGTAACCCGCCATGCAATTGGTCCAGGTGGTCGTATAGGTCCGCGACGCGTGGAGAAACGAGAGGAACGGGCGGACGGCACACCACGATAGATTTTCTTTTCTTTTTTTGTTACTCGTGCCTTCCCGATTTCTCGCGTACGCGCGTCCGATTTGGGCCTGCTCCCAGCAAGGTTGGGCTGATTGGCGGCCCATGCGCGAGGAAGGACGCGTGACGAGCGGACGAATGTCGTCGGGTGCGTGTGCTGGGTCTTTGCCTCTTGGGTGGGGGGGTACTGGCCGGGCAACTCCTGCGCTAGCTTCATGTAGGAGGAGGAAAATAATAGAAAAAAAAAGACCAATGTTAGCCATCAAGGAAATTCTACAGGCAAAATTAATGCAAATTAAATATTAGATAGAAAAAATTAAGGTAAGAATAATTTGAAAGAAAAGAAAATGTTACATGCAATTCTAAAAACAAAATCTGGTCTAATTTAACCTAGCAATTTTTACATCATGGAGTCTAGGACATTTTTGTAGTTATCAGACAGATCCCATGGTTGGAGTCAAATAAGTAGGTATGCCCTGGTTGGGTTCTGAAGGTAATTTTGCACTGACAAAAGTGGTTGAATTACTTCACTTGCTCCATTTTGTTTTCTTCAGATATAAATTTTTAAGCCACTATACAATAATATCTATTTTAGGTGTTCAGCATATCTTCAAAAACTTTATTAAGACTGTAAGTGATGAGGGAAGGATTGAAATCACTAATTAAGGGATCATTTCGAATGTGTGATTTTTTTGGATAGAAATTTCATTGGCATAAAACTAATTCTGAATAAACATGAAAGATTTATTAGGATATAGAGAAACTCACGTTGGTGATGGGCCATAAATCAGTCACCAGCTCAGCGCGCGCCAATTGGCATGCTGATTTTCTAGTATATACTAAAGTTTTCTCGAGATACAATGGATGCTTTTATTTTTGGAAAGAGGGGGTATTCGTGTGCACACTTTTCTACAGTCACATTTTATTAGGTAAAGTATGCCGATCTCACACACACACACACAGATATATATATATATATATATATATATTGTATTAATTAATTAACTAATCAATCAATTCATTAGCAAATAGTTTCTACTAATTGTACGCAGCACGTGAACTATGTTGGGGTGGAGTTCTTCCTTGACTCGATGGAGCTGGAGCAGCAGAACGCTGACATCCCGGGGAACCCTGTAATCTTCGGGCCCAATTTTATGGCCCAAATACTTTACCATCTAAGCCCACAAGAGGTAATACCTTAACCAATCGCATCAAGAGGGAATCTTATAGGATTTAAAATGTTCAAATTGCTAATCTAGATCGTTAAGACCGCCTAGAGAACGGCAAGTATTTCTTTTAGTTGAATGTATTTGACGTTGGAAGAAATAGGTTTAGTTGTCTGAACGTCAAATATAAATTAAATGTCTAGATGGAGTAATTTCGTGATAAAATAGCTTGTTCGGAATGTGGGAATTTTTCATGGCCGGCCACTTTGGAATTAACGAAGAATTAATTCCAAGTTTCCAACAAGAAGTTAGGGCGTTTTTTTTCTCAAGATGGAAAACTTAATGTTGGGATGTTACATTATTACTTGTTGGGATCGTATGGGAGTCACACAAATAGGATTTGTACTAGCAAATGTGGTGGAAAATGTAGAAACTCAAGACACACCTAGGAGAGAGAACCACGAGATATACGATCATGTTAACTTATCGTCAAAATCCATATGGAATAGCACATTTCATACAGATCCAAGAGTAATCTGCCTTCGACGCTCAATTCTCCAAAATTATTGTAGTAATTTTGTTTTGTTATAAGGATAGGGACCTCGTTTAGAAAACTTAGTTATTTTCACATGAAATTTATGCATTCCAATAGAATGGGACCTTCAGAATCCTTTTAGATCCTTTCTAGGGGGTGGAGATTCTAAGAAGCAGAAGGTGGGAATCTGAAAAAGCTTTGATTTTTCAGCTTCTCGTTGCTAGTTCATTTTCTATAGGGAGAATAGCTAATATGGTCCCTAAAGTTTCGCTCCTGGGTCACTTTAGTCCTTAATCTTTCATATTATCCAAACAAGTCCTTTAAATTTGTCACGTGGGTTGATATAATCCTTGGCCCCATCAAAATCGCCACATCGACATGCCATGTCACCCTCCTATACAAAATCTATATGATTTATCTAATTTACCCTACATATATAATAAGAAAATAAAATACAAAAGGAAAAAGTAAAAAATATATATATAGTATATGTAAGAGCAAAAATATATGTCAAAAGGGTGAAAAAAAGGGAAAGTTTTTTTTTCTATGGTTATATCTAATTCACCGTTATATTTATTTTTCTATGATACGTAAGGGTAAATTGGACAATTCATCATAACTTTTGCATAAATGATTACATGGCATATCCATATGACAATGTTGGTAGACCCAAAGATTATTCTAGTTCTTATGACAAAGTTTAAGGATTTCTTTTGGACCATTTAAAATGTTATGAACTAAATTGATATTATAGAGAAACTTTAGAGACTACAGTAGCTATTCTCCCTTTTCTATACTATATATAGTAGCTACTGATTCTGAATTGTATGAAACCGCTAAAGATTCTTAAGAAAAACTACAGCTACATGTCCAAAAGCTAACCTAAACAGGACCTTATTTAACTAATAATTTCAATACATGATGGTGACATGATTATATCGTGTTTTTGCCATATAGGATTTGACCTTAGGACTATCGCTGATCCGGCCGACGAACAAGTTCACCGGCGACGCGCTCATGAGGGACCCTGGGCTCCTGACGAAGGAGAGGTACGGGTCGACGAGGCGCGTCTTCGTCGTCGTGGAGGACGACCGCGGGATCCCCGTGGAGTTCCAGCGCCGCATGATCGCGGAGAACCCCGGCGTCGAGGTGGTGGACTTCGCCGGCGCCGACCACATGGCCATGATCTCCAGCCCGGCCAAGCTCGCCGAGTTGCTTGTTAGGATCGCCGACAAAGCACACGAACCATGAGTCCATGACTCGGACTAGGAGTGGGGACAGCCAAATCACTGATCAATAGGGCAGAAATATTATGTCAACCAATGAGGCAAAGAGAATGAGGGAAGGAAAAAAGAATTAATGATTGTTACACTGTTTGTTTGAACTTTGAAGTAGTATGTAATAGTATATTATTTATTTGGGCACCATTTGATGATGATGATGATAATAATAATAATAATAATAATAATAATAATAATAATAATAATAATAATAATAATAGTAATAATAATAATAATAATAATAATAATGGTGTTTGTTTAGAGGTTATTGTCCGAACTGGGCTGAAAAAAGATGTGCCAAGCATCGCAGATATACAGGAGAAAAGGGGACCATATAGTAAAAAAACACGTACCAACACATAAAGTGGGTGAAACTGCCCAAAAGAGAACATGTGTTCTAGAAAATAAGGAGATTTAAATATTTCTCATTTATACCTTTGGTAATTATTTAAGAGTAAAGTGCATAGGCGGCAGAGGCGAATCCCTCATAATTCGGGCCCCTTTGAATCGCAGGAATGGAAAAACGCAGGAATAAGAAAAACACAGGATTCTGATAGGAATGCAGATGTAAAATAGAGGATTGGAAAATACAGGAAAAACATAAGAATGACCGTTTGATTGGACCACAGGAAAAACGCATGAATCGGATGAGAGAGATAGATTCAAAGGAATTTTTCCAAGAGGTAGGACCTCTTGCTAACTTTCCTAGCAAATCTCTATAGGATTACATGTTCTATAGGAATTTTAAAGGATAGTATAGGATTCAATCATTTGTTTCAAAGGCTTTCATAGAAATTTTTTTCATAAGATTGAAATCCTTCAAATTTCCTACATGTTTCCTACAAATCGAAGGGGCCCGAATTCATGGGTATTCACCTAAATACCAATAAATATTTTGGTGAAACATATTATGGATTACAATGATTTGTATGTCCTAGTGGTTGTTCAAGTTATATAGGTCTGGGTTCAACTCCTAACATCCCCATCATTTTTATCCTCTTTTATCTTCAATAGTTTAGTTTTTAAAAGATAGTTCTTGACCAAACACATCTCCAATTTTCAGTATTTATTTTTCCTTCTTTTAGTTTTTCCATCTTTTATATTCAATAGCTTAGTAATAATGTCTTCTAATAGACTTTACTTAGGTTTTGTATGTGTTGACAGAAAACACGTAGCCTGGGAGATCTGCTTAACTCCAGTGCAGGTCCAAAGCTCGCCTTCGGATGTATTAGCGTGCCAGTTGATTTGATCCTGTAATCAACAAGAAATAGAAGCAAAGAAACCGTAGTTAAATCTAAAAATGATAGCCGATCGGCTAGATGCCGATGACATATCATTTATCTTTGGGCCGATGTCATCCATGTATCGATCGGCAGTCATGAATAAGTAAAGAAGAACTAAATCTACTTGATTGGCTGTAGATATTAACAATATATAATCCTTATATCGATATATACTTAAATCAAGTGATTGGGATAGATCGGTCGCCATGCCGAGACAGTATAAATCACCTAGATCGAAATATATATTAATAATAAGACTATATACGTTCATAGCATAGCCGATCAGATAGATCTAGCATGTATCGGCTAATACTCCGATACCACTCTATGTTAAGATGTTAAAACAAGTAGAATATACTAAACAAAAGCCTAATATACTTAAATGCAGCAAGATCTTAACACAAAGGGCAGATTTAACATATCAGCGAAACAAATAGAGTAAGTATAGTTAAATCAGATACGATCGGCTGAAACTCCGATACTATTCTAATCAACAACTAGATGGCAGGCTAGAGATCAATATTCTAAGCATGACTTAATAGATCAAACTTAATTGATGCAGCATTAAGTATGAAAAGAAGAACAATATCTAGACAATCAAGCCGCTAGAAGATTCATAGAATGGTAGATATCTTATATAATCTAGATCAATGTCGAGATCTAACCTAATCGGCTGTCTTTTGCATACAAATATTAGCCGATAGTAGATTAGATAACGATATTGCTGAAGATTATATAAGGTATATGGTAACTTGACGAATTATATAAATAAGATTAGAGCGTCATGAAGATGTAAGCACTAATCCTAAGAACACGATCCGTCATAACGAATTTTACCTCTTGTTGAAGATCGAAACCGATGCAGCTCAACCCGAAAGTAAGAACTCGTCGAAATAAAACAAAAGCAAAAGGTGGCGATGCGCCGGAATTGTATTGAATGTGTGTGTTTTTTTTACATAGGGCTCGGGGTTTATTTATACCCGAGGATTACAAGATACGCCCATACCGGACACGACCATTATCTCTAACAAACTCTAAAATATGACAAGTCTTTGCGGCAAACTTTTGCCCACACTTATCTATAAGGAATTTACATAAATCATCATTATTAATAGATACAATTGCCTTCCCAGGACTCTATCCATGCGTGGCAATCATCTTGAAGCACATCAATCTGAGCCTGACGTCGCGCACAAGTTGTATTGTATATATCAGCTTATTTAGCTTAACTCAACCTTAGCCGATCCTAGCCGTAGCCGATCCTAATCGTAGCCGATCCAGACTCCAGCCGATTCTTGCTCTGTTCCAGAACTCGATCTCCGCCTCCAACTCTTCTTTGACCAAATCCCCTTTCCTGATACGAATACTTACCAAATTCGGTTGTTAATAGTATGGCATTTAATTTTCTTTCTCTTTTAACTCTTTCACGTTTAATTTTCAATAGCTTGTAGTGTGATAGTAATAGATTTTAGTATGGCACGCAATATATTCCATTTAAAAGATAGTTCTTAACTCAAATTTTGGTTTTTTTTTTCTCTCTTTTAGCTCACCTTTTGTTTTATTGATTTTGGCGTTAGGCATTGGATTTTTTTAAGAAGAATCTTTTAAAATAAGTATTTCTTCAAGTTTTAGTGTTTTATCTCTGCTAGGCTTACTTTTGTTTTTTCATTAATATAACTATGGTTGCTCCAGGCTCCAGCTCCCCGAGCAACAGGACCCTGATAATGCAGGAAATCCTGAAAACTTCACGCCTAATTTTATGGCCCAGAAGCTTTACTAGCTAAGCCCACCAGACGTAATGCCTCAACCAATTGCACCAAGAGAAAAAAAATTGTTGTTTTATAGAACTAGATGAACTTTTTTTTTAAAAAAAAAGAGTAAAGATTTGGATATACTCTATATCATCCCAAAGAGGACTAATTAAGTGGCAAGTAATTGCACAATCTTAGACACTGTTCAGAATTTTCAGTGGCCACTTAACCAGTGAAAAGTGAAATCCAAAATGGAATGAGAATGATCCACATCATCTGAAAAATATTATCTGTTGGATTTAATACAAGACAAAAGAGAGTGAATGGTAAAAAGACAAAAGAGAGTGAATGGTAAAAAAACACATTCAAGAGGCTTCCGGTGACGAAGCTTTCCTATAAGTGGAAAGAAAGAACGGAAGAAAAAACCAACCCTCATCCTTTAACTAAATATTCATTAATCATGATTGAGCTATTTAGTGCATATTCAAAATGTATATTTATGTAATTAATTTTGTTTCTAAGAATTAGTTGTTAATGTGTTTAAGAAAAATTTGCTAGAGACACACACATTCCTTCCAATAAAGAGGTCATAGTCGTCTGAATATAGATCTAATGATTTTCACACAAATTTAAAAAAAATTAAACTAATTCCTTAAAAACCAACAAAATATAATCCACAAAGGGAACGCACCAATAGAAAATAAGTGGAGGATAAAGGTAATACAATAGCAAAGACATATAAAGACGATAACTCATACTATTAAAGTTTGCAAAAAATATTAAGACATTTAATGTATTAAGGTAATACTATGATTCATCCTGACCCAACTTTTACTAGCAACAAGAAACCCAAGAGAAATATATTAGCACTCTCACATATCACATAACAGGGTGTGTAGAGTCGCGCAAATGCGCGACATCATAGGCTAGTTGAAGTGAAGAATTAATTCTGTGAACTTAATATTAAGACGTGATCAATCATATGGGAGATAGATCAAGGGGGATTTGTTACAAATGTTGTTTGGTAACTGTCAAAATCCTCAAAATTTTGGAACCCTTTGATTTGTAGGAAAACATATGAAATTTATAGGATTTAAATCTTACATGAAAATTTTCTATTTAGTCCTTTGAAGAAAGGATTGGGACCCTAACAATCCTATAAAATTCCTCTGAAATAGCTCAAGACAAGAAGATTTTTGAAGAAAAATTAACGTGAGGTCCAACCTTATGAAAACTTTTATTTTAGTTATTTTTCTTTTCTCTAATTTATATTTTTCTTGTTGTCTATTCGAACGGTAATTTCAATTATTTGTTTAACACTTGTATTCATGTTAAATTCCTATATAATTTTCTATTCGTGTGTTTCTCGATCCTACTGCTAAATTGACCTGATATATTCCAACCACCTTTCATTTTTGAATTTATGATTTATTTTTTTGCTCTCTGCACGTAGTACGGTAGTAGGACTTGACCCTGGCGCTGTCGCTGATCCGGCCGGCGAACCGGTTCACCGGCGACGAGCTTCATGAGGGGCGCCGCCCTCCTGACCATGGAACTCTGTAGTACATCTATTTGGACATTATCAGGAAAATAAATGAGGGGCCTGTTTAGTGGTTATCATCAGAAAGGGTTGAAAAGCTGTGCATATATCTGTAGTTCATGCTACTTAAATGTAATGTGCATATCATCAGAAAGGATGTAAATGTAAATGTAATGTGCAGTAAGACATGAATGCTAAGGAATTAGTACTATCATAGAGCCAGAACTTCAATGCACATATGAACATAAACTGAAGCAAATAAATGAGATGATTAACATACTCAAGCTAAAGACTCGTCCTCTCAGCTGCTATGAGGTGAAATTTGCCAACTTGAAGAAATAACAGAAAGAGAACCAGCAACAGATCTAATTCTAGCAAGCACAAAATCGTTTACTACTTGGCCGATTAGTGTGTACTATTAACAATTATAGACTGGATGCCTACCAAAATAATCTCAGTTGCACAGCATATTCATTGCAAATGGATACATAAAACTTTACTCAGCTCAGAACCTCAGAATGTGAAGTTCAAGAAGTCCTGTCCTGCTCATCATATAGTATAGTGAAGCTGCCAAAAAATTTGTTCAGGCTCCAAGGCAATCAGCACAAATCACAAAACAACAGATCACTCAACAGGATGGGCCACAGATTGGTCAGGGTTAATGCCTGCACTTAGAATTGCCGAGCACAGATTAACACAAATTTCTTCCTGCAGCCCAAATGTCAGTCATCATCCTTAACACAACTAGCCTAAATTCAGGGGCACATATCTGATGGAATTATACAGAATGCAATATGTATGAGATGACATGCCCAGTAAGCCTCCCGATGACAGGTGATGACCACGAACAAATTTCCCGCACGCACCATACATGCAAATCCAGTCACATAATGCGTTCAGCAGTTACATGAAAGGTTCAAAACCACCTGAAGACATACATAACCATGCAACTGATAGACTACAAAAAAGAGAATAGATAAGAGTTCAGGTTTCTCCAATTTCTTATGCATTGCAGCCATCGCCTGGGCAGCTCGATAGCATAGCATGAGGCAGTCGAGCTTACAACATGCTATCAGTTCTTGCAGGGAGCCTCCTGAAGAAGTTCAGAGGAACAGAGGGCATCTTGTGGCGGAACCTTGGGTGTCTCAAGGTGTACAGGCCTGCAAGGAAGACCACAACACGGAATGGAGTCACGTAGAGGACAATGGCAGCAACAAAGCAGAAGGTCACAAAGAGCGCCGTGGCTCTTGGGTCTCTCCAGCTTAGCAGGGACTGCAGCCTTTCTCCTTGTGTCGCGAGATCGCCGACTACGGTCTGTATCCTCCCAGCAACACTCCGTAGCCGGTCATAACGCATCCTCACAATGTCAGGCGGACGAGAAGTAGGGAATGTGTCAAACTCTTCATCAAGCTCATCAGGATGAGCACTCTCCGCATGTGAGAGGCGAGTGTCCATGTGAGGTGGCTGCCTTGGCCGCCAGCGGTAGTACCACACTCCAATCAGGAACAGGTAGAGGAAGATTGTTGGCAGTATCAGCTCAGGATACAAGACTAAAATCACAAAGAGAATGTGGATCAGTATGGTGGTCAGCGGATTTCTCCAATGGCAGATCTGATCAAACCACTTGGCCACCGCAATCAGAGGGCTTAGGACACCCATGATACGGAAAAAGTTTGCCTTGCTCTTCCGCATGCTCCACATATGAGAGTCAACATCCAGCATGTACTCCACAATTTCCTTCCGCAGTGGTGGTTCTGCACGGCTCAGCCTTGTTGATACAATGTTGGTGGCTTGGCGCCTTAGATTGTCTACCTGCATCACGGACAATGGGTGTACATAGTGCATCTTGGGCAGCAATGGTTGTGAATACAGATGCATCATGTTCAGCAGTGATGAGCATGTGAACCTGACAGCAAGCTGCACCTCCCCCATTTTCTTAACACCAGCAGGTGTCAGAACAATCAGAGGGTAAGCATGAGTATATACTCGATCAGTTTCTAGCGTAGAGAGGCGGATGCGGACCTTCCCAATTCTGGTATCCCGGGCACCGTTGGCTTTTTCCCCACCATTCAAGTGGCAATTGTCAAATACACCAATAGTGATCACAGTGCAGGGATCATACACCTCCCAAGTGTATTGTTCATTCCACTTGGGTGTGAAACTATCAATAATAGTCCTTGTCCGCACCCACTTCTGCCCATACTTAGCAACACAATAAGCATCAGTTGTTCCACGCCCATCCTTGGTCTTCATCGGCAACAGGCCCTGTGCTGTCAAGATACCCAACTCAAGAATGCCAATGCTGTGCTTCCATAACTGTTTAGCAGTTGGCCTCAAATCACTGCTGTAATGTGTTGACTCATCCAAGACATGATATCCACCTTCGAGGCATATTCTCAAGTGAATCCGGCTTGAAAATTTGGTCTCTTTCTTCTGCTCGCCATCCACAATTACATGCTTCTCAAGATTGTACCACTGGCTGTTCAGCAACTTGTGATCCAGCCTCCGAGGTACGTGCTGCAGAGAAATGATTGTCCTTCCAAGTACATCATCCTTCCCTGGGGCAATCCTATCTTCTACACTCAGAATCAGGTGTTCCTCGAATGGTTCAGCAGCAACAAACATTAAATCCTCATTCCACATTGGATTCAGCGTCCGGCTTGGTGATACCCGGGTTCTAAGAGCTTGGTTACCTAGCATGGCTTTGACATAAACATCAGGGAACCTGGTCCTGTCATTTGGTATAAGATCTTGTGCCTCAATGACATTGACTCTCAGATACCAAAGCTTTGGAGTAAGGTAAACTTTTGATCTAATACTTGCAAGTCCATCTCCTGGGATCGACGCTGCATCAGAGTGCCAAGCTTCAGGGAATGCTTCATCTGCTTGAGTACCCATCCAAACGGCCAACATCAACTCTCCCTTCACCTTGTGTCCATTCCGCTCTTCCAACCGATACCACTGTGGAGCCAATGGGCTGTCAGGTGGCACTCGTTTTGGGACCTCATTCAGGTCAAACAACACCCGCCCGATGAAGTCATCCTTGACAAAGTCCTTATCCTTGACAATGATCTCAACCACTGATGACTGAATGCGCTCCTTAGAAAAGGCAAAGACCTGGTTCCACTCAGGATTAGTCTTCTTCTCGAAATGCCGAGTTGTACCCTTATAATTCCCAAGCTTCACCTCAACATATGGGTCACAGCTTCCAGTGATGTCCTTGCTTGGAAGGTCCTTAGCTTTTACTACCCGGACATAAAGATACTGCATCTGCTCAACCAAGTCATAGGTGGTGGTGAGCTTGTCACCAGCAGCTCCACCACCAAGGTGAGGAGAAGTCTCCTTCAAGGAGTACTCCTCCGGACGGAACGGCCTCTGCATCATCTTGAACGAAATTCTTGAACCAACCAACTCCTACGCTCCTACTCAGCAATGAAAGAAAAAGATCCAACCAGCAGCAACTGGTGTGCTAGAATAACTGCAACATCATAAATAAGAACAAGTTTTAAAATGGCTGGTTGTCGGAAACAAAAATGATGAACGATATCAAAATGAACAGGAAGAACCTGGCACCTTCGAATTAACAAGTCATCAGGTAATAAGGTTTCTCTCAACAGAGCACCTCACAAGCATTTTCTTCATCTCGAACCATCCCAGTATCTCCACATCATCAATCATGGGAACACCACACCTGGAGCAATCATGGACAAACCAGGTAAATCTCGCGCATTTACTAGCTCAAAGTAACAAAGGACGGTTGCCGTTCCCCACTGAGGGAAGTAAATCACTAAACCAAGAGGTGAAAAATGAGTTCTTGCACTGCAAAGTAGGCGACTTTAAAGAATAATAATAATCTCGAAAGGACAGAGAAGCATTAACATTTCCAGCGCAGGCGGCAAGAACAAGCATGTTCTCCCTATTGACCATGCTCCAATATAGTAATAGAAAACTCAAGACAACATATATACCCCCCATCTACATCTGGAGAGGGAGACCAAACCAAATGCAAAAACATTCGTCCAGGGATTCACCTGCCATCAACGCCCGAACGTCGTCCCCGTCGACATCCAGCCCATTCCGACCGGTGTCACGCCGGAGATCTAGCAACCGCCGCCGCCGCCGCCGCCGCCGAGCAAGAAACGCTGCTCAAGCCTGCCATTGCCGGTGCACAAGAGGTGAGCAACCACAAACAACTCGAAAAAACACACAAGAGAGAGCAGAAAAAAGATCAGATCTGAACCCGGCAAGAAAACCAGGAATCGAGCAAAAAAATCCCCCCACCCCAACCATTCGCAAGAAACCAGCAGCTACATATGCGCGCACACAGCAAGCTCGTCGCTTTACCCCCTTTTCGCAAGCACACTTTCACTTTCGCAAAAGCAAAAGAAAAACATCCACGCACGCACGGACTCACACCCCACCAAAGATAAAAGCACGAACCGAACCAAGACCTCTCAAGAACCCTCAAGAAACCGTCACGCAACCGCCGCCGCGCTTCCCGTTCCCGAATCTCTACCGGGCAAGACCGAAACCACAGATCGGGGAAAACCAAAGAGGCGGAAATGGCACCGGCATTACACGGAAAGCGGCCAAGAAAAAAGCAGGGATGGATGGAAAGAACGGGAACAAAGATATACCAAAAGATTCGAGCGGGCTCACCACGCGATCTCTCCCGAGGGTTCGAGGAGGAGGAACAAAAACCGGAAGCTTCGGCGGCGAGTGGGGAGGGGAGGGGAGGGGACGAAGAGGGGAGGCGAGATTTTTCGATTTTCCGCAGGGTTTTTCTCGCGAGCAAAAACAAACGCTGTGGAGAGAGAGAGAGAGTGGAGCGGGGAGAGGCGAAGCGGCGCTCGAAGCGTGCGTCGTGGTGGAGGTGGTGGTGGGGTGGCCGGTGGCCTTCTTTTTTCGAAATGCGAAGGGGGTGGCGGTTTTGCGTGTTGCACCCTGGGTTTTGGGGATTTGGCAGTTTAGGGCAGGTGGTAAGGGGTGGATGGGGTTTTTTTGCGTTTTGGACCCTACTATGGGGTTTTGGGGATTTGAGGGTGGTGGAGAGTGGAGACAGGAGTGTTGATGGAACATTGTGGGGGTTGGAGTTCGTGCCAACTCTATCTGCATTGTCTTCTTCCTTCCTCTCCCAGCTGCCGGTCAAGTCTTCTTTATAAATGGAAAATACTACTGCTCCCGAGTCGCAAACTACTCTTCCCCATCCATTTTGATCGTCTCATAAGATTTGTAGGTCTTCTCAAAATAATTATTATCTATAAGAATTTCGTTTGTTTGTGTAAACAGTAATATGATGATTGAATGTGTTGCATGTAATTAATTTTTATTGGTGTATAATTTCTATTGGTGTAATGATAAACAATATTTAAAACATGAGCAATTCACCGGACACAAAGCGATAGAACACGTTAACTGATGAGAATTAATTTGAGAATGATGAATGGTTCGGTGTCCTTGGATTTATGCTTTTTCTTAGGAGATGATCAAAATGGGATGGAGATAGTACCAAATTAATAGTAATCCCTTCGTCTAGGATTATAGAGTTATAGTACCACTACATTCAAAAATTATGAGACACAACATGGTACTACTACAAATCTTGGCATGTTTATTTTTTCAGATTTGTAGTAATATGATTTCTCGTATAAGATTAAATTATTATGAGACAGAATGAGTAGTACTTTCATATATTTAAAAATGTATTTTTCTCAAAATAAATTATTCTACCATACTGTTTAAATTGATGTAAAATTTATTTCTCAAATATTTTATTTATCTTTATAATTAAGTAGTTAACCCATAGCAATAATCTATTAACAATCTAATATGCTCAAATTCCTAATGGGTCCTTGGTATTTATAAATAAAAGTTCTAGTACATTTAGAGAAAAAAATAGTACTACAAGTTGAGGTTAGATTTTATTTTCCTTCTTCCTTCATTAATGATAGTTAGTACGATAGCAGTACTATATGTTGACCAGGGTTTCTTGGTACTCTGTTGTGATCATGGGCCTGAGTAAAAATAGTATAAAATATATTTACGTGCGGCTTATTTAGTCTGGTGTTTGAATCTCCTAAAAATTAAGTATTAAGTGTTTCACGTAAAACGATGTAACAATAACGTGTGATTAATTGAGTTTTAATTATTATAAATTTGAAAAATAGATTAATCTTATTTTTTTAGAACAACTTTCATATAGAAAGTTTTTAGACGAAACGCACCGTTTAGCAACTTGAAAAACGTGCAACTTTTATCCCAAAGTTTATCTAATTTTTGTTGGAGAAAAGAACAAGGCCATAGTTTGGTGTATTTTGGTTTTGATTTTATACACGACGTTGTAAGGTAATTTTTTTCCATTGAAATGGTAAGGCATGGATTATTAAAGACATCGTGCACAATTACTAAAATTGATTTATAATAAACAGTGATCAATAAAGTTGGAATGTATTTCTAACAAATGTTTGCCAAGTTTGTAAATATAATTCTGAAAACGTAATCGTTTGCATGTTTGGAAAATCAATATTTTTATGTGTGAAATAATTTATAATTAGCCAAAAAATGATAATCGTAGAGTAATGTAAGGTAAATCAGTGACAGAGCGGTACATCTACATGACTGCATTGTTCTTACAGTTCCCGTGCTTGCAACCACCATTGACAAGTGAACTTGGGTTGTATTTAGTTCCTTCCAAAGTTGGAAGAGTTGGAAGTTTGAGTTAAAATTAGTACGATGTGACTGAAAAGTTGTGCGTGTATGACAGGTTGATGTGATGGAAAAAGTTGGAAGTTTGGATCCAAACACAGCCTTAGAGTTGGGGTTGGTGTACAATAGTACATTCAAACAGGTTGGTGGTGCGCCCCTTGTATGAAAACCGGAGGTGGTACAAATTATTCCCTCCGTTTTAGGTTATAAGATGTTTTGACTTTGGTTAAAGTCAAACTGTTCTAAGTTTAATTGAGTTTATCGACAAATATATTAATATTTATAATACTAAATTAGTTTGATCAAATTAATAATTGAATATATTTTCATAATAAATTTGTCTTGGGTTAAAAATGTTACTACTTTTCTCTACAAACTTGATCAAAATTAAATCAGTTTGACTTTGACCAAAGTCTAAACGTCTTATAACCTGAAACGGAGGGAGTATATTAGGCCATCACCAATGCGTAGCCCCAGGTCGTCCCCTTGGCCCCCTCTGCCCGTCGCCGTTTGCTTTTATCGTCGGTGCTGTTCCCCCACAATGGAACGTGTCCCTCGCTCACTTTTGGCAGGGGAACGCAACCGAGGGGACGCGTTGGGCGCGAGCGTCACCTATGGACACCGTTTCCACCGAAAAATTTCCCCTTCCACCCCTCATGGCCACCGGCGACGGGAGAGAGAGGCCAGCGGCAGCGACGAGGTACAGAGGTGCGAGTCGGCGGTGAGAGGGGGCGAGAGGGAGACCTGCGCGACCTCCTCCGTCGGCGTCATGACCTCCTCCTCGATGCGGTGCTGCTGGCACCGCTCCACCCCGATCTGGCCGCGAGGGGGCCAGATCCGCGCACGATGGCATCGGATATGCCGCCTCTGGTCGTCGGCGGCGCCGGAACCGAGGTCGGCGACGGCGGTGGGGTGAGGTCGGGGCGAGGCCGGCGCGAGGCGGCGACGAGTGGGGGTTTTGCCGCCTCTGGCTGGCGACGGCGTCGGCCTGGGTTGTGAGCCCGACCCGGTGACCACCGCGCGATGGAGACGACCCCGCCGGCGCCGCTTGCCATCGGCCACCACGAGGGAGAGAGAGGCGACAACGAGAGAGGGAGAAAGAGGCGGCGAAGAGAGAGAGGATCCGGCGCCGGCGAGGTGGAAGGGGAGGACGGAGGAAAAGGATCGGCAGGGGAGAGCGGAGGAAACGGAGCGGCTGGGGAGAGGGCGGAGGAAAAATCGGCGAAGGGGAGAAGGGCAGAGAAAGAGACGCAAAGCGGAGAAGGGGCAGAGGAAGAGACGCGTGAGATAGGAGTGGCTGTAGGGAGGGGTATTTTCGAATTTTTTCAGTGCCGAGACACCCATTGTAGGCTTGAGTATCTTCATATAGTCCCCTTATATTTTGAGGAGCCTATTTAGGGTGTCCTCCATTGTAAGGGGTGTTTCTCAGAGAGTGCCTAGTTAGTGAGGAGTGTCCCTATATGCCCTTGCAGCACAATTTAACGCGTTGACGGGAGAAAAAAAAGGAGGAGAAAACAAAGAAACAAACAAAGGATGCAAGAGAAAAAGAAATTTCCCAGGAAAGCATGTGCAACGACAAGGAAAAAGGGGTGCAAGAGTACAATAGGGGTGGGTTAGAATTTGGAGATGTCTTAAAAGCAGTCCTAAAAAACAGTATACAGTACCGAAGAAATAGGCAAAAGCTGAGGGTGTTATCTGCAAAAGCGGGTGTGCACTTTGGGCGGCCCACCGAGCGTGAGTAGCGACGACACGCTGTCCGCGGTCGCAGACAGGGTGGGACCACGGCGCCACGCTTTGCATATTCCTCCGCCTCGGTGGTGGTGGTGGGTAGTAGTATGGGATTATTCGCGTGCGCTTTCCTTTTTTTTTTTTACTTGGGCGGGCGGGCGGGGCTGCTACAGGGAATCGCTTCCACTTCTCCTTTTCTCGATCGGCGTGCGGGCAGAGACAGACAGCGGACGGGTGAAGAGGACCCCACGTGGAGGGCGATCCAGCTGCTGTGGGTTGGACTCCGGTCGGTCGGGGGTAGTCTCCTCGACCTCGATCGGTGCGTGGACCGGGGTCGACGAGACGACGACCCAGCGACACACATCCCATCCACGCACGCATCCCGCCGGTGGACGTCGCCGCCGCAGCTTCCGCCGAGCCGGGCCGTCTCGGGGCGGGCGCCACCGGCGTCGGCGTACGGGGCTGTTTGGTTCTTAACATTGCCATAACTCACTTTAGGCAATGTTAGGCAAGTGTGGCTTGCCATACTTTTTTGGCCTACAAATTATAAGCCACACTTGTGACAAAGTTAGACAAAGAATTGAGTCTATAATATGTGGGGTAAGATGGTAAGAAAGTGTGGCTTGCCATAACTATAGCAATGAACCAAACACAAAACTAAGAAGGTGTGGCAGCCTAAAATGTGATGTGGCAAGTTGAAACATTGAACCAAACAGCCCCTACGTGCTGCGTGCTGTGCGGGAACGACCTAGCACGCTCGTTCAAGGGACAAGGGACACGCCACAGAGACATCCGAGGTGGTTATTCTTCGAGCTCATCGGTTGGCCCAATAAGCCTAATAGGTTAAAAGCAAAAGCTATAATTTGAATTCTTAAAATTGAATTTGGAAATGGTTTTAACATATTTTCAATGTAATTTTATTTTAACATTGGTTTTTAAGTCGCTATGAACGAGTTTATAAAAAAATTTCCTATATATTAACTTTTATTTCTTAAAAAGCCGTTTTGTCTTATTAGGGAATATAGGTAACCAATGAGGCTCTTATTAAGGATTCGTTGCTATGTTTTTTTGACGGTTTTACATCGTGTTAATGTAATTTTTTTGAGAAAAATCTACACCACGGCATCCCGTATTGTTAAGAGAACAAAAGATAGATAATAAAGTGGATCACCAAACTCTTCGTCGCTTTGTCTTTCTCATGCCATAAGATCGTTTCGTCTTCTTCAAGCCACGCAAAGGATGTAGTTCATCCGGTTTTCCCCCACTACTTCAAACACCACCCTTCTCCTCCTCCTCCCACCTTACCCATCATCACGCGACGACCCAATCTCTATCTTCCTCCCCCTTCCTCAACTCCTCAAGCGTCGTCTTCCTCCTTCCTCCCTCTTTATCCATCCCTACACCACATCTAGAGGCCGGCGAGTTTATTGGGAGCTGTTGGAATCACAGTAGTCGGTGAGGAGGGAGGCGACGATGAGGTCGGTAAAGAGGAAGGAAAAGAAGGGTGCAAGTCCGAGTACAACGAGGTTCGCGGCACCTGCGAGGATGTGTCGGTCTTGGCATTGAGAGCAATTTAGGAGTTGGCAAAGCAGACGAGGGGTGATTGCAAAGTGCTTCATGGGGCTTTGAGGTTGTTACGCAGGCATCGCTTGAAGCCATCGTGCTTCTCGCTAAGTCGCTAGCTCGTTGATGTAGCTTGCAGATATGCAATGGGCGCTTCATCCTCAACTGATACACATAGGCTTGGTACAAGATGCTAGGTACCAAGGCATAGGGAAGAGGCAAGCGCAACCATTGTCTGGTTCTCGACGAGCCACCAACCGTTAGCAACTCCTCTCCACTTCTCCCTTTGTCTCCTCTACACGCTCCCTAACTCCACCCCTACTATTGAGGTACCAAGCACTAGTACTCCAAACTTAGGTACTAGGTATCAAAGCAGAGGGAAGGGGAGAGCGTCGTCGCCACCTGGTCAGGCAATGAGTCACCTGCCGTTGTCTCCTCCTATCCTCTTCTTCCTTCCTCTTCTCTACGCGCTCCCTCTTCCCCTACCATTATTGTGGCCGATGGGGCAAAACACGATGAGTGTTGCTGCTTCGCTTGCACACAAGCAGGAAAGTAGGGGGCTGCACTGCTTTGCTTGTTTTGCGTGTAGAAACTCTAAGTACGTTTGGTGCGACATGTGGGATTAGATTTATTAAGTTGTCCCGTTTCAACTGCATCATGTGCTCTAGCATCTCTCAAAATTTTTCTATATACAAATTACTTTAAAATATTAAATAAATATTAAATAAATATTTTTAAATTTATAATAATTAAAACTTAATTAATTATGTGCTAATAATTTACTTGTTTTTTATGACTTAACCTAATCTTCATCTTTATTAGATGAAGAGCACCACCTAGCTTCTCTGGATTCTGGAAAGTATGCACCCGTGGCCAGGGCGCCGAGCTGGTAGCCCAGAACCAGAAATGTGATTCCAATGCCTTTTTTTTTCTTAAAAAAAACGATGGTTTTCTTTTGGAAATCAATTTGTGCCATACCAATTGTTTGGCTGCTTCGACAGTAATTTTCAGTGATTTTTTTTATTTGTATTGAAGTCAAACCTTTGGCAATTTTATCCATCTACCGATCCAAATCTTTGTTGGCGGTCAAAATTTGGCTATGTAACAAATGAGAGAGGCAAAATTTTGTTGTATAACATTACGGTTTTAGCTATGAACACTGCCGAAATCAATCATTTAAAATAAAAATAACATTGTCAAAATCTGTATATTTGCTATTAGAAATACCCATACTGTTATACTCACTCTGTCTTAAAATAAGTTAATTTTTACAACATCCCATACATACCAATAAAATAAGAACAAGTACCCTCACTTTATCAAACCTAATGCAATTATTTAGCACTTCATCTACTCCTAATACATTTATCATACTTTTATAAACTCTGATGTAGTGATTAAAAAATAAACTTATTTTAGGACAAACAAAAGGGGCTAAAAATAATCTCATTTTAAGGCGGAAGGAATACTATGGCTCGATGAAGAAATATACAACGAGTGAAAGGTCAGAAATGTTCCCTCGCCCATTTCTTTATTTCATACCTAACAAATGAAACCAAGTTTGCTTTTAAAATTTTATATGGTTGTCTAACCGATCTTCCCTTTGTGCAAGATTTTTTAAAGACGAATTGTGCTTAAGAAAACATTCATCAAACACAATTCATTGAAAAGTACCTTAATCTTTGATTCCCAACTCTCCCGTTACCGGCGCGGAGCTACAGTGATCAGGGAGGGTTCACAAGCACCCATGTCCAAAAATCATTTTACCTTATAGGTACCATTCACCCCCCCCCCCTCAACTCAACCAAGTGTACCCCCAACAGGCCACCATACAGAGCAAGAAGGTAAAAGATGCGTTCATGCTTGCAGCTTATAAGTATTCTCGGGTAGTCAGCTGACGAGTTGCTTCCTTTCCAAATTGTTTTTTAGGATCATCCTGATTTACTGTAAGCAAACCGAACAATGTTGCTTGATAGGGAGTCGATTGGATGATTATTGGTTGTTTTTTTTCTCTAAATTTAGGGTTGAGTTCCAATTTGTTATCATTTGCCTCTTTTGTGTTTTAGACAATGAGTGTGGATTGAGGTAGTTCTCTAATTTGGGTATGTTTTTTGTTGTGATTTTAGTCTTACTTTTTTTTACTACAGTTCACTAATTTTTATATTAACATTGGGGTTCTCTATTTTGGTAAACACATTATCGCTACATTTTCTTTTACCTATTTTTGTGTATTGAATGTTTACTATGATGTTACTTAATGTAAACACGTATAAGGTTACACTTGTGGTATAGTAGTGCACCTCCTATATTTTGCTCTAGCTCCACCACTGCCCGTTACGACAGGCGTTAAGCTGTTGGTTAGGTACAAGGCACCACAGCGATGCAATACTGATCAAGAATTCAAGATGAGCCTAGTGTGCTGTGTGCAGAGTATTTGTTTGCAGCTATATTGAGGTGTCAATCAATCTTCTAAAAAGCTTAGCCGCAAAAGTTATTTGAGTGGTTGTTTATCCACCTTCTAGCACTTTTACGATCTAATTAGCAGTCAATGGGTAACTGAATTTGGACCTTGGTGAATCATTCTCGACCATCCCAAACTAAAAATGGAATGAAATGTTACAATGTTGGATCTTATCTAGTACTATTTCACTAGGATTAACGGATAAGCCGAGAACATATCTTCCCACAAAGTTACGCAAGGTTAGAAACTGTGAACTGATCTGGAAAAGTTTCCAGCCCACTGAAGTTTATCAAATCTTAGTAAATATAAAAAAAAATGGCAAATCAAGCTTGGAATCTGCTTCCTTCTCGAAGCAAAAGCATTGGCTCTGCTCCAACGAGCCCGGATTACGTGGCCGGCCGATTGATGCAGTTGCCACTAACGCGAGGAATTTTTCGCTTCATCACTAAACAATTACTAGATAATAATACACTACTCAACATATTCTAATTACCGCTATATATATACGCGATCATGGCGCGTTCAAGGTCGAGCAGCTTCGATATCGACGGAAGCCAAAGCCGGCCACCGGCCATGGCGATGGCGTGCAGGACGCTGGAGCTGACGCTGCTGTCCGCGAGCGACCTGAGGGGCGTCAACCTCGTCTCCAAGATGGAGGTCTACGCGGTGGTCTACCTCGCCGGCGACCCGCGCGCGCGCCAGCGCGTCGCCACGGACCGCGCCGGCGGCCGCAACCCGTCGTGGAAGGGGAAGGACGCCACCGTCCGCCTCGCCGTCCCGGCGTCGGGCGCCGGGAGCGGCGCGGTCCGCGTGCTCCTCCGCGCGGAGCGCGCCGGGCTCGGCGGCGACCGCGACGTCGGGGAGGTGTTCGTCCCGCTCCCGGACGTCCTCGCCGGCTCCGGGGACGGGCCCACCGCCGCCGCGGTGGCGTCCTACCCGGTCCGCAAGGTCGGCTCGAGCAGGACCACCCACGGCGTGCTCAACCTCTCCTACAAGCTCGGCGGCGTCGTCCACCCTGACCCCGCCGCGGCCGCCGCCGCCGCCTGCAGCTGCAAGCCCGCCGCGCCGGCAGCAGGTGGCTCGACGATGGCGTACCTGGCGGCGGCAGCGGCGGCGTACAGGGCTGCGCCGCCGCCGCAGCCGCCGCTGTACGGCTACCGCCAGCTGCCGCCGATACCGCAGCCGGTGCCGCCTATGGGCGCGGTGGAGGGCGGCGGCGTGCGCGCCGGCCGGTGAAGCAGCCACGGGCAAAAATGGAGTCTTGCAGAATATGAATGCTAAACTATATTCTGTCTTAAATAAATATATAAATATGTGAACATATATGCGAATGAATCTGATCATCTGAAGGCGAGCAAAAAAAGTAAAATTATGAAATTGAAGCTTGCAAATCGCAATGGTGTTTAGCTGTTTATGAACCGTGGAAATGCAAGCTATATACTCAAGTCTTATTGAAACCTACATTTTATTTTCATGTTCAAATTGATTTTTGCTTGGCTTTTTTTTTTTGAAAACTTGGTGAAATGAAAGCCTCAAACATGTGGACACCTTCAACATTAAAGCGTAGCGTAGACTTGATATTTTGATGGCTGAAGGACGGTCTAATACAGTGAGACGGAAAGCTGCCTGTTAAATGGAAGTTTGTTATGACATTAATATAGAACATCAAATCATCGAAAATTTGAACCAGAAATTCTTTTGAAAGTTGAAACACAACCTGAAAATCTTGCAAACATGAATTCTGAATCCTACAAATTTAGTTTGTTTTGCAGTATTCAGACTTCTGAATTCTGAATCATGGAAGTTTCTCATGTCAATAAAAGCTTTAACGGCCGCTTTGAATCATAGGAATGAAAAAACGGAGGAATAGGAAAAACATTGGATTATGATAGGAATGTAGCTAAAACAGAGGATTGCAAAACACATGAAAAACATATGAATGACCGTTTGATTGGACCACAGGAAAAACACACAGGAATTTGAGGAGAGATAAAACTCAAAAGATTTCTTCCATGAGGTTCTACCTCTGGTTAAAATTCCTTCAAAACTTGTATGGGAAGAGATATTCCATAGGAATTTCATAGGATTACATAGGGTTCATTCCTTTGATTCAAAGAGATTTGTAGGAAAAATTCCTATAGGAATGAAATCCTCTAAAATTCCTATGAATTTCCTTTGAATCAAAGGGGCCTTATTTAACTAAATTGTTTTCCTTTTTTTACCCACCGACTTACTATCAAATAAAGTATCTTCCGATCATATGAGATGTTCCGTTTGATTCTCTTCATCTTACTTCACACAAATTTGTATGATTTGGACAAAATTATTGCGAGTGAGCTACAAATGATCAAATCAGTGCAATATAGCTTGACTCTTCCCATTTTATTTTATATGGAGTTGTATAATTGGAAAAAAATATCTCTAGAAGTGAGCTACACATATCGGATCATTTCAGTATACATTGTTTCCATTGTTCAAGTGAGATGTAATATGGTCTTCTCCAATATCTCAACTATCTTATTCAGAGAAGGAACTGTCTGATCTGTCCAAATGGGTTCACACCCTTTGAAGAGCAAATATGTACTAAAATATTGGAAAGATATCACAACATCTAACAACATCTATGGTATTATCTTCCTGGTTGATTGCGTCTCCTTTACAAATATATATAGAAGTATAAAGCATTGGTTGCACTCATGAAATAGAGCAGGAAAAGAGTCTTAAGTATAAAACAGAGTTGCATGCTAGCTTCACACTAGCATGCGGCAAAGACATGTAGCATGCATGTTTACTACTACCTACTAGCCGCTGGCTCATTCATCGTGAAGGGTAATGACTTGGTTCTAAAGTAAAGAATTATGCATAATAAATTATGCCATCATATTGGAAAGATATAAAACAAAACTATCGGTACTTTTTCATGAGAATGGTGAAATATTCTGGTCGGTGGTTTAGATTTTAGAAGATCTGTCTATATGCGTAGGCGCCTTTGTTATGTACAGAAAATGTCTCCGTTCTGAATGCTGCAAAACTTTGCTTTGCTTTCAATCCTACATTGACTCAAAGTTTTTGTCTATGGAATTTCTTAACAACAAACCTGTTAAAATTAATCTGGTATTTTTCTGCTAATCCCATTTTTTAATGAAGAAATCTTCTATGAAAACTTTAACATGAGTAATAACAATCTGGTATAATTTTCTATTCTTAAATACTTATTCAACATAAAGGCAAGGGCTCATGAAGAATTCATAATACATGCTGGATTTTTTACATTTAGCTCTTTTTACAAAACATATTTTACAAATAGATTAAAAAACATTAAAAAAATGGACATCTAACTCGATCGGCGCCAATGTCTCTAACGCATATATGTATATCAGCAAAATTGTGTGTGTCTATATGAATGTATGTACATCACTTCTAACCCAGTAGCCAACTATCTCAAATCCCCTAACTCTATCCCACTAAACATTAGGGACACAACACTTGTTATTGTTAAGTGGCTAGTCTTAAAATCATGCATCTGCGTTAATGTGACATCCCGGCCCAGGGCTTAATAGAATTAATAGAATACTCATATCAACAAATTCTAACTTTTTTTCCGGAAGCCGATCTCGAAAGAACTCTGAGGTTAAGTATGCTTGACTTGGAGCAATTTCGAGATAGGTGACCGACCTAGAAATTCTTCCCAGGTGCACACGAGTGAAGACAAAGTGTTCTTTCCTTGGACAAAGTGTGCAGAAAAGACTTGTGTTGGAGCAATGGGTGACCGACGGGAAGCAACGACTGGGAAGCAATTTCTTTCCCGGGACAAAGTGTGCAGAAAAAAAATTCTTTCCCAAGTGCGCAATTTTGGGATGGGTGACCTTCCGGGTGCGCAATTTCGGGATGGGTGACCGACCTGGAAATTCTTCCCGGGTGCACACGTCCCGAGACAAAGTGTGCAGAAAAATTTCTTTCCCGGATGCGCAATTTTGGGATGGGTGACCTCCTGGGTGCGCAATTTCAGGATTAGGGATGACAATGGATCGGGTCGGGCACGGTTAGAGCGAAACCATGCTCGGCCCGAGACCCATGTGCCCACGCCCGACCCATGCCCACAAAGCCAATCGGGCCCGACCCATGCCCACAAAGCCAATCGGGCAAATCCCCGTACCTGTGCCCATGCTCGTCGGGCACGGGCATGCCCGACGGGTGCCCACTGGGCATGCCTGCCATCCGCCACCGCGCCGCCGCCCGCGCGCAGCCGCGTCACCGGTCGCCGCCCCCACCGCCGTGTCGCCGCCTGCTACCCGCGTGCAGCCCCGTCGCCGGCCACCACCCACACCGCCGTGTCGCGGGCCGCCGCCCCACGCTCGTGTGCCACCTACCGCGAAACTGCAGTCGCCCACGCTCGTGCGCCACCAGCCACACGCTAGCCGCCGCCGCTGCGCTCAAGCACCGCCGCGTCTCCACTCGCCAGCCACTGTCCCGCCGCCTACCGCGTCGCCACTCGCCAGCCACTGTCCCGCCGCCTACCGCGTCGCCACTCGCCAGCCACTGTCCCGCCGCCTGCCGCGTCGCCACTCACCAGCCACCGTCCTACCGCCAGCCGCGTCGCCAGCCACCGCGTCGCCCACCCCCGCCACGCCGCCAGCCACCGCGTCGCTAGCCACCGCCGAGTCGCGCCGCCAGCCACCTTTCCCGTGGGCCGCCGCTGGTAGAAGATTGAAAGGTGGTAGTGGGGAGATAAGGCTAGGGTTTCATTGAGTAAGTATATACTCCCTCCATTCCAAAATATAAGACATAACCACCCTTGACCCAAAGACCAAGAAACAATTATTATCACCTCTTTGTTTGAATCAATCCAATTAATACAATACATGCACCCAATAGAATTAAATATCTTGTGAGTGTATGATTTAAAAAATAATAATTTAGGAGAGAAGAGATGCTAAATAATTGCCATGCATGCATGCACGCCTTATATTATGAAACACCTTTAAAAAGTTGTTGTGCCCTATATTTTGGAACGGAGAGAGTATATTGCTGTATACAAATGAGCCAAATGGGCTATTGGGCCATGAGGGGAGGTTAAACTATTGAAGACATGAAGGATATACATGGGCTATAAAAGTCTCGGGTCGGGCATGGGTTATCCACGGGTGAAATATAAAACCCGCATGTGCCCACTAAGTCTACGGATATTGGGTCGGATGTGCCCACGGGAAAAAAAGGTGCACACGCCCGCGTCCATCGGGCCGGGTATCCGCGGATACCCGAACCCACGGGCAATACTGCCATCCCTATTCGAGATGGGTGACCGACCGGGAAATTCTTTCCGGGTGCACACGTCCCGGGACAAAGTGTGCAGAAAAATTTCTTTCCTGGGTACGCAATTTCGGGATGGGTGACCGACCAGGAAATTCTTTCCAGGTGTACACGAGTGAGGACAAAGTGTGCAGAAAAGACTTGTGTTGGTTTGTGAGAGCAGTCTATGACCTATGAAAGCTGCCAGATGTAAGTGGGCCCGGCCTAGGAGAGGCGTGACGTTACAGCTAATATGACACTACTATAGATTTAATTTTTCTGAATGAGACCCCTCTAGGTTTCAGGCGGGTCAGAAGACTTGTGTTGGTTTGTGAGGGCAGCCTATGACCTATGAAAGCTGGCAGATGTAAGTGGGCCCGGTCTGGGAGAGGCGGGACGTTATAGCTAATATGGCACTACTATAGATTTTATTTTTCTGAATGAGACCCCCCTAGGTTTCAAGCGGGACATAACTGACCCTCATGCAAAAATTGCTATTCCAGGAGTGGTTCAAGGGTTGCATGCGAAAATATATTTTTGCAGGAGGCCCACTGTTGGTATTTGATACGGTTACAGATAAAATCCACAAGCGCACGGATATACCGATGTAGCACTTCCCCTACGGAGTATTTCTTCCATGAGGTTCTACCTCTGGTTAAAATTCCTTCAAAACTTGTATGGAAGAGACATTCCATAGGGCTGTCACCACCTCTACACCCACCTCAACATACTGTGGGATACACAGCAATTACTGGATAATAATTACCTAAACACCACGTCTAAGCAATTAATATCTACTTTAGTGTTTATAACTCACCAAAGCAATCACTATATTTTAGTTGATTATAGTGAACAATAATCCCGTATGCTGATTAGGAACTAACCAAGAGATAATTCTCACAAGATAAATCTAAATTACTCAAGAAGAATATTATATTGAATTCAGAGTAATAAACAAAATAAAAGAAATAGGAGAAGATTACCAACAACTCCGGAATTCTTCCGACTCCTTCTACTCTACTCTCTTCCTATTCTAGTATACAATATAGTACAATAGAGCCTCTTATAATTCAGCTCAAGCTTGGAAGTGTGTGTGTGAAGTGAGGGAGTGAAGCCTTTATATAGAGGTAGGTATGACGGTTGGCGAAGAGGAAATGTCCGAAGTGCCCTCCAACCGCCATCAGGGATGCATCTGGGACGTCCATGCCAAACCCCAGCCTGGATGGCTGAGATTGTGGTTCGGCCGAACCAGGGCCGAACCTGGGCTGGGCCCATCTGGCCTGGCCTTTGGCCCAAGTCCTCCCCTGGTCCTCCTCTATCCATTTCTTGGTATTTTGGGCTGATTTACTGATGTTTCGATGAAGTTCACAACCCGTCCTTGCATGGATACATAATTCTCTTCACTTTAGTCTGATTTTCCTCCCACCTTCAGGGTTTATTATCTGCATCCAAATATACACCAACACCTGTGGAATATGTGAGATTAAGTGCCTATCTCTATGTTGGATGTTTTATTATCTGATCTTTATGCAGATGTTGGCGGTATAGAATCGACATTTAACAGCCGCCAACACCCACCTACGATAATAGGCTATTTTCGTAGGTGGGCCTCTTAATAGAACCGCATGACAAAATCAATTTTCCCATATGGACATTTCTCTCCTTCGCCTACAATTCACGCAACAGCTAGTCAGCTACCCCTCCACTTAACTCTTTTTCATCCGTGCATTTGGCCTCTCCACCTTCCCCTTTTTTCTTTCCCCCCTTCTCTTCTCCTCTCTCTATTTCCTTCTCTACTTTCTCCTCCTCCTCTCACTTTCCTTCTCCTCCTTTCTCCACTTCCCCTCCTCTTCCTTCCCGCACTTCCCAGCAGAGATGACAGCTCGGGAACAGGCGGCACCATCACGTGGAGATGGTGGCCTCAAGGGCGGGCGGTGCCGGTGCACGGATCTAGCGTCCTTGGAGAGACAGGAGTAAGCCTCGGGTGGCGGCGGCCTCAAACTGGCTGGATCTGCTGCCGGTGCCCACAGAAGTGGTAGATTTGCCCAATCTGAGGATGACGGGAGCAGCAGTGGTGACCTCGGACTGGGTAAATCCGTCGCCGATGCCCGCGGGAGCAGACTCACGCAATCCGACCGGGGACGGTGGGAGCACTGGTAGCGGGAGCGAATGGCCGCGATGGCAACGGCTACGACGACGACGATGGTGGTGGCGGCTTCGATGACGATGCGTTTAGAAGCTAGGGTTTTGGGAGAATCGGGGAGCTAGGGTTTCAGCCGAATTTGTTCTTTTGAAATTTTTATATTTTTGTTGCTGAAATTATTTTCACATGCGGGCGTCATAGGTGAAAGCATTCAAAAATGTTGTTTTTGCATGTGGTTGCGCTAAATATATAGAAAAATATTGATTGTCACAAACATCTGTGTGCAGGCGGACCATCCAGCCGTTTGGGAAAAAAAAATTTGCCGACTGCAAAAATCGTTTTTTACAAGTGTGAAAATTTTTTATAACGACGAGAGCTCAGTTTGAAAACTTTGGTAAGTATTTTAATGGACAAGGACTCAATTTTAAACTTACTGAAATTAATTAGAGTTTCATCTATATGATCGGTAAGACTAACAAGAAAACAAAATAAGCATATGATAGTTGTAATTCTAATCTTCCTTTCTACAAATGATACAGATTAGATTAATCAGGTTACACATGATAGTTATAATTCTTATCTCCCTCCCTACAAAATGATACAGATTAATCAGGTTACACATGATAGTTGTAATTCTTATCTTCCTTTCTACAAATGATATTGATTAATCAGGTTGACTCAAACATATAATCTCATATCAATTTGTACAGTTGTTGTGATAATAAGTTTTGAAGTTGCACATGATGATCCATATACAACACAATTATTTTGTTTGAGATCAGATATTATATTTTGTCCAGGATGGTAACAAGATGTAAGATGTAAAATGGTTTCCTACAATATCTCAGCTAAATGCATAGAGCAGGGGTTGTTTTCTAGATGATGGATAAACTAACTAGCTGTGGTCTGCTTCTGCACTGAAGCATTGATTGATTCTAGTTATCAAATGCAGAGCAGGAACAGATGTTGTTGGCTGGCAGTGTCTCCATTGCGCAGAAGCATGGATTGATTATATAGTTATGAAATGTAGAGCATGAATAGGGTCTTTGGTATGTAAAAGAGACATATGAATGCTATCTTCATAAAAGTAGCATGCTACTTACCGGCTGGTTCATTCATCGTGACGGGAAAATTGCTCAGGGGTGAAAGAGAGGATGTATATGCATGAAGCATTGAAGCCGCAAGAGAAATGGCATCGTATTGGAAACACAGAAACAAAAATATACTACCACGATTTCATATTAAGCTTTGATTTTTTTCAAGCCAAATTTTTAGGTTTGATGAAATTTATAGAAAAATATAATAATAGTTTTAACATAAAACTAAGAAGCTATCAAAATATATTCAATGCTGAATTTAATAAAACTAATTTAACGTTATAAATTTTGGTATATTTTGCATAAACTTGATCAAACTTTTAAGAAGTTTGACTTAAACAAGTCAAAAGCGTGTGAAACGGAGTGAGTAGATAATTTCTAATCATATTGGTGAAAGATATGTCCGATTTTTTTTCTCGAGGTAATTAAGTCTATTCTTACTGTATTGCTAACTTTGTTTACTTCCTTTCAATCCAATACACTGATACTTATAAAAGCTTGTGCCTATCTCATCGTATTTTTTTTAATTGTTGAATATATATACACCGGTACTTTTAGCTGGGGGATCTAGTCTGTTCATCATGGATGTTTGAACGAGAAAATATGTAGTGAAAACCTACACCTACGTTGTGGACCACTGGATCTAAAATGTGCGTTCCAGATTAGGCGTTACCTACCCAGCTCCCACTCAACACGTTTTATGAATAACCCCCCGCGTCAGGCTTTATACATTTACAAATACACCATCTCATTTCCCTCCTTTCTCACATAGGTACACATCTTTCTGAATCACCAGATCCAAATCAAAGACAACCAGCCGCACAGGATAGGAGCGATGATGAGTGAAGCCTCGATGCTATCCTCCCCGGCGGCAACCTACTCTGGCCTCTGGCTGTCCTCGCCCTCGTCGGTAGCTGAGAAGGCGCGGAAGGAGAGGAACTCTTTTGGTAAGGAGGATGTTGCCGATGTCGCCGTTGCGCCGAACACGGATGCAGATCTGAGGGAGCCGGATGTGGTGAAGCTTAGAGGGAGCACGCTGCCGAAGGTCCGAGGGAGCTAGCCCCCGACGCAGTGGAGTTGGCGGTCATGCGTTGAGGATATTGACTCGTAGCTCTAGGCTCTGAAGGTGAGGGTTTCTTGATCGCCTCTCCTAGTCTCAGCCTGCATGTAGCTGTTTGAACTGATTGGATCTCTCGTGTGGATGTCTCATGGATATTGGATTTTGTCCCAATTTAGTAGCTGATGTTTAGGAAAATGGCAAAATGTTTGGACACCAAACACACCGTGACTAAATTTTTTGCAAGTGCTGAACTCATCAGTAACCAATTACATATTGGATTTTGTCCCAATTTAGTTGTTGATGTTTAGGAAAATGGCAAAATGTTTGGACACCAAGCACACTGTGACTAAAATTTCTACAAGTGCTCAATTTTGGGGAGCTGAAGTGCTGAACTCTTCCTTGACCAATTACAGGGGATGCTTTCAGAATATGATAGGCATAAAATGGATCTTTGTTGGTTTCTTGGATTAGTTAAGTAAATGTTTCACTAGTTTTTTAACTTAACCTTGCTAGTATCACACAATTTTTCAGGCTTCCCTGTATGTTTTTCTAACCTTGCTACCAAATCAGTATTTTTACTTCCTTGGATGTCACATTTTCAGACTACCAAGCTGAGAGGAGAGCAACATGCAACAGACAGTAATCCTGTGGGTCTAGGGTTCAGCACTTCAAAACTGACGACCATTGTGAGAATACATAGGAGGTGCTAACTAAGATGATGATTGAAGGTGACAATCTAGAGAAGGTGCTGCAGGAATTGGAGGAGATGAAGAACTTCATCAAGACAATGCATAGCACTTATCATGCTATTAGGATTTAAAAAGAAAATTCATATAAGAGTTAGTTTGTAATCAATTTGTCTATATACTGAAATGACAATATTACAAGCAAACACAATGTGTAAAATGCCTCTGCTTCTTCCACCTTGACTTGCACTGCTTTTGCATCTCAATGACAGCCCGCGCACGAGCAGAACTCGACGGCAATCCACGACAACGCACGGCAGTGAGAGTTATCGTTCTTCCCTTCCTTAATTCAAAAATGAGCACAAGAACAAGGTTTTGGTGAATTTTAAGTGGACAATGGACACTGCAGAGCAGACTGAAGTGAATATAATCTACCTTATGCACATGACAACAGGAAATCGTGCCTAGGGTGGAAAATGGCATCTCCCTCACCACATACACAGACCACATATATGGATGAGGGTGAACAGATATATACCTTCATGAAAAAAAATTGACATCTGAACATTCAGGGAACTTAATTCTAAAGAAACTCAACATGAATATATTGTTATAGAGACGAAAAACTTTCATGACCATAGTGTGCAAATGCAGCACACCGGTTTGTGGGAACACAGGTGCAGAAAATTACTAGTTCAAGTAGAAAAATACAGCACACAGAAAATTTATCCAGTTCAAGTATATTTAGGATTTTCCTAGAAAATCATAGGTCCAGAAAGTGGCTACAAACAACTGGCACACTACAAGATAATTGAGCTATCACCACCAATTTATTACAACGAAAAATAATTCGTGGCAATATATTGTACTATCGCAATGATATTTTTTTTGTGGCAAATAACTATAATTTGTTGCAACGATTTACAATCATTGTTTTATTCAGTATTTTTGTTGCAATAGGAAATGAGCTATTGCCACAACAAACAGTACTATTGCAAAAACATGTTCTATCGCCACACATTTAATTTTTGTGGCAATTTGCATAGTACATGGTACTTTTCACTATTTTCTATTGCCATGATTAACAAATTCGTTGCAATAAAAATTTATCATCTCATAATTTAACTTATTCTTTTCATATGGACACGGATTAGGACAAATTTTATATGAAATTTATAGCTCTCGATGAGATCTACAACTTAAATTTTTCATTTGAAATATTTTAAATACTCAAATTCATGATTTAAATCTTAGTTAGGCAGTCTCAAATGGAATTGTATGCATTTTTAAACAAAATTGATGCGTAGATGAGTTGGTCATGGAGAGCGCGCGTGATGGAGAGATCTTAGATTCGAATCCTGGCCATGACAAGATATCAGAAGAAAATAGTTAGGATGATAAATTAATATTGAAACATTTAATTTGGTACGTAGAACTAATGCCACACATGGAGTGATAGCAATAGTTATTTATTGCAACGATGTGAAGTGTCGCAATATATATTTTTTGCCACATCCATTTTATGGCAATATCAAATTTTATTACAACTAAATAAAAATCGTTGCAATAACCTATTACCATGCTATTTATTACCACGGCTAGCAACGATTTTAAGATTGTGGCAACATGTATCTATTTCCATAATTTTAGCATTGATACTACGATTTTTTTTCGTGGCGATAAATTATTTTTCGTGGCGATAAATTATTTTTCTAGTAGTGGCAGAGTCAACCTAGTCCATCAATGTATAACGACATGGTCTGATATTCAGATGTCTTTTGCTGACACAATTTAGATCCCACAGAGTTTTGGCAGGTAATAACATTCATAAGTTACAACACTTGTGCACAAATATCAGTTATCCCCTTCAAGGTGTTGTCTAATAAAAAATGCAACCTTGCTATTAAATGGCTAAAATCTATTAATAGATCACACACGTGTGCACTGGATGATGGCAGTGGCTCTACTTTGAACAAAAAACTACTCTAGGCAAAAGAATTCTCGCCAGCTGCTCTCAGCAAAAAAAACTGCACCCAGCAAACTGCATAGTGAAAAAAATTGTTAAGAAGGACACATATACTTGTGAGCATAGATAAAAAATTGTTAAGGACACATATACTTGTGAGCATAGATACATACAAAGTTTTATTCACACTACGGACCAAACTAAGATAACAAAATGTTCCTGGAACACAATGGTTGTTCTAATATTTTTTCCCTGTCTTCCCATATGTACTCTTAACCATTTCAAGCTGAATATTAGCTGTCCAAAATGTCCTTGTCGCAATATACATTTGTATATGAGCCAAACATGTTTGTAGAATACAACAATTGTGTTACTTAAATATTTTCCATATGTAATTCTTAACCATTCCAAACTGAAAATGCAATCCAAAATGATTGTGCTTCCTACACATCCCACTGTATATTACATGCCCACTTGCCCACCTAGAATCCTTCCCATATTTTTTTATACTTTGTTCCAAGTTGATAACACTAGGTCCCAAATCATACAGGCAAAAACTTAAAGAACTATAAATAAGAACCCATGCAAAAATGCAAGGGACCACATCAGTTAACAGGACAATTGTACATTTGCGATTTATACTAATAATTAGACTCATGACGACAATACTAAAAATGTTATTACCTCACAATGGTCCCAACTAATTATATTTCAACATGTGTTCACTACCTGCTGTTAGTTAAATATTATATGGCCACCTATTATCTTTTACATGAATTGCTACTTTGTTCCAAGGAAATCTACAGCATGTCAATTAGAACCAGAATGTTCTTGCCACACTATAGACTTTACGATACACCGTTAGTTGAATTTTGGATGACAACACACAATCTTTTACAGAGAAATGCTAACTTCTTCCAGGAAATTGTATGACAACTATTATAAGATGACTGATAGTTAAGGAAGCATGATGTATAGAACCTTGCATCACTGTTGTGGTTCTTTGTTAGGACAGTTGTGCGAATCGTGCAGCATGACTTGTTTGCACTTCTTGCACCTTCGTGGTACTCTCTCTTTTTTCTTTCTCTTCTTGTTTTGCTTTTTCTCCTTGTCATTGTGCCCTTTAATTCTCTTTATCCGACCCCTGGAACGAGTGTCATTTGGCGGGTGGATTTCAATTTGACTTGGAATGCTACATCCAAGATATGATTCAAATTCCTCAATTTGGCTAAGCTCTTTTTCAGGAACCATCTCATTTAATTTATCACCAAGCACAACTAGTTCATCCCTCAAAAGTTGCATAGCTGCTGCTGATTGCTTAGCTTGTAGGATGAGCTTCTCCATTTGGTTGCATGCTTCTGAAAGCATTTTTTGCATCACAGGATCATTACTGTTGCTTGTGTTTTCTTCCAACAAGATACCATCTGCATCGAACACATGTGTCTTCTTGCAGTCCTTCCTAAACCTTTCCAATAAATAGTATCTCGGCAGTTCACTTAGCTGGGCACTTCTTAGGACTGGAATTAGATGACGACATGGTATACCATGAGTTTCAAACAGCATAAATGTGCACGTTGCAACCATTGTCTGTCTATCATAACGCACAACTCTTGGCTTCCTGGATTCTTCAATGATATCGATGATTTTGACCTCGCCATCTTGTTGCACATTGTCAATAAGGCAACGGTCCCTGGCAGCTAGCACCTCTTTCTAAATTATGCTAAATACCTCATGTGTGAAGTAGGGGTGGGCGTTTGGTCAGACCGAAAAATTCGGTCCCGGTCTTCGGTTTTTCGGTCAGTTCGGTCTTCGCAAACTCAGGACCGAATTTCATCCAAAAAAACTCAGGACCGGCAAATTCGGTCTCGGTTTTTTCGGTCTCGGTCTGACCGAAATTTTTGAGGAGAGTTTGGAACGAAAAAATTTGGAACGCGCGGTGGAGGGCGGCGGCCGCGGCGCGGTGGAGGACGGCGGCGGCGGTCGCACGGTGGAGGGCGGAGGCGGGCCGCGGCGCAGGGGAGGGCGGAGGCGGCGGCAGCGCGGTGGAGGGCAGAGCCGGCGGCGGCGGCGCGGTGGAGGCTGGAGGAGGCGGCGGTGCGGTGGGGGCTGGAGGAGGAGGCGGCGGCGTGGTGGGGCTGGAGGAGGAGGCTGCACTGGTAGTAGGGTTAGTATCACTTCTAGGGTTTGTTTTAGTGGGCTTATTGGGCTTCCTAGGTCTATTGGGCCAAAATTTCGGTCATTTCGGTTAATTCGGTTAACCGAACCCAATAACCGAAATAAATTCGGTCTTTTGAGGGCTGGGACCGAATAGATAACCGAATTTCTCGGTCTCGGTCTTTTCGGTCTCGGTCTCGGTCTTTTCGGTTCGGTTCTTCGGTTCGGTCTAAATATGCCCACCCCTAGTGTGAAGAACTCACTTGCATGCTTCTCTATCACCCATTCTGTCTTCAAATTGCGGATTGTGTGGAGCGTAATGTTATCTTCTTCTAGTTCCTTATGTCTTTGTTCTTCTAGTGCAGCATCAAGCCTGAGCCAAAACTCCACCAAAGCAAGCTTCCACCCAATTAGACGAGAAAAGAATGAATCGGCACTCTCTGACCTTGAGGTGGTCCTTAACAATCCTAACAAAGGTATGTCACTAAAATAAGCTGGCACCCATGAACGCCGTTGATCGAACTTTGTACTGAACCATTCGTTGTCTTCCAACCCATATTCATAAATAATACAACTCCATTCATCCTCGAATTCGAGTGGTGTTTCAGAAGACCACACACAAGAGCTTAGTCGGGCTTTGAATTTTTCATCCTCTTTCAGAATTGGTCCAACCTTCTCACAAACCTTCATCAAAATGTGCCACATGCATAGTCTATGAATAGTAGTGGTCAGAACTTCTCTTATTGCAGCTTTCATGCTTGCAGCTTCATCAGTGATAATTAGCTTAGGTGCAACACCTCCCATTGCTTTCAAAAAAGTGTGGAACAACCACATATAGGACTCCATTGTCTCGTCAGATAACATTGTAGCACCAAAAAGTACACTGCTCTTGTGGTGGTTCACTCCTGTGAAAGGGGTAAAAACCATGCCATACTCATTGGTGCTGTATGTAGAGTCGAAAGAGACGAGATCTCCAAAGTGAGCATAATTTTTCCTGCAAATAGCATCTGCCCAAAATACATGAATTAACCTCCCCTTGTCATCCACAACATAGTCAAAATAAAAACCTGGGTTTGCAAGACTCTTCCTACTCAACTGATCAACAAACATTAGAGCATCTGAGGACTTTATCAAAACTCTTAGAGCACTATGGTAGTTCTGCAAGTCCCTTTTTGTAAATCCAACATTCTCAAACCCTCCTACACCAACACGAAGGTATCGGTATGCTTGTGATGTACCGATGCTAGCTTTATGGCACGTGAGCAATGTGTTTCTACCACTCAAGGTAAGCTTTCTGTTGGAACGTATGAGATGCCTCTTGTCAGGAGAAACGAATGCATGTGTATGACCTTGCTCAAATCCCGTGATAACATACTTATCGCCATCGACTAGTTTAATAACCAGCTTCGCCTCACAACCACACCTAGTGATTCTTTTCTCATAACTCCTTTTCTCACTACCAGATTCTAGTCCTCTCTCACCTTTGTCCTCCCAGAATCCTTCGTTCGCACAAAGGAACAGTTTGTACAGAACCACTCCATCAACTTTCTTGTGTTGTCCAATGCGAACTGAGAAGCCAACTCTAAGCGCATAGCTTTCATAAAACTCCTTGGCTGATTCTAAACCATTAAAAGTCATACCGATGTTTGGCACCATAGAATCATCACAGTCTGGAATAAAATACGAACCCTACACAGTGCACATTAACAATGATGAAAGAGCAGCATATCATGAATGCTTAAACTAACTTGAAAAAATGGGTGTGCAATAATACTTACACAGAATGGAGTGCTTGAGGACTTTTGAGGCGTGGTGTATTGATCTCGTCGATTCGGAATACCTGCAGTAACCGATTCTGCATCGGAATGCACATCATTAAAGTCCAATCTCCCTGCCATGTCACTTCGTTCTCTAAGAATAACCTGGATGATCAAAATACCATATGTAAAACTTAATTTTTATAAACAGAGCACACCCAGTAGAAATAAACAGACAGTAAAATAGAAGAGAAATTCAAGAAGTGAGATCTATATGTGAGACATAGGTAAAATGAAAGAAAACTAAGAAAGTGAACATGTCAGATTATTTCAGGCTTGCTTAATGGTAAAACATGTCTTTCCCTAGGCAAGAATGTCAGAGCAAATGGGAGACTCGAAGCAAACAACACATCAACCCAAACCAGTGGGCCGATAATATTTTCTTGGAAGAAAGTAACGGTTTCCGGTAAAAAGATTATAGGTAACCATAGAAAATTCAACTAACAGTGGGTAGGGAACACATGCTGAAATACAATTCCCTGTGACTATAATTTTGGAGGCATAGTTGCTACCATTGTGTGCCAAGAGCATTTTGGTTCTAACAAAATGCTTGACAGGCTCAAACTTTCACATATGTGCTTGCAACATGACATTTGCATATTTGTCTTTGCAGCTTGCAGGGGTAACACTTTTGATGAAAGTAGCCGAGGGGAATACATTTCCCATAGAAGTTTTTTTTTTAACAGTGGAGACACAGTGTTAAAGGGTGCATTTTGTTTAGGAACACCATAGGGAAATGATGGTTCTCCTATTTCAGAGGTATTCATTGGATGCATTGTCGTACTCGTTCCCAGATTTTATGGATTAAATTAGTCAAATTATAGTCAATTACACTATCAGCTGCTGTGGTGCATGAATGAATGAATGGTTGGATGGATGGACAGACTACTGTTGAGTCTTGAGCAGTGTTCAGCTCTGCAAAAGGATATGTAACAGTCTTGATGTTTATGGAAAGTAGAATTATAATCTGTTGATCAGATTGTCTATTCACAGCAAAGTTCTGAATGGATGTGATGCTAATTCCTGGTTTCGATCAAGCATCTTGATTTTATTCAGAAGCAACTACTCCAATCTGTAGTTGTGTGGCATGTTAATGAAATGAAACATGACAACAGTTGTAGAAAAATCTTTTATAGTCACGAGTTGTAGGAAAAATAATCAGTCATCTAGATTGACGGTTTCCCACAATAGAACTGCATATACATTTCATAAAAAATCAGGGAGGTCGGCATTTGAGTTACATGTACAATTTTAGGCAATAAGCTCATGATGTAGATTTCCCAGGTCACACATTCATCTGAGTATCTACAGAACATGAGAAAATCTGAGTTCCGGCTAACTACAGAAAGAAAGAAACAAGCATATGGTCAGAGATACAAAATCCACACTAACATGAGTATTAATGTTCTAAAGCAATATGCAAGATAATGGAGAACATAAAGCACGACGGCAGGCCGTCGTCAGCAACATCAATTCTACGCACGGTCCTCCCATCGATGAATAATACAACAGTAACAGCTGCAGACGCCGCCGGTTGCTCCACATCAGTGGGTAGCTCATCACAACCTTACAGAACAGCAGTAATGGAGGAACACCATTACTACCTTTTGTTGGCCAATCGATGAGGGGCTAGGCCCAAGTGGAGGGAAGGACAAGAAGAACAAGAAGAAGAGGAAGCTGTAGCTGTCTCTACAAGAACACCGACGGCATAGTAACTCTATTTCATCTGCAGTTGTCAGTGTTGGTGGCATCAAAACCCTAGTTCATCTCAGCCCCTAAATTGTTCAAACCAAGAACATTCCGCTCATTCCGCGGAAGAACATACACGAACTATAGCAGGGATCAAGAAGAGAGAATGACCTTAATTCAGTGGATGCTGGATGAGCAATCGGCGAATCGAGGCCGCCGTTCGCAGATGCCTCGACGTCACCGGAGCAGCATGGGGGTTGATTCATGTTGCCGCGAATCACGTGGAAAGGTGGCGCTGCTGCCGACCACCGCCGGCGCCCCACCCCACCCCACCGCCGTGCCGCCGCCACACCACCCCTCCCCCAACCCCACCGTCGTGCCGCAGCAGAGAGTTGAGTTTGGGGATGGATCCCTTCTGAATCGGAGATGTGTTGTGGTACAATTTGGGGGCTGAGATGCTAAAGTTTGGAATTAGGCGGGGTGTTTTCTGAACATTTCATTCTGTGGTGACGTGGACATATCTGGAACCTACGTTTTGCATCCAAGTGTGGTTTCTATGTTTGCACTAGAGATAGTGTTTCCACTACATATCTTCTATGTTTGAACGGTTTTGCATGTTTGAAACTGCAGGTCAATCCCAAATCCATTTGATTTTCGCTCTCGTCGGTCTTCCCACCCATCCATCCATACCTCCGCCGCCTGCTCCGGCGAATCCTCCGCCGCCTGACGCCTCCACCGCTCATCTCATCCGCCGCCACCCGCCTCTCATCTCGCTGCTGCTCCACGGCATCCCCCGCTGCTGCTCTCCGGCTCGGTGGCGCAGCCGTCCTCTCCCGATCGAGCCGGCGCCATTCTCCTCTCGTTCCGTGGCTTCTCGAGCTCACCACCACAAGCGGTTGGATCGTCGCAGAAGATCGAGCGGGGGAGATGCGAGACGGCCCGGCGCCGCCGAGCCGATGTCCACCCGCTCCACCACCAGCTCCGTCCTCAACTTCCTACGCCACGTCTCCTTCCCGCCGGACCCGCGCCTCCTCCCCTCCGCGCTCAAGTCATGCTCGGCGCTGCGCCTCGCCCGCGCCCTGCACGCGGCCGCCGCCGTCGCGGGCGTCTCGCGGGACGCCTTCGTCGCGTCCTCGCTCCTCCACGCCTACCTCCGCTTCGGCGCCACGGCCGACGCCCGCAGCGTGCTCGACGGAATGCCGCACAGGACCGTCGTGGGCTGGAGCGCGCTCATTGCCGCTCACGCCTCTCACGGGGACGCCGAGGGAGCGTGGGGGCTCCTCGAGCGGATGCGGAGCGATGGCGTCGAGCCGAATGTGATCACCTGGAACGGGCTTGTCTCCGGGCTGAACCGGAGCGGGCGCGCACGGGACGCGGTCCTGGCGCTTGTGAGGATGCACGGGGAAGGGTTCTTGCCTGACGCGACCGGAGTCTCGTGTGCGCTATCTGCGGTTGGGGATGTTGGAGATGTCGCTGTCGGTGAGCAGCTCCATGGGTATGTGGTGAAGGCCGGGTGCAGGTTGGATGCTTGTGTGGCCACTGCGCTCATCGACATGTATGGCAAGTGCGGACGAGCTGATGAGATAGTCCGGGTGTTTGATGAGTCAAGCCATATGGATGTTGCCTCTTGCAATGCCCTCGTCGCTGGGCTGTCACGGAATGCTCAAGTCTCTGAGGCTTTAAGGTTGTTCAGGGAGTTTGTCGGCAGAGGGATTGAGTTGAATGTTGTTTCCTGGACCTCGATTGTAGCTTGTTGTGTGCAGAATGGAAGGGATCTGGAAGCCGTTGATCTTTTCAGGGAGATGCAGTCAGAAGGAATCGAGCCAAATTCAGTTACAATACCGTGCGTGCTGCCAGCTTTTGCAAATATTGCAGCTCTGATGCATGGTCGTTCTGCACACTGTTTTTCTCTTAGGAAGGGCTTTCATCATGACATTTATGTGGGGAGTGCTTTGGTGGACATGTACGCCAAGTGTGGCAGGGTCAGGGATGCAAGGATGATCTTTGAAGCAATGCCATATAGGAATGTGGTTTCATGGAATGCAATGATTGGTGGCTATGCTATGCATGGAGAGGCTGAGAATGCTGTGCGGTTGTTCCGATCCATGCAAAGTTCCAAAGAGAAGCCTGACCTAGTCACCTTCACTTGTGTCCTTGGTGCCTGCAGCCAAGCTGGCTGGACAGAGGAGGGGCGTAGTTACTTTAATGAAATGCAGCACAAGCATGGAATTTCTCCGAGGATGGAGCATTACGCATGTATGGTTACTCTGCTTGGTCGGGCTGGTAAGCTTGATGATGCGTATGATATCATAAATCAGATGCCGTTTGAGCCAGACGGTTGTATTTGGGGGTCATTGCTGGGCTCTTGCAGGGTTCATGGAAATGTGGTCCTTGCTGAGGTTGCAGCAGAAAATCTATTTCAACTAGAGCCAGAAAATGCTGGTAATTATGTCCTGCTTTCCAACATTTATGCATCCAAGAAAATGTGGGATGGGGTCAATAGGCTGAGGGATATGATGAAGACTGTAGGGTTGAAGAAAGAAAAAGGCTGTAGTTGGATAGAGATCAAGAACAAGGTACACATGTTGTTGGCTGGTGATAGTTCACACCCCATGATGGCTGCAATAACTGAGAAGCTAAAACACCTTACTATGGAGATGAGGAGGCTAGGCTTTGCACCAAGTACAGATTATGTCCTACATGATGTGGAAGAGCAAGAAAAGGATGATATCCTTTCTGTGCACAGTGAGAAGTTGGCTGTAGCATTGGGCCTTATAAGCACAAGTCATGGAACACCCCTTCAGGTGATAAAGAATCTTCGGATTTGTGGTGACTGCCATGAAGCAATGAAGTTCATATCATCTTTCGAGAGGAGGGAGATATATGTTAGAGACACCAACCGATTTCATCACTTCAAGGATGGAAAATGTTCATGCGCAGACTATTGGTGATTTTTCTTGTCTTGTTCGACTCTACATTTTACAGAACTTGGCAAGGATGGTGTAGAAAAGCATCTACGTCTCTGTACCCTAGGTTAATATTTCCTCATGAGGTAATTACTTACCAGCAATATCTGCATTACTTAGTGATTTATTTTATAATAATAATAATAATAATAATAATAATAATAATAATAATAATAATAATAATAATAATAATAATAATAATATTAATATTAATATTATTATTATTATTATTATTATTATTGAGCAAGGGCTGAAAGCCCATTTTCATTACCAGAAATGGGATAGTCTTTACATTACAACACGACCTTTACACCATTACATGATAACAGACAGCACAGCTATCACAGTTTTCTGGCACTATGAGGGTTCCATCCCACCCCTTTCCTGCCATAACCTGAAACTAAGACACAGGACTACTGTGTCACCTTAAAGCATAACCGGGACTTAGTATCAGGAATGGCATGACTTGCCCATCACCAAAACACAAACATCCAGGACCGAAGGTAATGACATAACACACCCAAGGTTTGAAAGCAGGGCTTCCCGAAGGACCTTCAACTCTCCTGTTCTACACTAGGTTGGTATATATTCATGAGGTAATTGTTTACCTGCGATGTCAGCAATTTAACATGTAAAAAGAAACAAAGGAACTCCTACGTTCTATTGACCAACAAAGAATACATAAAATCCTTCATTGTACTTTGGTTGCAATTTCAGAATTTATCAATCTGATATATCGCACAATCTCCATCATGTCAGTTTTGGTAGCTCATTGTTTTTTATATTTTTCTTTTAGACCACACCAGCTTCTAGTCTCTTATGAAAGATCTGTCTTATTGCAACCATAAATACCCAACGGGTCATTTTCCTGAGTTAGTACTTCCTTTAGGAAATAGAATGCATAATATATTTGCATAGTGTCAGATGTAGTCTATATCACTGTGTTGTAATTCCTATCCCTTGCAAAATGCAAACTCTGTTTTGTAATCTGGTATTGGTAGCAACTTTTAGTTGCCTACTTATCAATTGTTATTTGGTTTGTGCAATTTTCATAAGAAACATGATATATTTATATAGTAGACAATCCCATCTTACCTGCATATGTTTGATGGACAGAATAATTTCTTAAGCAATTTCAGTTGAAAGTAATATTATTTTATATGAAAAGTATTCATGGTTGTGATCTGCAGACTTGTTGATTTAAGTGACCGTATACATGTAAACTGAGGATATGGTAAATAAAGAAGGATTTACAGGTGAAGAAAAGCTAAAGCCTTAAAGGTACTTTCCTGTCAATCTGTCATAATAATTCATGCTACTTTGCAGTTTTCTGATTTCATGTCTAATAACTATCCTGAGACATCACTCTAATCAGAATCTCTGTTTAATACTAGAAAGCTAGACTATTGAAGAGCCTGATATACGTTGACACAATAATAATATTTTACTACAGATGCTCGATGGTTTCAGATATTTTCATAACCCCTTTTCCATTGACGAAGTTACTTGCATCTTCTTGTTCTCTCGTCTCTGGGAGAGGCAGAGAGCTAGCTCTGTGTTTTTGTTTGGTTCTATGCCCTACCAAAAGTTGGCAGAGCAAAAACCTTGGGATTGGTAAATTTTGGTAGGATAGAGATGAAGATGTCTAGTGCTAAAATTGTACTTATTTGAGATAGATACATGAACTTGCCATAATTTTTGCTGAGTAGAGCTTTCATGGAGTTTTTTGTTTTGTTATGTAACAACTTTTTTGCATTTTACTAAAATTTTGCTAGGTAAACAAACCAAACTAGATAAACATCACGCTGAACATGAACTATTGAACTGGGTCTGTATATATCTCTGCCTCCCCAGCTGTCAGAGCCCCTAAGGCCTGGCCGAGTCAGCCATATGGGAAAGAATCAAAGAAAGGACTAATACAAGAGGAATCATGTATCTTTGTCTGCCGATAGATGTGGCACAAAGAAGCCGTCCAATACATTTTATTTGCAGTAAGGTAAAATTGAGGATATCTTAAAAAAGGGATAGAACGAGGAGAATATCAAAGTACAGTAAAAACGAGCATCGTCTGAACTTGTTTAGTCTTGGCCTCTTCTCGTCGTAGCTGCTTTAAAATTTATACTCTATATATAAATGGGCATGCCAATATGAAGCTGGAATAATCCTTCATCCTTCGAAAAGCTCGTTCACCATGTCTTCCATGTCCTGTTGATTACTGCCACATTTCTCCTGCTCTGGATGGGCCTCCAGGTATGTTCTGTATCCAGTAGGACCAGTAATAACCTTGTCAATGATAGCTTTTCGCAGGCTCCTCCTGAGCTCAGGGTTCGGAACCTTCCATAGCTTCTGATGTCTGCATGTTCTCTGAAATTCCGATTTGAATCTTGCTAGCTGCGAGGGTTTAGAAAACCAGAGCGTTGTCATCTTAATGTGCAGGCAAGATAGCACTGTATCCCAGGAGACATTGAGATAGCAATTTCGGTAGTCGCAATATTTTATCCCTATTTTCGAGTCAGATGGAAGGCTGTAACCGGTGATTGCAATATACTGATCTTGTATGAAGTAGGAATTGTTAAGCAAGAACAAGTACCTCAGGATAGGGTCTGAGAACGACTCTGATTTCTTCTCCAGATGATCTATTAAGTTGCTGATCATTTGCTCAATGATGTCGCATTTTAGGATGCGATGAGGCCAACATTGGCCTAGTATGGAGTTGAGCTCGTCAATGTGTCCCCAAAATAGTCTTGCATAGTCCATAATTAAGTGAGTAGCCTTGTGGATTTCTGCACTCTGCGGGAAAGTTTCCCAGGAATGCATGCCACTCAAGACAGGAGTAACAGCTTCAGCATCGTTTGCCATCCTTTGTATGGCCTGACCCAAATTATCTTTTGCAGTCGAGAAAATATTGCTGGTCTTGTTGAGCAGGCCTTGCAGCATTTCGTCCGAATCTGGTAGCCAGAGGGTCTCCTTCTTCAAGGAGAGCATGATGATTTCAGACGCGTGGGAGATGCAGCTGCGCACGTTCATGAGGCCCGAGAGCTTGTTCATTGGATTCCAGGTTTTATCGGCCACGGCGACTAGGGAATTGGCAAAGGCAAGCATCTTGCAGACGGTCGCCTCAACGAACCGCACCAGTCGAAGGTCGTCGTCCCGGTCGACTTGGGCGGTCGAACGGCCCTCTTCCTGGAGATGGCGCTGCGTGGCGCTGAGCGCTTCGGCCATCACGGTGAATCCTCGTGTCCACCTCTGCACGGCAAGATCGTACAGCTTATCCAAGGCCAGCTCGCTCTTCTCCTTCTCCAGCGCCGACCGGAGTACCCAGCCGACGTCGAGCTCGGAGAACCACCTCTCCAGAGCAGGTCTGGGCGCCCGGCCGAACTCCCCGATCAGCTTGCCCATGAAGCCGTCGCGGACCATCCGCCGCGCAATGTCGCGAGGGCTTTTGTCTTCAAGTCTTGCCAACCTCCGGGAAGATGAGATGGAGTAAGGGGCGTAGCGATGACGAGAGCTGCTTGACTTACTGCTGCTGTAGTAACTACTGGATCTCGCCGACCGAGACGACGACGACGGCGACCACCCGCCGGCCGAGTCGACGGCCAAGCTCCGGATCTCCTGCAGGTAGCTGTGTCTCCGTGACTGCAGGGAAATGTTAGGATCGCTGCTACGACCCAACTCCATCGTGATCGCCAGCTGTGGCTCTAGCTTCATGCTCGCTCACTCGAGCTCGGCCATGTTTGGATAATGGGTTTGGGATATGATTTCCCACCCCTTAAGGCCTCGTTCGGCACGTGGGGAGGGCTTTCCCTAGGGGGAAACACCACCAGTCCAGGATTGGGTGGATCCCCTCCCACCACCCAATCCACTTCCACGTTGGGTGTTAAACCCCCATCCTATTCGGATGGGGAAAAAAGGGGAAAAGCAGGGAAAGCAGGGAAAATGCATATCTTTGAATAAAAACTGAGAAAAAACGAGCATAGATAGCACATCTCAACTTAGGAATAGAATCAAATTACAAAACCACACAAAATAATCTGAAATTTCAAAAAAAAAAGAAAAGCTGATAACTAATTTCTACAATGGCATGTACAGAAGAAAACCAAAATTAAGAAAATAGTTCATTAAATAAAGAAAATGAAAATACTGCCAAGCTTTTAAAACGATAGTAACACTGCTATTCAATGTAGCAGTTGACATTCGCATGTGGTAAGTCAATCTGTGCCCTCCAAACAATATTACAAGCATATATAATAGTTGCCAATGTACTCCACGCATTTAAATTCTAGTGATTAGCAAGTGACATTAACACCTAGAACACTGAGTACAACCACAAACTAGGTTCCCAGGTTCCAAAATCTGATTTATCCACAAATTTAAGAAATGAAGATGGTAACTGCATGCACTGTACCATTTGATCTTCACCTAATAATATTAGCTCCATGACCTGAGAGGAGAAAATGATGAGCATTGTGACCCCAAGAAAAGATTAAAATCAATGCCAAAAAACACACACAAAAAAAAAAAGACAGACAGACACGGCAGCCAAAGAACAGCTGTTGCAGCATCCAGAAACAAGCCTCTGATAAGTTTTTACAGGTGATCACAACAACAGAAAGCTTCCAATATAGAATAGCATACAGAAAATGACAGCACATTAGGAGGAGAACAATGTTGGCCCATAGATAAGTTTATTTTACAAAGATATGACATAGCAGGACTATGGTAGCTTAATGCCGACAGTAAAGCATAAAAAAAAAGTACAGAGAAGTTGGACTGATGACAGCAATGTCGAGCTCAACAGGACTACAGGAGAAATGAAAAAAAGGCTGATCACTATCATCATGCTATTCATCTACCCTATAATTCACCAACCCACTCTTACACCTACATTACTCATTCATCAAATCCAACGGCCAGAATCATCCAATCCAACGGATCACATTATACCACGCACCCCCTCAACCTCCGTATGGACCCCATCCCCCACTTCTCTGTCAATCACGCCACCCCCTCGCCCTCAAGGATTCTCTGCGCACCGTGCCTCCATCTGCGGATCTGCCTCTGCGCACCCATCCGCCCCTGACCGCGCATCGGCCCCGCGCCCCCTCCACTGCTCCGCCGACCACCGTCAGGTCGCGACGCCGCCGATGACTCTCTCGTGCCGCCAAGGATCACGCCGCCACCGTGACTCCTCGCCATCGATGCGCGACGTGACGCGTTTCCATCTCTTCGTTCGTCGTCGACGTCTTCGCCGGCCTCCTCAAGAATCCCGCACCGCCGCTGTCGACCGAGATGAGGAAGGCCAAGCCATTATCGAAATAGTTGCGCGCGTAGGCACACCAGCAGAAAAAGGCACCGGCCACTCCAAGCTCGTCCGGCACTACGACTCGGAGGCCTCCTGGAACAATGTATCACTATTCACTAGCACCCCTCCTTCCTCACTGCTTTGCTGTTCTTGTTGCTAATGGTCTGCCTCTAGATTCCTGCCTGATGCTTGCTTGTTTGGGCTTTGCAAAGGATTAATGGCTGGACGTCGTGCATTGGATCCGGCAGGAGTGCAATTACATCCCAAATAAGATGCTACTTGTTAGCACAATAATTAAATTCTTCATGATGTTACTTTAAGATCGATGTAGCCACCTGTAGCAAATGTTGAGTGCATGATCAAAAAATTGAAGTTTACTGTTATTTACTTGTGAATTGGGATTTGCTTGCATCAGTCTACAAAATCTTCCCTATTGCTTAGTTCGAAACTAGGCGGTGTGGATTTTGGTTAATTTTGACATATGCAGGATCTTAGCTCGATGATACGTGCGCATCTGCTGTTTAAGATGCACTTGGCTCTGTTCAGGGATGATTAACTGTGCATTCTTTAGTTACTGATTAGTAAGCTTTACAGTATAATAACTTAGCGGCTGAAATCGTAAATGTTAGTACTGCATTTCCTTTACTTGGATGTAAGGATTCATGCAATCATGTGGTCTCACTTGTGTTGAGGTTTTAGCAAATATAATTCAGATTGCCCTGATTGGCAGAGCTGAGCATATGCGTGAGTTTTGAATCTGTCAGTAGTTGAATACTGCTTTGATATGTCTGTAGCACCCCAAATATGTTATGCAGAATTATTGGTACTTATTTGTGTTTATTGCACCGTCATTCATTTCTGTAGCTATTGCCTCATGATGAAGCAATATTTGGATATGTCATCGAAGCCAGGGAGACCAAGAGCAGTAGTCATCTGCTCCACAAGGTAGCTGACTGATCAGGTCAGGTTATCCTTACTACCAAAAAAACATGAGTTTATGATCGGATTTTTTTAAATGATACTGCTGAATGTGATTTCGTGCAATGGGATGAGGCGTATATATGCCTGTCTAATTGTATTGCTTTGAATAGAATTGGTTTTTAGATAAACCTAATATGTTTATTTTTAGACAACAACATGGATTCATGCTGGATTTTAGTATGAAAACCTTTGGTCTATGCTGGAGTTTAGACTAAAAAACTCTCCTCTCTCAATATTCAAATAATGTGTTACAAAAGATCCCATGGTGGTGGTAGAGACTAACCACCACTTAATACTGTTTTTTATTTTTGTTTATTTAGATACAACATGGACAAAGTTCATAAAATTACATTAGTAATCATCATCAAATTCATGCTTTTCATTCAGGCTGAAGAGATGGGTAGGTTTTTCGGAAACACAATTATATCCAGGTATTATTCAGTTTCTTGTTGCTTCTTATATCATGTAAAGAGCTTATTTATCTACCTCGGATGTTCATTCCAAGAGACAGCATAAATTACTCCGGAGATCCCAAAACTTGAGCTGTGGTGTCTTAAGTTAGCAACTAACATATCTGTAATATTTATGTTTCTCAAAGATGTGCCCTTATCAGTAAATTGTGAAGGAGGGTTGGAGATGCCTTCAAGTGATTTTTTTGTTGTTGTTTTCTTGACATAGAAATGCAATAAAGAAGATTGGATTATTTTAGGCAATGATTGGCAAGGATAAGTAATTTTACTGATATTAGATTTCAGCTGCAGAGTCCCTTCAATTTAGAATAAATTTGACATGTAATTAAGCCTTAGTCTTGGTTTTCTTGTTTAAATTTATTCCTGGTACTCAAGATTTTTCTTTCTTACTAATATCTTGTTCTAATTGTAGGTGAAGGAGCTGGTTTGCTTCACCTTCATAGCACCTATAGACAGGATTCTAATTGTAGGTGATAAATGGTGTTTATTGCCTTCTTGCATAGTTCAAAATGTGCTTGATCGTATTGTGTCCAGGATGGTTCAAAAGCATCATAGCTAGGCGCACTGAATTTGTGACTATGCCCAGACTACTGGGAATGTTCTTACCAACGGGGAAAATTGGTATATTCAAGCCTAGCATGCTCATTTTGGATGTGGTACTTTCATAGAAGTGCACTTAGTGCTGGAGACTTCGATAGAATGTCACACTTTCACCTCAGAAATACCGAAAATTTGTTGGTATTGTTTCATACTCCCTCCGTTTTTTAATAGATGACGCTGTTTATTTTTTCTCACATGTTTGACCATTTGTCTTATTCAAAAATTTTATGCAAATGTATAAGATATAAATCACACTTAAAGTACTATGAGTGATAAAACAACTCATAACAAAATAAATTATAATTACGTAAATTTTTTGAATAAGACGAATGGTCAAACATGTGAGAAAAAGTCAACGGCATCATCTATTAAAAAACCGTCATCTATTAAAAAACAGAGGTAGCATTTAGAATAAAATTAAGATAAGGTTTGTGCTTTTTTTTATTATTTTTCCTGTTCTTTTTCTCTTTTTTTGGATTATCTGATTGAATTTTGTATCTATTTTTGAATTTGTGTTTTATCCATCTTACGTGATGAGTTACTCGTGTGTATGGAAACGGAGGCCATCGTTCGATTGGACTCACGGACGAAAAATTGATGTGAAGAACTGAAAGTTACAAATTTTTGAGGTAGTTATAAGATATGTTGGTTCAATTACAGTGTTGATAGGTTAATTAGTCACGGTTCATTAGTAGAGTCATTAGTGTTTTCTTGATTGGCCTTTTCTTTTTTGAGTCCGAACGGGGTGTGTTTGCAAACCCTTTTTCCCAACCCATCTTGCTCGTTTTTCACGCACACGCCTTTCAAACTACTAAATGGTATATTTTCTGTAAAAAGTTTCTATACGAAAGTTGCTTAAAAAAATCAAATTATTCTATTTTTTTTAAAAAATAGCAAATACTTAATTAATTACGTACTAATGGACCGCTCCGTTTTTCATGTTTACTGTGCACGTGGGGAAACTGGAGTAGTGAACACAAGTCATCATAGTCCGGTTTATTTTAGTTGTGTTGTCAGTAGAGAGGCACGGACGAAAATTTAGTTGAGTATGTAATCATCTGCAACATTTTTAATAGGTAAAGATAATAGTAGAGATTAAAACCGAAATATAAAATTAAAGCCGATTCAAACACGGATGACATACCAAAATTTAGAAACATATTCAATTTTTATAATAGTAGAGAAGAGATATATATATAATTTTTATAATAGTAGATAAGAGAGATATATATAAGTAGAGATTTGTTACATATATGTTGCTTGCAAAAATAGAACGTGCACGTATATTATTAAATGTCACCGTAGTGTTAGTACGAGCATGCTACTAGCGGTGCAGGAGAATTTCTTAAGTGTATTGCAAATGCTAAATATTAGGATAGTTATTTACCTACTTTATTTTTTAGTTGTTTATGCCCGCAACAAATTAATGGAATAAATCTATACTTTTTAACATATTTTTTAAATGTATATTTCCCTTTATATTGTATACTGAAGTGATTATATATAATTAATTATTATCAAGATTTATTGTGTCCATGCAATATCATATTTTTGTACTTTGTGTTAAATATATTTAATGTACGATATGAATTGAATTGAAACTCAATTGCACATATCATATAAAAATATTTTTTGCTAACATGAAATTTTAAGTTTTTGAAGATCAAATAAAATTGCTCCGTAGCGTTTAGCACGGGCATATTACTAGTGTTGTAAGAATCATACAAGCAAGCTTAACTTCATGGACAATGGAGCCACTTTACAAACAAGTACATGGAAAGAAAGATCTTTATGTGAGTTCTTTGGTGGACATGTACGCTAAGTGTGGCAGGGTCAGGGATGCAAGGATGATCTTTGAAGCAATGCCATCTAGGAATGTGGTTTCATGGAATGCAATGATTGGTGGCTATGCTATGCATGGAGAGGCTGAGAATGCTGTGCGGAAGTTCCGAAGAGAAGCCTGACCTAGTCACCTTCACTTGTGTCCTTGGTGCCTGCAGCCAAGCTGGCTGGACAGAGGAGGGGCGTAGTTACTTTAATGAAATGCAGCACAAGCATGGAATTTCTCCGAGGATGGAGCACTACTCATGTATGGTTACTCTGCTTGGTCGGGCTGGTAAGCTTGATGATGCGTATGATATCATAAATCAGATGCCGTTTGAGCCAGACGGTTGTATTTGGGGGTCATTGCTGGGCCCTTGCAGGGTTCATGGAAATGTGGTCCTTGCTGAGGTTGCAGCAGAAAATCTATTTCAACTATAGCCAGAAAATGCTAGTAATTATGTCCTGCTTTCCAACATTTATGCATACAAGAAAATGTGGGATGGGGTCAATAGGCTGAGGGATATGATGAAGACTGTAGGGTTGAAGAAAGAAAAAGGCTGTAGTTGGATAGAGATCAAGAACAAGGTACACATGTTGTTGGCTGGCGATAGTTCAAACCCCATGATGGCTGCAATAACTGAGAAGCAATGAAGTGAGGATGGTGAAGGATGGTGAAGTGAGGATGCTGAGATGCAAGGGATATTTGATTCAGGTGATAAAGAATCTCCGGATTTGTGGTGACTGCCATGAAGCAATGAAGTTCATATCATCTTTCGAGGGGAGGGAGATATATATTAGAGATACGAACCGATTTCATCACTTCAAGGATGGAAAATGTTCATGCAAAGACTACTGGTGATTTTTCTTGTCTTGTACGACTTTACATTTTGCAGAATGACATTGCAAGGGTGGTTAAAAAAAAATCATCCATGTGTCCCTACCCTAGGCTAGTATTTGCTCATGAGGTAATTATTCACCTGCAATATCAGGCTTTGTTTGGAAAACTAGCCAAGAGTTATTTTGAGAGCTATTTTTTTAGCATAAGGAAATAGCCCTTCAATAAAATAACTCTAATCATTTGGATCCAAGGGTTATTTTGAGAGCTATTTGGCCTTTAATGTACCTTCACATGGAGAGAGATAGAGAGAAGACACTTTTTCAGTGGGTCCCACCCGAAATAGCCCCAATTAACACCCCTTGGATGGGATAGTTTTTCTGGGTGGGTTATTTCCAAATAGCCCTCAAAAAGCTCACCCTTTTGGATTTTTTTGGGGCTATTTGGGCTATTTGAGGGTGGACTAAAAAATATCCCTTGGATCCAAACAGGACATTAGTGAGGATGGTGAAGACCAAAATCCTTCTTTCCCCACCCTATAGGTTGGGTTTTCTCATGAGGTAATTGTTTACCTGCGATGTCAGCACTTTAGATGGGAATAGAAACAACGGAAAGCCACTACTAGTACTCCCACAGTTTATGTTGACCAACAAAGAAAACACTTCAAGGATAAACAAAGCTCATTCTCAGGGAATCTTATCTATGCCAATCCCACAAGTGGAAGGGAAAATTCCCAATTATCCAATATGCAGATGATATTCTCATCATTCTGAAAGCTTGTCAAAAAGAGCTTTTTGTCTCAAAGGTATTACCCAACCATTTGCTTACTCTACTACTCCCTCCGTTTCATAATGTAAGTCATTCTAGTATTTCCCACATTTATATTGATGTTAATGAATCTAGACAAGCATTTCCCACATTATGTCTAGATTCATTAACATCAATATGAATGTGGGAAATGCTAGAATGACTTACATTGTAAACGGAGGGAGTATTTGAGAATTTCCATAAATCTTGTACGATGCCAATTCATGTCAATGAAGAAAAACTAGAAATCCTTACTGGTACTTTTCGATGTAATATTGTTTCGATGCCCTTCACTTATTTGGGTCTTCCGGTTGGAACAACAAAGCCAAGAATTGTTGAATTCCCCCCCTCCCCCCTAATTGATAGAGTTGAAAGAAGACTTATGGCAATCACCATGTTTCTTAATCATGGCCAAAGACTTACCCTTGTTACCCTTGTCAATTTTGTCCTCTCTTCGCCGCCAACCTTTTATATGTGCACACTCAAACTCCCAAAGAAAGTGATAGAACATATTGATGCTCCATTGCTCCGCTGGCCGCCACCTGCCTATCAACAATTGATGCTCCATTGCTCCACCACCATCCATCCTTCATCGGTGTGTGGGCACTGTTGCACCGGCGCCCCCCACCGGTTAGCCTGCGTGTGCCACCATGCGGCCATCCGCTCTCCGCACTGGTCTCCCATAGTCGATGGGCCTCTTCGATGGCTGCGCCTCCTCACACCGAGCCGGCCTCCATCACTGCCGGCCGTGCCTCCTCGCGCCACGTTGACCTCCGCGCCTCCTTTCGCTGCATCGGCCTCCGCCGTCCACAGGTCCAGGAACAAAACCCGCGTCTAACGATCACGTCGCCTCAACTCCACCACCGCTGATTTTAGGAGCTCCACTACCGCCGCCGGCCGTGCCGGCCTCCGACACCGCCGACCGCGCCTCCTCGCGTCGTGTTGCCACTGCTCCACAGCGTCGCTGCCAGCCCGCTGCCCTAGCTGCGCCCAGCCGGATCTAGCCTAGGGCAGCCCGTGGGTGATGGCGGTGCTGGATCTGCTGCCTCCTCGCTGGGAGGGCTCGCCACCGCCACTCCCCATCGCCAAGTGTCCGCCGCCTCCCCCGCGCCTGATATGGAGCGCCGCCACGAAGTAGGCCCTACCGCCGCCATCCTAGCTTGCCAATCGGCTTTCCGGCAATGAGCTCCAGTGGCGGTGAGGTGGGGGAGGGGGGAGGGGAGGGGGCGGCGACGCTATGGTTTCACCCCCGTGTCTCCTGCGTGTTGGCGACGCTACGGGAGCTGATTTACTTAGACAATTTTAGTTATGAGTGACATTATCTGTTCTGAAAAATACTCATGGTCGTAATCTGCACACTTGTTGATTTCAGAAGTGATCAAATCCATGTAAACGGAGGAAGTAATTTTATAGGATATGGTAAATACATATGAGAAGTTACAGGTGAAGAAACGTTAGAGACTTAAAAGGTAATAAATTTTAAATTGTTTTGAACGAACATGCATTGTTAAATTTTGGTAGGATAGAGATAAAGATGTTTAGTTTAGTGTTAAATATATGAGGTTGCGTAAAAATTTTCAGGACAACTAGGAAGATAGCCCGCGCATTCACGCGGGCATGTGTCGTACACTATGTTTGAACATCTACAATATATTATTTCTCCATAAATTGTTTTCATTAGCATTGCTTTTATAATTTTCTAACCTAGCTATTAGTTATCTTTATAACATATCATATTTAATTAATCCCTACAAGAAATTATTTATAATATTCTTCATCATCTAAAAAGTAGGTAGACATATTTTGTGTTAGAAAACATGTATAGCAAATTAAGTGTAAAATCAAAAGTAAGATGCTTTTTAATTGAATATAGGTTGTCATTGTTTATTGACAGATGAATTGGGTGGGATATGAGGCTCCACTAAATGCATGGGTTTATATAGCCTAATATTATTGTTTAATTTGAGAGATAATCCATATGTGAACGTTCCATGTAGAGTGTGTGGGAGACTCCATGCAACCTAGCGCGAATAATATTGGATGAAGAAATATAGTTGTGCAATATATTATTTTGGAAGATGATGCATTATGATACACGCTTGTCTTTTAAGATGAGATAGATCTAATGGTTGGAAATAATGGGTTTATCGGTTTAAAAGGCCCAGGAGGATTTATGGGGTAACAGGTGGTGACTTTATATAAAAAAGAAACCATCATCTATGATATATAAAATAAAATTATAAGTGTAGCTTAAAATTATGGTCTTTTTAATATTTGTTTCAATCTTTAGTTTAGAAGCTGAAAATAGGGAGGAGACAGGAGAGAAACGAATAGCGTAGAACTCGAATCAGATATGAGAAAGGGTTTGTAGTGCAATAGTGTTATGTGCATATGATTGGAGAGGGAGCTGGAGGGTACATTTTTTTTAAAAACAAAATCTTTGTAAACAATCTAAGTGAGAACCTATGAATTGTTGTTTTTTCATTCTAAAGATCTTTAAGACATGACATGTGGTGGCTTAAGTTTTTTTATAAAGAGAGGCAATCTAATAGTTAAAAATAATGGGTCATCAAATTAAGTGGAAAGAGATGATTATTTTCTCTTTGAATTTCAATTTTTTTTCAAAGTTTTACAATATCATAAGTGGTGACTTAAGAGTGCTATAGAGCACGTTTAATCGATCTTTACTGTGTAAAACGATTCAAGAATATATATATCATGTTTTTCAATGTCTTGTTGTTATTTGGTAAGGAGATTTTGTTTTTATTGAGGTAGATTTAATACGTTCATCTGTTTGAATTATTTATGTCTTTAAATCCAATTGTTAAAATTATAACTCCACTGTTTTAAATGAAAATTGATGAAATTATAAGTCCGCCAATTTAATTGAAAATTGATGGTTAGATTTGTTTTCTTCATAATATTTTTTATAATTAAAATTGTTATTTATAAAATAGGAAGATGAGAAAGAATTATTGGAGATAAAGAAAATGTATGTATGTATACTTACGTGCGTGGGGGGTGGTGGGAAGGGTGGGCCAGTGGGGAGAGGAGAGTTGTGCCGGTGGGAGAGGGGTGAGGGATGTGGATTGTGGTTTTTTTAAGAAAAAAAAGATAAATCTAATAGTTGAAAATAGATGGTTCACTAATTTATTATAATACCACGTGGCGGTTTAGTAGTGTTTATAGGCGTACCACGTGGTAGTATATATGTGTTTGTATAAAGTTTAATGGATTATTAGTATATAATTTTTTTGATTTTTAAATGGTAATTAGGATGACATGCCCTAAAAATTATTCTTTTCAGTAGAAGTTTACACGGTTGAATCATTAAATTTTTTAAAGACACCATGGATCTAAATTTAGATGTGTTCGCAAATTTGTTGATTATTTAGGGTGCTTGTTGTTTAGCCAATAAAAGATAAATCTAGTAGAGTTTAGCAGGATGAAAACACGTGCATGCACACCCTCATTTGTAGTAGACCTAATGCTAATTGCATTGATAATCCTAGCAAGAATAGGTTAGCCTATTTGGATAACCAAATTAAAGCAAGCAGCACGCACGTTGAAAACCTATTCAATATTTTGATTTCTCTGCATCATTGTGGTTTATTATATAACTTAGTAACAATTATGATCACTTATGTTTTTATATGGGGTTGCTAGCTATAAAATAGGAAATTCACCTACATACCACAGAAGGAGGAGTACGTATATAGAGAGAGGAGATTTCTTTTACTGAAAATGAAACCGATACTTGAGATATATCTAACGGTTAGAAATAATAGGTCCACCGATTTATAAGTTATAACGGATGGTCAGATTTTTTTCTTTTTTCTCATAATTTTTAAGATTTTTTCTAATTTCTTAGAGTGTCACGTGACGGCTTAGGAGAGTATGTAGGATGTCACATGGCGACTTGTGCATTCATAGGAAGTTTAATGGACTTGTGCTAGAATACAACTCGGAATAACATATATTTTTACAACTGTTGGCTGAATTTATTAATTTGGTTTTTATCCCATGAGAGTGAAAAAAAAGAAAAAAGAAAAGAAGGGAAGGGAGCATACGTACGAACTATGTACGGGATGGATCGACAAAGAACGTGCCGCTTTCTAAATATAAATCTATTTGGTATCTTTTATGTTAGATCTAACGGTTAAAAAATTTGGGTCCACCGGATTAAATGAAAATTAATGGTTAGATATTTTATTTTTCTTGGAATTTCTTTAATTTGGTAGAGCGCCACTTGGCGGTCTAGGAGTATTTATAGATGTGCCATGTGGTGGTTTATTAGTGTTTATAGGAATTTTAATGGACTTTTAGTATATAATAATAGATAGATAGATAGATAGATAGATAGATAGTTTGATGGAGTGTTTGCTTTGCTACCTTATCAAAAGTTTGGTGTTACCAAGTTTTATTAGGTTATTAGCAAACCAAACAGATAAAAATGTCACGCTGCCGCTGCACTTGAACTAGTTCTGTGTCTATCTCTGTTCTCCCAGTTGTCGGAGCCCCTGAGGCCGGCGAGTCAGCTATACGGTAAATAATCAAAAAGAGGAGGAACTAATACAGGAGGAAGAATATACATTGTTATCTGTCAACAGGGGAAAGTATCTCGTGCAATCACTTAATTCGGTGCAATAATGTAACTCTCATCCTACACCGTTGGATCGAGAAATGGACGTCGAGATTCGTCCACGTCACCATGAGTTAAAATTTAACTCGCAGATTCACTCATGAGTTAAAATTTACTGGAAGTTAAATTTTAACTCATAGTGACGTGGACGAATCTCGAACGTCCATTTCTCGATCCAACAGTGTAGGATGAAAGTTGCATTATTGCACCGAATTAGGTGATTGCACCGGATACTTCCCCCCGTCAACAGATCTGGGCACACAGAAACTGTCCGGTGCTTTTTATTGGCAGTAAGGTAAAATGAGGATTACCTAAGGGTCGAACGGGGGAACATCAGAGTAGCCATCACAATTCTTACCCTCCTTTTTTTTTTTTGAACTCCAATGGTTTTTTTGCCCTCATTTCTTTTCAACGGAAGCTTGTGTTTTCTCTCATCCATTAAAAGGATTTAATGGTGTCAAAGACATCTGTGCACTTGCATATTTGCCCCTACTTTGCTAAGGACTTTGTGATTTTGCCGCTATTTTAACATGACTTTGTGTTTTGAATGAATTTTCACATATTCAGTTAAAAAAAAGGAGGGCGAGTACAAGCTTAACATGAAGTTTGCCCCTTTTGACATGAACTTTTACAACTTTAAGTCCTCTTAATGGAATGGGCGCAGGCACAAGCTTCAACTAAAAATGATGATAAAATCACAAAGTTAAAATGGTAGGGGTAAAATCACCGCTGGAGTTAAGAAACAAGGGATAAGAACACAATTGCACCCGACATCAAAATACGGTAAAAGTAAAAAGGACATCAAGAACACCTATTTAACCTTGGCCTCCTCTTCGTAGCTGCTTTAAAACTTATACTCTATTTGTGCGGGCCTGTCATTCTGAAACTGTAGCAACCCCTTCATCCTTCAAATAGATCATTCACCATGCCTTCCATGTCCAGTGGATCTCTGCCGCATTTCTCCTGCTCTGGATGGTCCTCCATGTACTTTTTGTATCTAGTAATGATCTTATTAATGATGGTTTCTCGCAGGCTCTGCCTAAGATTCGGAAGCGGGACCTTCCACAGCTTCTGATGACTGCATGTTTTCTCAAATTCCAACTCGAATCTTGACAGCTCCGAATGCGATGAGAGCTTAGGGAAGCACGGTGGCATCTTATCGTGTAGGCAAGACAGAACAGGTTCCCAGGAGGCACGCATATACTCTTTTTGGTACTGCTCATAGTGGAACTTTATTTCCGATGGAGGGCTGTAGTCGCTGGGTACAAGAAACTGATATTGTACGACGTAGGAATTGTTAAGCAAGAACAGATATCTCAGGCTATGGTCAGAGAACAACTTGGATTTCTTCTCGAGCTCATCCTGCAAGTTGGTTATAATTTGCACAATCAATCTTTCTACTACTAGCTTCTCAGAATACCAACTGCAATTACCAAACAAATCGCCATTATCAAGTAGGATGGCCTCCAGCACGCTATGGTATCCCCAAAACAATATTGCATAGTTGACAGCTAACAGAGTAGCCTTGTGGATTTCTGCATTGTCCGGAAATGGTCCACTCGGGGGGCTCAAGGCGTCCGTCGTCATCATCAATATGGCTCTACCCAGAAAACATCATCGATCTCCTTTACTATGCTTTCAATTATTTCTTTTGAATAATCAGCTAGTAAGAAAACCTCATTGTACAGCGGGACGAGGATATCTGAGACGTCGTTGATGCAGATGCGGAGTTGCATGAGCCCCGAGAACTTGTCCGTTGGCCGCGTCCAAGGCTTATCAGCGAGGGCGTTGGCAAAGGCAAGCATCTTGGAGAAAGTCGCCTGCGCGAACTGTGCAAGTTGGATCTTGGAGAAACTCGCCTCCATAAGCCGCCCGAGTTGGCAGAGTCGGCCGGTGAGGTTGTCCTCCTGGTCCTGGAGCGTGGCGATCAGCGCGCGCGCCATCACAGTGAGAGCTCGCGCCCACCTCCCCACCAGGCTCCCGGTCGCCTCCTCCTCCTCCTGATCATTGCGGAGTACACAGCTGACGTCCAGTTCTGAGAACCACCTGTCCAGCGCAGGGCCGGATCCGGATGCCCGGCTGAACTCACTCACCAAGCTGCCCACGAATATCTCGAGCAGGTCCGGGGGCTCCAAGTCCTACTGCCCTCTGGAAGGAGTAGGTCACGAAATCAGCATCATCGTAGCAGGGGACGTACCTAGGACGCGCACTGGACGCGGTGCTTGACGCGCTGCTGTAGTTACTGGATCTCACTGAGCGAGACGACGACCCGCCACCCGTGGACATGCACCGGATCTTCTCCAGGTAGCTGTAGCTCCATCTCCATCGGCCGCCTCGGTGTTCTCCATCTCCGACACGGTCTCAAGCATTCGCGCCATTCTAGCTAAGCTCGATCTGCGATATGACTAGGTGTTAAGTGTTAACTCGGTAGGGGTTAGCAGTGGATCGACTACTGGAGTTCTCAGATCGAGCACGGATATATAGATAGGAGAGGTTTAGAGCCGCAGTGGTGAGAAAGTTTGGGGGATGTTATTCCAGCTGCAGTTTTTCTCAAAAGCTGCTTCTGCTAGAAGCTGTCCCAAACAATCCACAGCTTTAACTAAGAAGCCAGAAGCTAGAGAAGCTGGGTTTCAGAGCTTTTTCAGATTCTCAGAAGCTGGCTATCAAACAACTGCTTCTTATAATCTAAAGCTCCCCAAACAGACCCTTATACTCCCTCCGTCCCTACGCTGGACTTTTTTAAACTTGTTTGACCGTTCGTCTTATTTAAAAAATTTAATTAATTATTAATTATTTTTCTACCATTTGATTCATTGTTAAATATACTACTACTAAAATTTTTAAATAATATTCACAAAAGTTTTTGAATAAGACAAATAGCTAAATATGTTTAAAAAAATCAACGACGTCAAATATTTAGAAACGGAGAGAGTATTTGAGACGGCTACCATCTCTAACTTTATTCTTGTCACCCCCTATAAATTAAGGGTAACCTTAAGTTACCTCTAACACATAAAACTCAATAACTTTAATACTCATATATCTACTATTATAAAAATTAAAAATGTTTTTGCCGGTATTTTGGTACGTCATCCGTGTATGAGTCGGTTTTTAATTCCGTTTGCTTTTGGAAATACATATCCGTATTTGAGTCGGTTTTTAAAATCGTTCACTTTTTGTTGGTAATACAGACGGAATCATATGAGAAATCTGTTTAAAAAAACTCGCATGCTAACTTGAGGCAATCGAACTCCTAACTGCAGCTTATGATTTTCTAAAATTATATATATCTAAGCAAACTCGCACAGTGAATTTCATCTTAACTAAACCATATAACAATTCACCCGTTGCAACGTACGTGTATTTTTTTCTAGTTTAAGTTATCCTTACATGAGAGGTGGCTCCAATTTCTCCTTTTTTTTCCATATCAGCATATTCACTCTGTCCCTAAATATAACGGATTTTGGTTGGATGTGACATATTCTAATACTATCATGTCTAGATTCATAGTATTAGGATATGTCATATCTAATCAATATTTTTATATTTTAGGATGGAGGGAGTATTACTCTACAAGGTATTTAGGGCAAGTACTTCAGTACTTGCTTTTGCTTTCAGTACTATCTCTAAGAGAGCGATTAACTAAATTATAACCGCGTAAAAAGTGATAGACTTGACCGACGACCGTTCTGTCTAAGAGGGACTCACTGACTCCATGGATCCCTAAAATAAATTCACTCTTTTATATCTCCAACCCACTCTTTTGAACTTACTCTATATTATATTTACTTGCTCTAAGAGTGCGATTAACTAATTATAACCGCGTAAAATGTGATAGAGATGACTGTTCACTATCTCCAAGGGACACTGTCTCCAAGTGATCCCTAAAAAATCTCTCTTTCTATCTCCAACCCACTCTTTTAAAGTTACTCCATATTTAATTTATCCACTAGCTAGTACGCGTGCCGGGTGCCATGCACGTTTAACATATAGGACATACTCCGTATTTGGGAAGCTTGTAGCTACAGCAGCTTCTTTCCGAATCAGGAATTCCCTAGACAGTCTAACTTTTAGTCCGAATTATGAAAAATTGTAGTTATGGAATCAAGAAAATGAACTAGAAGTTAGAAGCCGGAAAATCCAGCTTTTTCAGATTCTCAGAAGCTGGCTACCCCAACCAACTGCTTCTCAAAATCTTAAACTCCCTCAAACAGGGCCGTAATCGCGTTTTAAAACTAGAAATACCAATAATGTCTCGTGCTTTGTTACGAAATATATGAATAAATATATATTAAATATTTTAGAGGAAATGGATGGTGGATGGATATATTTTAAAATATTATGAAAAGGATGTGGGAGATGATGTTTTGACATACTTGTATATTAATTGGGCCTTAAAATATACTCCCCCTCATTTTAGAATATAAGGATTTCTATACCTCAAATTTTGTATCACAATAATGAGGATCGTTTTAAAATATAAGGATCTCTATAATTCAAATTCTGTCTCACAATATAAGAGCACGTACAATAACAGACTATAAGCCAGCTATAAATACATTTCAAGTAGATAAAAGAGGAGAGATAAGAGCAGCGGGCTATAGATTTATAGCCAGCTACAACACAGACTCCAAGATGTAATATGTGTATGACAGGTGGGACCAAGTATTAATAGTGTAGTATATGTTTATAGATAACTATTGAATGAATTGGCTATTAAATTGACTATAGATAATTTAAAGCTAATAGTTGGCTATACTATTAAACTTGCTATAAGGATTCTTGCATTGATTCCCACGGTTCTAATCATTTCAATAATTCCGAAGCCAATCACATGCTTGCAAATGGAATCTAAGCAATTCAAAATTTTTAAATTAACAACTGAAGCGACTAAAAGAAATGTAACCTTATATTTCCTAAACAACCTAAAAGTCCCTGTGTTTTGGAGGGGGTAATAAATTGTAGATGATCCAACATATTTGCATGATCTTTACATCAGTGTTCTAGATATGGGATACCCTATACATGTATTCTTAGCTCGATGGGATCATCATATACTAAGTCCTATACAAAAATAACCCTCGTACATATGGATAAAGTGATGAGTAGATAAGAAAGAAGTCCTAGATAAGAAAAAGAGAGATATAGAGTTCGATTTGGATCCGATAAGGACTACTTGAATTATATCCTTATTTTCCTAGTGAGCATTGCCCAATTCACAACCTAATCCATACGAAAATGCTTATTATCGGGCGACCGATGCGGGAAGGAAATATCGGTCTCCCACACGCTTATCTCATTTCCAGCAAACCGCATCCTTATCCTTTTCTTCTTCTCTCTCTACTCTTTCATCAACGGAGGCAGACGCAGGCGATCGATGGCAGCATCGACGATGGTGTGCATGCGGCGATGGAGAAGGCAGAGGCGGCCACACGGACGCGCGTAGGAACTTCGCGCGGCATCGACGACGGCAGCAGCAAGCTCCGTGCGTCTTCGATGACGGTGGACACACGGACGCAGCTGAGCTCCGCGGCGTCGACGACGTTGGCTAAGCTCCGTGCGATGCTAAGGACGGTGGCGGAGCTCCGTAAGGCGCCGATGACGGAGACCCTAAATGGAGTAGGGTCTCCTATCTTAACTCAAATAAGGCAAAAGATTATAATTTCACTGCAATCACCAAGGCCTTAAATATGGCTTGGGGCCCATATGTGGAAAAGGCTGGTAGGCATAAGGAGGGCAAGGACAAACTTTATCATGACACCAAGTTCGCATGCACACAACAGATCGGAGACCAGTGTGGTTTCCACGTGTGCCACAACATGTCAACACTTCTAAGAGGTGAAAGATTTCGACTCTGAGATTGTTGCTAATGGCAAATAAGCTCATTTCAATACCAACATTAATCTTCTAAACATGCTAACCTTTGATTTATTGAACATAAAGGTAGAGTTGGCTTGAAGATTTCACCCATCAACCCCCCCCCCCCGGCGCTATCAAAGGCGAAGTGTGCGCCTTCATTCTTGCCGAAATAATGAACAAGAAAGGACGTTTTCATGCCAGTTAGATGATTGAACGGGGTAGATGTTAAGTCATGAACAATACAATTATCTAATTTCTTGTGATGTAAAAAAAGTTGTTTCTATGATTCTGTGGTATGGAATGCAATGTAATTTACTTTTATATGTGCAATATTTATGGTAGTTTGCTAAATTGTCATCAAATTTGATCAACTACGATTTACGTTGTACTATTCAATTGTTTTCTCCATTTTTTACAATAGCAGGTCGTGGAGGTTCACAAGGAACAGGATACAAGAAAGTTTGGTAAGTATGCGGTTCTATGAGCAACGACCGAAATTGTGGCTTTCATGGGGTATGAATTTCGAAATTGTGGCTTTCATGGGGTATGAATTTGCTGTGCAAAATTGTGGCATTTGAACTGCATATGTGAATGATGTCAGTTTTGAGATGGATCTGTGATGTTGGGGAATATGTGATATTGGGTGATGACTGGCATGTATCTGTGATGTTTCTGTTTTTCAGAGGGCATGGCTAGCAAATCCTGAGGCTAGCCAATATTTAGCATTTTTTTTCTGGAATTAACTCATTAGTGACATGTCGGAAACAAAATGCGTCAAAGGTAACCATGCCCGTGACGGATACGCAAATCGCGGCCCGTCAGAGGTGACCCACCTGTGACGGGCCTTTACTTTCGGGCCCGTCACAGGTGGATCACCTGTGACGGCTTCTATCTACCAAAGACCATCACCTCTGACGGCCTTTCTTTACATGCCCATCAGAGATGGGTCACCTGTGATGGGTCCTAACTGGCCCTAGGCTAGCAGAGACCAACACCTCTGACGGTCCTCTAGTTATTTGTCCGTCAGAGGTGACGGCCGGCCACCCGTCAAAGGCGACTGGAGTCACCAGTGACCACTGATCACTGACCAAGCCTAAACCCGTCAAAGGTGAGGGTTGGGCCCGTCACATGTGACCTTATCTAGTGTAGTGTGAAAAGCTCGTTGCACTTTATGAAGGTAAACGATACTATGGCCGTCACTGGTAGCTTGCGAACACCTACTAGCACACTGTTGAACTGTGATATTATGTTTGAGACTTGCTAAATGCTAGTCCTGAATTAATTATTGTTAGTTGTTAGCTTGCTATTGTGGAGTAAATTGCGAGCCATAGCTTTACATGCATGTTCGGCATTGCCATGTTAAATTATTGTTGGTTGATCATGGCTAGCCATGGAGACTTAATTAGTGGTGTAGGGCGAATCCACCCAATTTCCCACGCACGCACATTCATAACGAACGACGTTGTGATTGGAGGCACACTTTTTTCCTTTTGGGCTAGCCCCCGAGTAACTACCATCAGGCACCAGGGTAACATACAAAAGGAGAGAAGGCCCCGTGCATGGACATGGCGATATCTCGCACCGTAAGTACCCTACTCTCCCAAACCTTAACTCTTATCGCCCAATCATTAGGGTGCTGGAAGGGACCCTAAGGACCGATTCAAGGCCTTGCAGGAGATGCTTGAAAGAAACCGATCTGCAAATTGATCACCGGTGACCTCTCATGGTCAGCCGATGCCCGCTGATCTATCACCAAGAACCACCTCGATCGTCGTCAACCTAGTGGCCTCGATTTTCCTATTAAATGGATTATACTCCGTAATATAACAAGTCAACCATGAATATTTTTTTTCACAAAAAAAAACTAGTTCTAACTGAAGTTGATTAATGAAACAATGAAATGTATGCAAGTTAAAGTTACTTCTAACTGAGTACTACATCCATCCCAATTCTCAAAATATAAGAATCTAAAACTAAAACCAGACAAGACATATACTTCATCCATTCCAAAATATAAGGCACAGTGGTAAACTCTATTAGATAACATGAGATGTATGCAAGCATGCAATTAATTATGACATCTTCTCTAATTAATTATGACATCTTCTCTATACTTTTTTAAATCCTACACTCTCATGTTATCTAATAGAGAAGATGTCATAATTAATTGCATGCTTGCATGCATGTCTTAGAGCAAGTTCAATAGTATACTCCAATTCATCTATAGCCAATCTAATAGCTCATTCATACAATAGTTATATACTACACTATTAATATCTGGTCCCACCTGTCATACACACACTGCGTCTTGGAGTTCGTGCTACAGCTGGCTACAAATCTGTAGCCCGCTACCCTTCTCTCTCCTCAGTTATCTCCTTAAAATATATTTGCAGCTGGCTTATAGCCTGCTATTGTACCTGCTCTTATATTATGGAACATCTGAGAAAAGTGGTTGTACATTATATTATGAAATGGATGGAGTATATCCTAATAAGACGAATCTAGACAGAAAACCTATCTAAATTCTGTCTAATCCGATCTTATGTTCTTATATTTTGGGATAAAGGGAGGTAGTCGATAGAAATACTACATCTCTTAAAACAAAACAGAAAGCGACACCGTATGTAAACAACGGAAGTTGCACAAAACAGAAAACACCACGTAAACAATTCACAAGTCATAACTCATAAGTAGCTAGGCAACTAAACATTGCTACCCTTGACTTCCAGATTACACAACAGTCATTCTTTTTTTCTTGGCAAGGGATTACAACACAGTTAGTAGCTAGATGACATTCTATTAATTTCCTGAAGTAAGTATTATGTACCAACTCAAGAAAAGAGAACCACTGTGAGTTTACAATTAGACAATTAATTATTTCGGTAGAGACTGGAAACGAGAGTGGTGGAAAAGAAAAAAATATTATATTTATAAAAACAATTAGCTACCAAGACTAAGATGATGGACGAACACCTGGCAAACAAAGGTGTTGAGCAAGCACACAGAGTCGATTTGGCGCCGCCAAACTTTGCAGCGTTTCCTGTGAAAGTCGCACGCATGCATTTGTCTGTTTCGTAATTTTATTGTTGCGGTTGCCAATCAACAACGACGTCATTTATATTCGTCTCTATCGCTTAAGGCGGTTAGTTGCGTGTCAGGAAATCGAAAGCCAGCAAATTAAGCTAAGCTATACTGAACTCCAATCTGAATTCTGAACTTCTGAAGTCGACCTCTCAATCGCCCGATCCGAAATTCTCTACACCTACATACAGTGCACTACAAAACAGTAGAGCTAGAATTAATGGCGGCGCTGTCGGAGTTGGATGCCACCGAGGCCAGCCTCTCCCTGCCGTCGTGGAGATGGAGCTACAGCTACCTGGAGAAGATCCGGAGCATGTCCGTCGTCGGGTCATCGTCGTCGTCGTCGTCGTCTCGCTCGGCAAGATCCAGTAACTACAGCAGCACCGTCTCCAGCACCGAGTCCGGCGCCGGCTCTCACCGTCGTCGCTGCAAAACCGGCGCTGCCTCCGGCGGCTCCTTCCTGAGAGTGGTAGGGTTCCAAGTCCCAGGCCCTCGCGATATCGCCAGCCAAATGGTCCGTGACGGCTTCGTGCTTGCCCTGATCGGAGCGTTCGGCCGCGCGCCGGGACCCGTGCTGGAGAGGTGGTTCTCCGAGCTCGACGTCGGCTGGGTGCTCCGGCCAACTGATCAGCAGCAGCAGGAGGAGGAGGAGGAGGAGGAGGCCGAGCGGCTGGTATGGCGGTGGACGCGAGCGCTCACCGTGATGGCCCATGCGCTGAGCGCCACGCAGGGCCACCTCCACGACGAGAGGTCAGCCGCCGCCGCCGCCGCCGCCGCCGTCGCCGTCGTTGGAGGTGTGGAATTCGCAATCTCCCAGCCGCCACATCACACGGCGCCCGCGGTAGCTTCTTCCTCCGATCATGAACTGCTGCTACGCGGCGTCGTCGGCGGCGGCGATGACCTCTGCCTCGTGCGGTTCACTGACACGACCATCTCCAAGATGATCGCCTTCGCCGCCGCCCTCGCCGCCGCCGGTAAGGCCGGGACTTGCCCAACTCCAACCGCGGATAGCTTCTTTGGGCTCATGGAGGTGCACACCTGCATCTCCGACGTGTCAGAGATCCTCATGCCCGCCTTGAAACAGGAGGCTCTCGATCTCCGGCTACCTGATTCAGAACAAATGCAAAGCCTAGTCAACAAGATCGGTGAAGCCATGGCGAACACACAGGACAGCTTGGGTGAAGCCATACGGAAGACGGCCAAGGATGCTGAAGCTGTTACTCCTGTCTTGAGCGCCATGGATTCCTGGGAAAAATTCACACAGACTGAAGGAATCCACAGGGCTACTCGGTTAATCGTGGACTATGCAAGTTTGTTCTGGGGATACCGTAGAGTGCTGGAGTCCATCCTATGTTGTTACAGGAGTGAAAGTAGCCAGAATTGTTGGGAGATAGTACAAAGCCTGATTGAGCAAATGATCATCACCTTCCTGGACCAGCTCGAGAAGAAATCCGAGTCATTCTCTGACCCTAGCCTGAGGTACATCTTCTTGATTAACAACTCCTACTTCATACAGGACCAGTTTCTTGCCACCAACACCGATTACAGCTTCCCATCGAGCAAAGGGATCAGATATTGGCACTACCAGAATTGTTACCTCGATGTCTCATGGGAGCCCGTGCTGTCTTTCCTTTACCTATACAATAAGATGCCAAAGTTCTTCCCCAAACACTCCCCGCAGCTGCTGGCCAGATTCCAGTCGGAATTTCAGAAAGCGTGCAGGCATCAGAAGCTGTGGAAAGTCCCGAACACCGAGCACAGGAACTCGCTGCGAAAAGCCATTAGTGACAAGGTCATCACTGCATACAGAAAGTACCTGGAGGGCCATCTGGAGCCAGAGAAAAGTAGCAGCGATCTGCTGGCCATGGAAGACATGGTGAACGAGCTATTTGAAGGATGAAGGAGTACTAATTCCTGTTTTAGAATTACATGGCCTAATTGGCCATGCGTATAGGATAAATTTTGAAGCAGCTAACAGGACAAGGGGCTAAGGTTAAACAAGTTCATTCGATGCCTCTTTTTTCTAGTGTTCTGATTTTTTTTAAGGAAATCTTCATTCTACCTTGACAAGGAATAATATGTACTTCAGTCTTGCTGTGCCAGATTTGTTGGCACATTGCAATGCGTGCTTCCTCTTGTATTAGATCCTCCTTTCCTTGTTCATGGCTTGTCCCGCTCGGCCTCAGGGGCTCCGACAGATATGGGAGAACAGAGACAGGCAGTTCATGTTCAGTGTGATGTTTATCTAGTTCAGTTTGCTAACCTACCAAAACTTGGTAGTGCTAGAATTTTGGTATGGTCTCCATCACAATGCCACCCTGCAAAAATTATAGCAAATTGGCAATGCCATATATTCACAATTTTAGCACTAAATCAAACATATTCTTCATCTCTATCCTAACAAATTTAACAATGCCAATGTTTTGGCTCCATCAACTTTGGGTAGGGTACATAACCAAACCAACGCAGAGCTAGCTCTCACAAACTCAAGAGAACAAGAAGACTCATGTAGGGGATGTGGAATATCTGAAACCAACGAGTATATGTAGTAAAACATTCTCCATATCCTAAATAATAGAACAATTTTACCATGAAATACCACCTTTTCTATTATAAATTTGGTATCTCTTGATACCTACTTCAAGGACTGTAAAAATATTATGTTTGGAGTCTAGAACTATAGATGTTGTTGTGCCCTTGTCTATCAGTCTCTTCCATTTTAAACAGATAAATATTGAATATTATCATGTTAGTGATGTCTCAGGAAATTTATCAGATATGAAATCAGAAAAGTGCAAAGTTGAATGAATTATTATGACAGATTGATAGCGAACTTACCTTTTTATGGCTTTAACATTTCTTCACCTGCAAATTTTCTTATTTGTTTACCATATCCTCTAAAGGTTTCTTCCTCCATTTACATGGATACGCCATATGATCAACAAGTCTGCAGACCACAACCATGACTTTTCAAAAAAAAATCATTCGAACAGAAATTGCTTAACGAAAAGCAATTTACAAGTACCGAGATTTGCTCCGGTCCAACAAAAAGTACCTCGAGGTACCGGTACCTCACGGTATCAAATCATTTCCGATCTTTGGATCTAGCTGGGCAGGATGTGCATTGCTAGATCCAACGATCAGAAATGATTTGGTACCGTGAGGTACTGGTACTACTAGAAAAACGATTTTTCATGGCGTTGGCCTATTATTTTCGCTGGCGGAAAAATGTGAAAACCACCGCAAAGTCGTAACGAGTGGATGAGGGGCACCGACCGCCAGAGAAAATGAATTTTCACTGGCGGCCTGTCTAACGCGGCCGCCAGCGAAAATATGTCTATTTTTACTGGCGGTCACTTAGGTGCGCTGCCAGCAAAAATAGATAATCTTCGTTAGCGGTCGAATTTTTCCTGGCGGCTAATAAACAAAACCGCCAGAGAAAACCCAGCTCAGTGATCCAAAAATATCTGGTCACATTAAAACCACCCACCTACCTCATCCTCTTCTCCTTCTCTCCATATCCCCTCCTCTTCTCTCCATATCCAGTCACATTATCCACTCCTCTTCTCTCCTCCTCACTCTCCTCCTCCCTCCCGGCCTTCCCACCGGCGACGGTGGCGGCGGCTCTGGCGGCGGTGACCGGCGGCTCCCTGCACTGCCCCTGCCGTCCCATCCCCTCTCCCAAATCTGTCCGAGGGGAGGAGGCCGCCGCCGGCGGCGCAACAAAGGCGGCGGTGGGGAGGACGGATCTGCCTCAGCGGCGGCGCGGGGAGCACGCGGCGCGGGCGACAGCGGAGCTGACGACGACGACCGCGACCGCGGCAACAACGACGATGACAACGACGCTGCCTGCCGGGCTCAGTGACCTTGACCACGCGCGACCCTTCTGGAGGAGGCCTGCAGCGGTGGCACCACTGCCCTCCCCTCCCCTCCCCCCCTCCCCTCCCCTCTTCCAGATCTGGCTGGAGGGGAGGCAGCCAACAGATGGCAGCGGCGGCGGCTCGTCCCCGATGGCTTCAGCGGCTAGGGTTCTCTTGTGTGTTTTGGTTTGTAAGGATGTTAGGTTAATCTGTGTGTTGTTAATCTGTTTTGTTGATAATGCCAATGTGTTGTGTTTGAATTGATGCCAATATTATGTATTTGTGATGCTCTGGATTTGGATTGATGCTTGAATGATGTTTATGTCCATTTTCAGATATGGACTGTTTTGAATTTGGCCGGGCAGAGAATTTTGAATTTGGGCTTGGGGATTTTTGGTGGGGTAGGTTGATTTTCACTAGCAGTTCTCTTTAGGCAACCACCAGTGAAAATGGGTTTTCGCTAGTGGACCTCAACTGCCAGCAAAAATCGTTTGTCCGCTGGCGAAAATAGATTTTCGCAAGCGGAATAAAACCGCCAGCGAAAATCTTAGATCTTCACTGGCCTTTGCTTTGTGGCGGCTCCAAATTCCACCAGCAAAAATACAAAATGACCGCCACGAAAGATGATTTCCGTAGTAGTGGGTACCTCAAGTTACTTTTTATTGGACCGGAGCAAATCTCTTTCGATAGTAGGGTACATACGGTGCGAAATATCGCCATGTCTCCATGCACGGGGCCTTCTCTACTTTTGTATGTAGCGCTGGTGCCTGGTGATAGTTACACGGGGGCTAGCCCAGAAGGGAAAGTGTGCCTCCAGTCACAACGTCGTTCGTTATGAATGTGCGTGCGTGGGAAATGGGGTGGATTCGCCCTACACTACTAATTAAGTCTCCGTGTGGTTAGTCAAGAAGAACCAACAATAATTTTATAGTTAATTTCACTTTGGACCATATTTTATTGCCAAAGTTTCACTTTGAACTACCCTTTGTCCAGTATTTTCACTTTGGACTAGGTAACTTTACCTTTGTTACACAATGGACCACCCTAAACCACGCCTTCAGTTCTTCGATGACTTCGAGCAAATTATTAACGACATGCCAGCAAATTTTCATACCTATATACATGCCATACCTTTGTCGAATGAGACGCTAGGCATCACTAGCGAAAAGAGTTATTGTTGAAAGAGACGCTAGACATCACTAGCGAAAAGAGTTAGGGTGGTCGTCCATTATGCAACAAAAGTAAAGTTACCTAGTCCAAAGTAAAAAGATTGTGTACAGGATGGTTCAAAGTGAAACTTTAGCAATAAAACATGGTCTAAAGTGTAATTCACTCATAATTTTATAATGTTAATGCCGAACATGCCTTTCAAGCTATGGCTCTCAATTTACTCCACAATAGAAAGCTAACAACTAACAATAATTGATTCAGTACTAGCACTTAGCAAGTCTCAAACATAATATCACAAGATAGAGAGGGACCTTTTTTGTCACAAATAAGGACACTCCCAACTATACAGAAGCCTAGCAAAGCATGACAAAGTCACGGTTCCAGAGAAACAATTATCTGCCACCTAGCCACCTGTCCACGGATATATATATACGACACCACTATGGTATATCTACTGCTCAACAAATTTGAGGCCTAAGAGAAGCAGCACAGTAACGCCAAGGGACGTACGTGCAGCACGCGCGGGCCACGCAAACACGCGAGTTGAGACGAACAAGATATAGCAGATCATGGAAATCACCAGCCGCTCCAGCAACACGCGCACAACTAATTGTTGCAGATTTTGCAACACTGCCGCACCCACGGGAGAACAGGCAAGGCGACCAATGCAATTTGCTGCTGCCGCCGCTAACCACTGGTGATTATGGAGGGGATTAGAGGAGAAAATAGCAATTGCCCTGTAGTGTCTCTCTCCCCAACCGTTGGAGGCTGTGAGGCCTGAGCAAGTTATTAGCGGTATGGTGAAGAATCAAAGGGTGGAGCCGTGGAGGAAATAATGTAGGAAGAAGATCTGTATTGTTATCTGTCAACAGATCTGGCGTAAAAAAAAATAAACTGCCCATATATTTTATTCATAGTAAGGTAGAATGAGGATTTCCTAGGAAAAAAGTAGAATGAGGTGGGAACATATCAAAATACAGTTGAACTTATTTAACCTTAGCCTCGCCCTCTCTTATCGTCGTAACTGATTTAAAGTTTACACTCCATACGCATGGCCATGTCAGTCTAAAACTGGAACAATCCTTATTCATCCTTCAAATAGCTCGTTGACCATGTCTTCCATGTCCTGTAGATCACTGCTGCATTTCTCCAGCTCCGGATGGTCCTCCAGGTACCTTTTGTATCCAGTAATGACCTTATCAATGATGGCTTCTCGCAGTTTCTGCCTGAGCCTTGGGTTGGGGACCTTCCATAGCTTCTGATGTCTAAATGTTTTCTGAAATTCTGACTTGAATCTTGCCAGCTGCGAGGAGTGTTTAGGAAACCACAGTGGCATCTTTTCGTGTAGGCAATACAGAACGGGTTCCCAGGAGGCAAGCATGTACTTCTCTTGGTACTGCATAAATTTGAGCGTTGTGCCTGACGGAAGGATGAACACGTAATTGCTGGGCTCAAGAAACTCTTCTCTTACGAAGTAGGAATTGTTAAGCAGGAACAGGTACCTCAGGCTAGGGTCAGAGAATGACTCTGAGATCTTCTCCAGCTGATCTTCAAAGTTGATGAGCATTTGTGGAATCATGGTGATCGGAATTTGAACCCATTTAAGATACCGCATGTTACTCCGCAAGCTCTGGTATCCCCAAAACAATCTTACATAGTCAACAATTAGCCTAGTAGCTTCGTGGATTTCTGCATTCTGCTTAAAATTTTCACAGGAATCCCAACCAATTAAGACAGGGGTAACAGCTTCGGCGACCATCGCCATACTCTCTATCGCATTGCACAAGGTTGTCGTTGTAATTATGAAAGCACCAACCACTTTGCGGCCTAGGCATTGCAATTCTGAATCAACTATTTCTTCTGAATCAGTTATTACTACTACATTGCACTTGTAGAAGCAGCTGTAGATGCAGCTGCACAGGCCCACGAGTCTCGAGAGGTTGTCTATTGACAGCCGAGTGTTTTCAGCGGCGAGGGCATCAACAAAGGCAAGCATCTTGGATACTGTCGCCTCAACGAACCGCGCGAATTGAAGTCGGAGGTCGTCTTCCAGCTCTTGATCACACATAATATTGTTATGGTCCCGCTGGGCCTGCGGAAGTATTATGGCGGGTACACCTGCAACCTTAGTCTGCGTGGCGCTGAGTGCTTCGGCCATCACGGTATATCCTCGCGTCCACCGCCGCACGAGATCAGCCAAGCCGAGCTCGGATTGCTCCTTATCCGCCGCCGCCGCCGACCGGAGTAACCAGCCGACGTCGAGCTCGGAGAACCACCTCTCCAGCGCTGGCCCGGGCGCTCGGTCGAACTCTCTGATCAAGTTCACCATGAACCCGTCGTGGACCATCTGCCGCGCAATGTCCTGAGCACCGTGGAGGTCAATGTCACCCGGCGACGAGTTTGAGTAAGGGGCGTACCGATGATTATGAGGGCCACCCGACGCGTTGCTTGACATGCTGCTGCTGTAGTAACTGGATCTCGCCGACCGAGACGACGACGCCGACGCCGACGACGACCACCCGGCGACCTCGCCCGAGACGACGGACAGGCTACGGATCTTCTCCAGGTAGCTGTATCTCCGTGACGGCTGCGTGAAATTGGCCGGCTCGGAGCTATCCAGCTCCATCACGGTCGGCAGCTGTGTCTCCATGCTCGCTTGCGCGATATCTGCAGTAGGTGCTAAGCTAGCTCTAGGCAGTGGATCCGATCTGAGTGATGCTGTTCTTTACCAGATTTGGTGAGAACTGACTAATGAGGGGAGGTCAAAGCTGGATTTTTATATTTTGATCCTTTTAAAATAATTATTCTACAAATAGATCCTAAAAACTTATTTTAAAATGATTATTTTCACACTTAAATATGTGATCTGAATTTTAGGCCTACAATATATTTGTATTAGTTTTTTAAATAGGACTTCATATCTTTTTCTACTAGATGTCTTTTTTTTTTACATATACTCTTGTAAGCCGAACAGAGAGGGATGACGTTCCATTGTTATTCCTCTACGTTTATAATCAATTCCTCAACGGTGATCATTGCCGGTCGGCGCTCATAGTTTTTTCTATAAATGTTTTCCGCGTAAAATTTGTGTCTCCGTTATACATCTATTTTCATAATAAGTGATATCCATTGAAAATCTGATCTACTATTCCGGTTACCGGCGTGTTTCTCCGTTCGAAGAAATCCATCTCATCGGCTGCAGCGGCGTTACGCGTAGTTCTCGTCGCAGGCCGAACCGGAGTCATCTGTTGACTCATCACGCGTTTCTCAAAAAAAAAAAAAAAGAATGATCACGCGTAGCAGGAGAAAAAGCAGAGCAGCAAGGAAAACCATCCAGCAGCATGCGCATCGAGAAAGAGAAAAGGCAGGGCTGAATTAATTTTCACGGTTAGAAATTGCTACGCACACACAGCCTGCTTAACATGAGGATTCCAGATCTACAGTACGTGCACATGACAAGTGCACCAGAGGTTCACGTTTTGCTAGGTTTACATTAATTTCTTAGTAGCAAATTCAGGATCAATTCCCATGGCGAGTTTGAAATATGATCTACCGCTCCTGGACCGAAACACAAGATTCTCACTATGGCAAGTGAAGATGCGAACCGTTCTTGCACAGCAAGACCTCGATGATGTGTTATCTGGATTTAACAAGAGGACTCAGGATTAGTCCGACAATAAGAAGAAAATGGACATAAGGCTATGTCACATATTCATCTTCATCTATCTAACAATATTTTGTTGGAGGTGCTCAAGGAGAAGACAACCGTTGGGTTGTGGTTGAAGCTAGAAGATATGCATGACAAACGATTTGACCAATAAGATGCACCTAAAGCAAAAGTTTTTTTTTTTGCACAAGTTGCAATATGATGAATATGTGATGGATTATCTCTCCACTTAATTGTTGTTGACCTTGACTCCATGGAGGTAAAGTATGATGAAGAGGATTTAGGTCTTATTCTGTTGTGTTCGTTGCTTAGCTCATATGCAAATTTTAGAGATACTATTCTTTATAGTCGTTATACTCTAACTTTGAAAGAAGTTTATGAAGCTTTGAATTCAAAAGAAAGGAAGATGTTACCCTCTGAAAGTTCAAGTTCACAAGCAGAAGGTTTGGTTGTTCGGGGCAGGCAATAGGAGAAGAACATAAAGAACCAATCAAGAGATGAAAGTTCAAGTAGCTATCGTGGGAGATCAAAGTCTAAATGCATGTATAAGTCATGCAAATACTACAAGAGATATGGACATAATATCTCTGAGTGTTGGAAGCTACAGAACAAGGACAAAAGAACCGGAAAGTACATACCAAAAAGTAATAAAGAAGTGGAAGGTAAAGCCGCGGTTGTTATTAATGAGAAGTCTAATGCAGAATTGCTTATTGCTTATGCTGGTTGTGCATAAAGTAGTGACCAATGGATTTTTGATACTGCTTGCACCTATCACATGTGCTCGAATAGGGATTGGTTTGCCAACTATGAAGTTGTGCAAGGTGGTACTATTTTGATGGGTGATATATGCCTTACTAAGGATCAGATATTTCATGAGAGAACAAAGCACATTAATGTGAGATATCACTTTATTCGAGGTGTGATTGCTGAAGGTGATGTCAAGTTATGCAAGATAAGTAATCATGATAACCTATCTGATATGATGACAAAGCTAATTCATGCTACTAAGTTTGAGCTTTGCTCAAGTTTGGTTCGTGTTGCATTATAGTCCTACAGATTATTTGGTGCACGGTGATTTTACCTACATGAGGTATTCTGGTGATTGATGATTTTTATGTTACAAGAGGAAATTCGTCTCAAGGTGCAGATTGTTAAATACGGTATGTGATACAAATTTTAGGCCTACAATGTATTCGAATTAGTTTCCTAATAGGACTCTATGTCTTTTCTTATTATGTGACTTTCTTTTATCTCCTATATATACTCTTGTAAGTTGTATGGGAAGGGGTGGGTTCTCATTGTTATTCCCCTACGTTTAAAATCAACTGCTCAATAGTGATCATTGCCGATCGCCACCCATGGTTTTTTCTCGTAAGGTTTTTCCACGTAAAATTCGTGTCTCCATTATGCATCTATTTTCATAACATTCACTGCACCAATATCATTGGTGTCGTAGTCCAATAAGACAGCGCCCTCCACTTCTAGGTGAAAGCTAAGTCACTAATGTAAAGGATAACCAAATCGCACTTTTTTATATAAAAAAGATCTATTTGTAACAAAAATGGTCCTATTTGCAATAAAATAATATTTACAAATAGATCCTCAGCATTGACGCTGATGACCTATTTGTATATACTTTTTAATTATAAATAGATAATTTTTATTTTTTTACAAATAAATCATCGACACCAATGATATTGACGTTCTCCCTCTCACATCAGTGCCATAGCTTCCACCTGGGGATGGAGGGGATGGTGCCAATGACCGTCTTCATATTTGACCACGACACTAATAACATTGGCATCGTGCGCCGAGTCAGGCTAATTCCATACGAATCAGTACGAAGAAGAAAAAGAAAATTTTTAAAATAAATTTTTTTCTGAGGTCTATTGTCACACCCTAAAAATCCAAAAATATATAAATTGTTGTTTAATTGGAATTATTAGAATTTATTTTAAAAGCCTAGAAGAGAAGATCTAATTTTAATTAATAAATTCCAATGTAAAATGGGGCCAGATAAAATTTCATTAAATACTTTGCTTAATTCTATAATTCCTAGATTTTTCTGGGATTTATTTGAGCTAAGGAAGTATTTTTAATAAATGGAATTGCATTTAATGAATAATTTAAATTGAAAAATGATTTTAAAAGTCTCTTTTGGCTTTGGGCCGAAAGTCGGCCCAAAACCTTCTCTCTCTCCCCCGGCCCAAGTCGGCCCAGTCCGCCGCAGCCGCGCGCGCGCTTTCGCTCGCTGACAGGTGGGGCCCGCCTGTCGGGGTCGTCGTCTTCCTCCGGCCGCCCGTCGCCCGAAACCCTAGCGCCGTGCCGCCGCCGTCTCCTTCCAAATTCGGCCGATCCTTTCCGTTTCCAGTGAAATCAATAGAGGGGAAATGATCTTCGGGATCTCCTCTATCTTTTCTCTTTTGGAATCACCGGCTAAAATCGTTTGGAAATCCGTGGATTCGATCTCGAGTCGGATTCGTCTCTTTCCTCCGGATCCTCACCTTTCCTTCGCGTTGCCGGTCGCCGTGGGCCTTCGCCGCCGCCTCCTTGCCCCTATAAAAGGATCCCCGGTGTCTCCTCTACCCGCCGCCACCCTCGCCTTCGTCTCTCGCCGTCGGGAGCGCCCTAGCGCCGTGAAACCTCGAGCCGCCGTCGTCGCCGCCGCTCCAGCCGTGCGCCGCCGCCGTTCCGGTCGTCGTCGTCGTTCGGGAAGATCGCCATCGTGGTCGCCAAGTCGTCGCCGTCCTCGTCCGCCCCTTCGCCGTCGCTGTCAACCGCCGGAGCACCGTCGCCGCCGTCGACCCGACCTTCTCCGCCGCTTCGACCTCGTCGCCGACGTCGTTCGTTGCTCCTCCGCCGTTGCTTTGGTCACCGGTGAGTTCGCCGCGATGCCCGCACCGTTTTGGTGTCCTCCGTTTGCACCGCCGTGCCGTCGTTCGCCAGCGAGCATGCGCGCTCGAGCCGCCGAGCCGTCGCCGGTGGTGACGTCATCGCCGACGTCATCGTCGTCGTTTTTCCGTGAGCCGCCGTAGACCCGATCGATCTCGGCCGTCCGTTTTGGATGGATTGATCTCGGCCGTCCGTTCCCGTGAACCGCTGCCGTGCGCCCGGTCCACCGCAAACCCTAGCCGCTGACGCAATAAATCCCTTTTCCTTTTCTAAAATAATTCATTATTGCGTCATAATTCAATTAAAATCCATATAAGTGTTTTAATCCGATTTAATCTTCTAAAATTCATAACTAATTCATCTTAGCTCGGATTTAGTTGGTTCAAGTCTCTAAATTTTTCTAAAATTGAGATCTACATTTTAAAAATATCCACATATACTGTTCATGCTTGTTTATGTGCTGTTTTGGTGATTTTGCTTCTTTCTGCTTAGATTCCGACGTTTCCGGAGAGTCCGTTTTCGCAGGAGAAGAATTTGAAGAGTTCCAAGGCCAGCAAGGCAAGTCACACAGATTCCAAACAACCCTTTGAGCATGTTGATCCCGTTTAAAGCTATTGTTTCTATTCAACTATTGCATTTATTTTCGAATGTCATTGGGTGGAATTAACCTATTATTTGTTATAGCCCTTTTGTTCTTGATTACTTTATTCCTTGATACCTTGGGTTATTATAACTTGACTAGTTGAGCTTTATATATATTGGTTCAGCTAGATATTAGATGTGATTGCTTAGTCATGCTTAGAAACATTAGCACACTATTGGGATAACTTATGACTCACTATTATTTAATGATGGCTTAATGATAGTTCGCGATGGTCAATCGTGATTGGTTAATTAATTAATTGCCAACTAAAACTTGATAATGGTGGGTTGTGAGCACATGGTTTTGAGAGTCGTGCTCATGACAATTAAGGACCAGTTCACGAGTTTCGGTTGTGAAACGTTAATCGTGCCAACCACAAGCCAGCGTGGGCAACGGCTTTACCTTTTGTATAGCATGGTTCATTGCGGGGCACCAGACTGAGAAGTGGCGGAGATAAGCCCACGGGGGTCGCTGGGGAGTCCATGCCTTGTTTATAAGGGGGTGATTATGATCCAGGAATGGTGCGCTGTGGTGGATTGTGTT